ACCCCCCCCCTCCCGGCCCATATATTTGAAGTACCAACAAAAAACGCCTCCCAGTCCCGAACCCAATGGCCCACGCCAGATGATCAGTGCCAAGCAGTTCAGTGTTACTATGTGACATCACCTTCCGAGTTCTTCACTCAAAGACATCACCTATCCATGGCGACACAAGTTCGACCTTGAAGTACTACAAATACATGTGTCCGTGGCACTGCAAACCACTGTTTCTGATGAGTTGGTCGCAAAATTAATCGAATCAACCTCGGAGGCTCCACCTCACTGGCCAGACGAAACTATTTCCTCAGTACACCTGAGCCTTGAATGTCGGTCTCTCCGGCAATCACAATGCACAACGAACCCCCATCTCGCTGAGCTTCGTCCACCGGGCCCGGGTGACCGCATGAGACGCAATACCAGGCTGAACTTCTCGCCGTCTTCAAGAACTTATCCGACTCTTACAAAGCGGCTAATTTTATCTATTTACTAGTTATTCATCAGTTAGTTTGTACCGTGCCAGTCCGTTTCAATCAATCATAGTAAACCTCATCATATCAACATCAGCAATGTTCAAGACCGAGCAAAAGGTTAAATCGATTTCAGGTGCTATCAAAGTACTGCTGCGCTGCGCAGCGGCCGCTCCGCTGTCACACCCGGGGGCCGCTCGCCGGACTCGGGCCGGGAAGGGATCCGACTCGAAGATGCCAATTTTTCGAATCTCTTTTTGATTTGGCAATTTCCGTCCACAGGGGCAACCGTGTGACCCGGGCTCAACGATCCTCCTCGCCGTTGAAGACGGAATCTTTTTACTCAAAGTTAAGACGGAATCAGTCCGACGATCAGGATGTTCACTCCCGGAGGGGCCGGGCCCGCTGAGCAGGCCCCCGTTACTGCGCCGAGGCGGAAGTTGGTGACTTTTAAGTGTTGATGCCGGCACGGTCCAAAGTGCATGTAACGGTAAAAACTCGTAGGCGGTCTTAGGAGCGATACCACACTGGTTTTAGTGAGATACTGTTTGAAATGATTGGGCTGAGGTCAAGAGGGCTAGGACCTGGAACCAGCTGTACTAGACCTGGGTCGTAGGAAGTTTCTATCTGGCTATATCAGTACATAATAATAATTCGTCTTGTACGAGAGTGCTATGATTTTAAAGATATTTTATATCTCCACATTTCACATTTTAGTACCTTTTATGAAAATCAAACTGTACCAGTCCTTCTGAAAATAAAACACTGCTGGAAGGCGCGACATGGAGGGGCACGGAATGAGCCTATGGCAGGCATACCTTCATGGTAGGAGCGGAGCAGGCGTGAGGAGGAAGAGCGCAGGAAGTAGAGAGTAAGGAATCAGACGAGCCAAGAGTTCCTTGCCGACACTGTTGCAAGGAGTTTCAAAGAGTATCAGCGGCAGATAGATTAGCTCCTGCCCAGTATTCACTCATTTGAATCTATTTGACAAGTCAAAGAGAGGCGGTTCTGGCATCTGATTCGAAGACGGAGCAATTGGTTTTCATCGTAATCCTTTCAAGTTTCCCTTGCAGTTTTGTGGTGGGATTGCATTGGATGTGCTGTTGAGTGCAGGACAAAGTGATCTCAACTCGACATTTATTTCATCGTTCGCGACGTCAATGGCGAAGCGAATTACGGTGCAGACAGTAGGCGAGAATGCAAAGCGAATAGCTATGTTGTGCTTTGATACTCTCGATGAGACAAAGCAGCAGGCAGCTTCGAAGCTTGGATTTGATAATGTGCGACTCTTCAACATGCATGGAGCAGAAATAGACAGTATCGATCTAATATTACACGACGATCTGCTTTACGCCACATGCAGCACAGTGACGTCACTCGCTCACGCCCACGCGCATCAAGGAAGAGATGATCAAGAGACTGCATCAGTTGCGAGGTCGGACATCGGAAAAGAATCTAATTTTCAGGTCGGCAAGAAACTTGGCACAGGGGGACAGGGTACAACTTTCCTTGCAGTCGATAAGAGAACAAATCAGCAAGTCGTCCTAAAGAAAGTGTTTTGCACTGGACTCTCTGAAACAAACCGAGCGATAGAGGAAGCTGTCATGCTCTCACGACTGAAACATCCTCGAGTTGTGGCTTACAGCGAAGTATATCTTGGGTCAGAAGAAAGCAAGGGCAACTATGTCGGGATTGTGATGGAGTATTGCTCTGGAGGAGATTTGTATCATATGCTTTGCAAACAACGAACTAAGAAGAAACCATTGAGCGTGAGACGCGTGAAAATGTGGATCTTGCAGATGTGCGAGGCCATTGCTTTCTTGCATACACAGAATGTCGTACACCGGGATATGAAGCCCATGAATGTGCTTGTTGATAACAACGGTGACCTCAAGATTGCTGATTTTGGTCTTGCGAGGCAAGGTGTGACAGCAACGAAACTGATCTCAACTCAATGCGGAACCCCAGGATATGAAAGTCCTGAAGTTCAATTGGGTCAGTCGTACGGGTTCAAGACAGACATCTGGGGTCTTGGTTGTATTGTATGTGACATGACGACTCTGAAGTTCATGCATGAAAGACCAGGATCTCTTGCAACTCAAGTTCAAGTTGATCCGAAGGCAATAGTGAAAGTAATTCAGCCTGTGTCGGAGCTGTACGGGCCAGATATTCATTCTTTGCTTGCTTCGATGCTGCAGTCAGACCCCAAGCAGCGACCTTCGGCAAGTGAAATACTTGAAATGAAATTCTTGCACAATTATTCTAAGGGACAGGGAAATGTTGTAGCAGACCAGGTCAAAGATATCAACAGATCCGTCAACAGCTCAACAGAAGCTTCTCCTATGCCTGAGCGCAGCAAGTCACAGGTTGAAATTCCCAAGTTAGCGGCGAAGCCTCCGGTCAACGTGACCAGAAATGGGGCTCAAAATGGAGATACTTTGATAGTTTCTCGACAAAGCGGGGGTGATGGTTATTATCAGACTATCATGCAAGCTCTTCGAAATGCTAGCGAGGGCTCGACGATTGAAATTCTTGAAGGAAGATATCAAGAAGAGATTTACATCGACAAACCTGTCACAATACAAGCAAGGCAGCTCTCCTCTGGTGAGTTTGCGGCTGTTGAGATCTACAATACATCAATACGGCCTGTTGTGATATGCAACTCACCGGATTCCACGTTGAAGGGCTTGAAAATTAGACATCTTTCACAAGTTTCATCAGAGGGAAGGGAGTGCACAAGGTGCATAGACATTGGCGGCGGAGCGTTAACCATGGAGGATTGCAATGTCAAGAGTGTGTCTGGAGTCGGCATTGTTGTACGCGATGGAGCAAGGCTCAAAGCAACAAGGTGTATAGTGTGTAGATGTGGGCAGAATGGATTCTTCATTTTCGGGAAAGGGGGTGCGATTGTTGATAGTTGTGATATTTGTGAAAATTTGTTTCCCGGGATCGGAATCGACGGAAGCGTCGAAACCATCGTGCGAAGATGCAGAATCCGTCACGGCAAAGGAGATGGGATCAAGATCTACGGGAGCACAGGGGTCCTGCTGGAGAAGAATGACATCAGCCACAACGGAAGGGTAGGCATCGCCATCGAGGATGGTGCAAACCCCATTGTGCGTCAAAATGCGATCCATGATTCGCAGAGCTGTGGGATTTCGATCTTGAAGGGAGGAAAGGGCACCATAGAAGGCAACGACATCTACAGCAACGCACATCCAAATGTATACATTGCCAAGGGAGCCGACCCCGTCATCAAGGGGAATCAAATCCATCACGGCGGCAGTTGCGGCATCACATGTGTGGAAGAGGGACTGGGCACAATCCACGAGAACGAGATATTCAGCAATCTTTCAGTTGGAATCTACTTGATGAATGGAGCAAACCCGAAGATTTCTTCAAACGAGATCAGAGACAGTGAGGGAGACGGTATCTCAATTTGCTTTGCCGCCAAGGGAGTCATCAAGGATAACATTATCAGAGGAAACTCAGGCATTGGAATACTGATTGAGAGCGAAGCCGACCCAACGATAGCGAACAACCATGTGATCGACTCGCAACTCCATGGCATCAAGATCTGTCACAACGGTCGGGGAACTTTAGAAGGCAATGTCATTCGTGGATCAGGTTGGAACGGAGGTGGGGGCTCGGGTATAGTTCTTACAACTGGGTCAAGCCCAGTCATAATCGGCAACGAGATCGAAGGGAACGCAACCCATGGGATTCTGTCTATCGATGGTGCTGGAGGACGAATAGAGAAGAACACTGTCAGTGAGAATCAAGGGAATGGAATCACCTTGACAAGAGACGCCAAATCGACCATCAAGGGCAACGTGTTAAGGGCAAATGCTGGCTATGGTCTATATCTGTTTCAAGCTCCCAATGCTGTGATCGGACAGAATCAGATGGCAAATAATGGAAAAGGGGACATGAGAGCATTCAAGGACGACGATGTACTGACGAATCTTGATCGGTTGTCTGTAGGTGATATGTGAGCGATCGATGTACAAGCAGCAGAAGGGTTCCGTGTGGATTTTTTTAGATTAGAAGTGATGAGATTGACATGAGTAAACATAATCATACTGTATGTACGTATGCTATTTTGGATGCTTGCCTTGCCTTCAGTTTGACATCAGACCAAAAGTTTTGTGTGCCTTGAGGGTTCAAGGTGAATCCATCAAAGACTACATAGCAGAAGTGCATATCAATCAAGTGTGTCATTATGCCTTATATTCGTCATTTACATTACATTGTGATTTGCTTTCAGAACACCAACCTACAATACAACAGAACCTCAGCTCTTCTCTCGCCCAGTACTCAACGATTCCATCCGGCTTGACAAGGAAGCTTCTTGCCGTCGATGCTGCCGCCTTCAAGTTCCCGGCAGGCCTCGATGTAGGCTATCGACCTCGAGAGACACAAGAGGCGCTTCTTTCCCTCCTCAGAGAAGGTGACGAAGGAGCATGGCTGGATGTCGAAGAAGATGTCCGGACGGTTTGGGTCTCGCAGTGGTTTGCTGTACATTGGAACCGAGCAGATGACACGAGTGCTTGACGTCAAGATGAAGTGAATAAGTTGTTGGACTGGAAGAGTCTTGCGACTTTTTGTTCTCTGTTTCGCAGAAGCAACGTAGGCCGAAGTTGTCGAGTTGCTCTTGCGCTCGTGCCTTCTTTTTCACGCCACAGTCGATAGTTGCTTCCGTTGTAAGCGTGGAAGGTCAATCAGTCTTCAGCCTTCTGTTTCCAGCTATGTTCTCAAACCCTATTTCCTTACTTCGTGGATTTACCTGCAACTGTGTTGCATTGACAAAGCTCCAGCGAACGAGCAATTGTTGTTGTGTTGTTGTGTTGCTAACTTCTTCCTGTTCTGTTTGTTTCCGATCTTCTTGTCCCACAGACACCCTCAGCCCTTTGAGACTGTTCCTCTCCTCCTCCTTCTCCTGTGCTTGACAGCCCCCGTGGCGTCGTCTAGGTCTTGGCTTGACTGGAGGATATGCTTCGTCTGCTGCAACCTTGATAGTGATGCCAAGGAGGCAGAAATCTTCCTTAAAACATTTTTCAAAAGTATTTATGCTAGAAAGATGCCTTTTCGACTCATTGTTCCTTTTACTACAGACTGGGGGGCAAAAAGGAGGCTGGCCGCCTTACACATTTTTGGAAGATACGACGAATTCATTCCCCGAGTTTCAAATTCGAACCCCCAGCTTTTGAGATCTTGTGGCTGTCACACCCCGCCCCTCCTCCACTTCTCCCCTTTGAAAGAGGGGGTGGGTCCCATATTTCAAGGATACATGACAGAATTGCAGAGACTCTTCATGTAAACCCAAGAAGTCAGGGGACGACCAGTGCTTCGAAAAAGTCTCTCTTGGACCCAGGGGCCGCCCGTATCGTGACCTGGCGCGTGATATTGGGTGGGATAGTATGACAGTTTGCCCGGGGCGGACCGGGTTTATTATTATACTCTCCTTCTAATGACATTATTACTACTAGTACTCTCCCAGAGTCACTCGGCGATGTACTGGCAGTCAACCTGTCACAAGGTTGACACGGCCCGGTCGCGGCGGTCGCCGGGGCCCGGGCCACCGTCTTCTCGATAAAATCATCGAAAAGGATAGTTATCGTATCTCACACAGGAGGGAACAGGATTCTTTTCAGGACTTTCCCCGCTCCCTCCCAAAAAAAGAGCATCCCCCTACTCGCAATCCCTGCTTCCCACACTTGCGGCTCATTCCTTCTTCCCTCACTTGTCATCAGGCCCAATATAATTGCCTCCTGCCTTCTGCCTCCTGCCTCCTGTCACTCCTGCCTCCTGCCTCCTGCCTCCTGCCTCCTGCCTCCTGCCTCCTGCCTCCTGCCTCCTATACCTCGTGATCCTCCTGTCGTTCCCTCCAACACAAGATCCCCTCGTGTAGATTCTGTGCAGCACCTGGAAGATGCGAAAATACTCCGCTGATGGTAAGCCAATACTAGACCCAAACCGTCCGGACATCTTCTTCGACATCCAGCCATGCTCCTTCGTCACCTTCTCTGAGGAGGGAAAGAAGCGCCTCTTGTGTCTCTCGAGGTCGATAGCCTACATCGAGGCCTGCCGGGAACTTGAAGGCGGCAGCATCGACGGCAAGAAGCTTTCATGCCAGAGTGCCTTGCGTACATGATGAATTTTGGCTTGTAATCTTGTGCAAACCCTTGTATATAATCTTTGCTTGCTGTATTTTCATGTAACAAAAATCATTTCCAATGCGCTCAGAAGCATCGTTTCTGACTCAGTCGAACATTCTCAATAGAATCTTCGCGGATCCCACAACCTGCGAGGACGTATGCCTTCGCAACGCTCCTCGTACAAGTTCTAAAGCTCCACAATCGATTATCCTCGAGCGATTATCGGCACATCCTCTTGCCAGACTCCACAAGCCTCCACATCCGTGTGCTTGGATTCCGGCCTTCAACGGATGATTCTTCATCGCAACAACAATGCTTTCTATTCCATTCTCATTTGCAATCTTTCCCTGAATGACTTCGTTTTCAAAGGCGAGATATCCAAGTGCCCCACAGCACTGTTCTTGAATTGCAGCACAGCCAGGGAATTGGTTCATGGCCTTAATTATGATATCGATCCCTCCCAGTTTCAATATTTCATCTTGGTTCTGATTGTTGAAAGCTGACAAAAACCATAATGCTCCACATGCCTGCTCCAAAATAAATTCGTTTGAACTGAAGTTCTGCATGGATGTTATCAAAACACATATTCCATCTTGCTCAGAAATCATTGTTTTCATGGAAGAGTTCAAAGAGAAAATTCTCAGTGCTGCACAACCTTGTTCCTGCACCTTGACAGAGCCTTCATGCATCCTCATCCCATCAAGAACTGTCTGGACACACTCCGGGTACCTTGATATCATTGTTCGATGATGACAACTGGCAGCAAGCCATCCCAACACGCAATATGCATTTGTTTGTACAACTCCAGAGCACACATTCTCACTCATGACCCTCAGGAAGTTTTGGAAGGATTTCTCTGACAAAGGCCTTGATATGCAAGTGCGATCAACCTCAAGTCCTGTTGGACCACGCCATCCACCTTCAGCAGCGATTGATAGATTGAACAGGAAAGGGGAAATCTGCTTGGATTTGGTAATTGTTATGTGAAGCTTGGCTCCGCTAAATCTTGTGAAGTCCACCTTTTGAAGGTACGAATCTGAGATTTTCTTTGACAATTTGATGTTAAGCTGCACTGAAGAATGTTTTGAGGTCAGAACAACTTTCATATTTGATCTTATTGATTTTGAAATCTGCCCAAACGCTGTGACTTTCGATGAAATTCTCTGATAGTGGATTACCTGCATTGCCATCAATATTTTTCCAGTAGGCCAGATCAATTCAAGCAATCCGGGAATTGCCAACACTTTTTCACATATCGATAACTCATTGCTTGTCTTGGTCTGCACATTTGAATTCTTTCCTGACGCAAGGAAGTCAAAGAATGATCGCAAACACTAGGCATTTTCTTCATACCTTGTTTTTTTGTGTTCTGCTCGCCTCGTGAGCACTTGAATGTCTTAAGTTCAGGCGAGCCGAAGCTGTTTGGCTTTTTCAAACATGTATCAGAATTCCTCGAGACGATTTTTGCTTTCTTCTGAAAATGATTGATCAGTTATCGTGAACGTTTTCGGCCACAAAGAATACCTTTGTGATATGGTTTGGGGAATCGTTTTGCACATTTGTAATTGACTTGGAACACAGTCGTTTGTTTGTTGACTTGAGTCCGAAGGTCTACAATCATGCATAATCACATGGACGTAGGTGGATATGTCAACTCCGAAGACATGTTGCTTACCTCCTGTTGATCTTGATTTTCATCGTTCTCAAGTCTTTCTTCCGTCGTCGATTGACATTTTGAAACCCTCTTCTTCTGAGTCTTTGATCTAGTGCATTGATACACTGGCGATCTCATCTGACAAATCATCAGTTTTGAATGACAGAAAACGATTTCGACTGCGAAAAACAATCACCCCTTCTGCTAGTCTGTTCTTGAAGCTATCATTATTATTCCGCCACTAGCCCTCGGACTGATACATGCTGTACTCCTGTCATCTTTCTACAAACTAAATCACGAATACAACGAGCTTGTAGCTGCTCATCACGTGAAGGTGCGGCGGGCGGGAGCGCGCGTGATCGCGGCATACATGTATACATCAAGTTCCCGCCTTTCTTGAGTTTGCCTGCTGTCAATGTTTTTTTCCCTGATGGGTTTGCAGAACCCAACCGAGCGCGCCTCAGAGTAATGAGCGAGCGGGCGCAATGCTTGAGCGACAGGTCTACTGGGTGGCGATGAACAAGACGATGAGAGGAGAAGAGACGGGTTGACATAGTTGTGAGTCTTGAACATGTTACGATCGATTTGATCGCTTTGAGTTCGTGCCGCAAGCAGCATACGAGCAGCGCAGATGTTGCCATTATTGGAGCGGTCAAGAATGATGTGCAACCCAGCTTACAAACACCGGAATACTTTTGTTGCGTTTGTGCAGTTCTTCCTTGTTTGCTGCTGTTTTCTACCGCAATGCAATTCGTTTACAAATCCCTCTGTTTGGCTAACGAGATCAGCCATCGAAACTTCTCGCTCGATCACTTCATACTACTGTAAACCGCGACATCTTTACGCGAGACCGAGACAGAGACAAACCACCTCATGCAGGCTGGTCAGCGAAAGCGAAGATCATATGATCGGAGAGCAATCTGAAGAGCGCAAACTCATATGGAGGCAAATAGCAAAGGGCTGGAAGGACACTGGAGACCAGTCAAACTCAAAAGGAGTCAGAGTTATGATCTCCCTGCTTCCGAGAATTGCCATGCTGCCTAAACTCCAACAGAGTCAGCTATACATGCTCGTGTTCGAGAAATTGAACATGTACGCAAGAAGTAGGCATTACTCTGAGGCAGCACATAGCCTTTCTCTTTGTGTCTTCTTCCATTTGACTGAAAGCAATCATCAAACGCCAAACCAATGCACAGTCTGGATGGTCCATTGCCTTTTCTCTCCTGCAATTTCTCAGTCATTCTCTTCGAAGGCAGTCTCAGAACTTTTCTCCGATTTGTGAGCCAGAAAACTTGAAGATTGTTCTCGTGACTTACTGTCAGGATGAGAAGAACATTAAGAAAGAGTGAGACAAGGATACAGGAAGAGAAGATGAGAATGATTCACGATATGATACACTCAGGTCTTCTAAAGTCAATAGAACCATATCTGTTCGCTTGAGCTTGTCTTCCAGATGATCAGTTCTTGAGTGCACTAAAATACCTTCACTTACTGCGAGCCTCGAGTGAGTTTTGATATTTCTCGCGAAGAAGTAAGATGTTGGAATCAGATATCAAGCATGATGTTAAGACTTTCAATGCTATCAGCTCAAGCATCTTGGAAGCTTTCAAGCAATCTTCTCCTGCCGACCCCCTTACAGTCGCTTCCCAAATCTTTCTGGTCTACAGCTACATGACAGCAGCTGAACAACAGGTAAATGAACTTGTGAATTCATTCCTGGTGTTGCACATTTCAAACTTGTTTTTCAGCCAGACGATGTGACATGGCACCACCTTCTTGTGGCATGCAGGTAAAACTAGTGGAAGTGACTGGCAGCTTTAATGACTCTGTCTACAGATTGATGGGTGGTGAAAACTTGTCCGCAACGGAGACTATCAAATACTTCTTGAAACAATATCGAAAACAAGGTTCGATGATAGAAGTTGTATGTTTATTCAGGGGGTCATGGTTCTTTTCGATCACAGGAATTAGAGATAGAGCTCGTTGTGTACAATCTTTCGACATCACATCATTCAAGTCATTGTATGAAGCTCTCAGTCCAAGCAAGGAACAAGTCAAAAGACAGGCTCGTCCTCGCATCATCTGTTTGCATACCCTTACTGGACATTGCAGGGCAAACTTTACGATTACATCAAGAAATTTGTCAGGAAAGTTTACGGCACTTCGGCGTTTTGTGCTCCTTTCGGATCTTCGGTCAATGGGCTGGTCAGCTGCTGCTTTTGGGTGCATTTTCTCTCAACCCTTGTCACCATCAGGCAACGTCAGGAAGTGACGTTGACCTTCTACTCTGGTTCCGTCAGACTCCCGAAAGAAGAGAAGAAGCCGTCAAGAACTTTCGAAAACTTTTCTTCTCTCTCAAGAAAAGGTTTATCTAAGTTTTTTGTGGCCAGGGATTGAGCGATGCTGATAGCCCAGGCATCCAAGCGCAGCCACTTTTCCATGCTCGTACTCCCATCATCAAGCTCAACACCTCGGATGGTGTGCAGGCAGACATTGCCCTTCAGGTTCCAGCCATTGCCATGTCTATCAGGTCAAGCGATTAGCTCGGCTTCTTCTGACTGCCATCCCTCCTGGTAGTTGACAGAGGATTTGAGCCCTGTCGAAGATGCCGTTCTGCTCATCAAGCGAAGCTGCCAGATCGACAAGCGGTTTCGTCCTCTTGCTCTGCTGATTAAGGCAAGACTGCAGCTCACAAAGAAAGACGAGTGACCCGTGATCGTCTTGTAGACTTGGGCCAAGCAGAGGAGAATCAACGACGCGTCCAAAGGAACGCTTTCTTCCCATGGATACATCGCGCTTCTCTTGCAGCTCTGCCAGCAGTCAGAGCCGAGCATCCTTCCTCGCACCGGTGATTGAGGAAAGTCTGTGAGACACAGTGACCAGACAGGCAGAGAAAATCCTCGACGAAAATTTCTTCTGGGTTTCCAAGAACAAATCCTCTCTGTTGCAGCTTTTCCTCCTCTTTTTGTCAGACATTTCATCCTCCATGCATCGACCCCCCCTCAACGCAAATCCTGGTGTCCTCCTACTCGCGCAAGATCCGCTTGACCCTTCCAACAACATAGCCAAGACAATCAACCCACATGGATTGAAGAGAATGCAGTTCGAGGTGATTCATCCCCTACTTTGCCACTGTTCCTCTTCATATCACTGAACTTTCTACCGAAGGTTGACCGGGCAGTGGAGCTTCTTCGTTACGACGCCATTGATATTCTTCTCTTTGAGAATCGAATCTCAAAATTTTAGCAACGCGAACTCCCCAAAAACGAGTTTCCATAGTGACAGCAGCTAAAATTCTCTCTCTGGTGTGATTTCTAGGATGATTCAGGGCCCTGATTCGTTCTCTGCCCTGATGTTAAGCGTTGATAGCCAAGTGGATAGGAAAGAGACGTCAGCTTCCCACACCTCTCGAGACTTCTCCTCCTCCTCGTCCCACTCTTCAACTAGATGCATCAGCGCTCCTGGATATATGATGAGCACTCAACTATTGTTGCCACTGCAGGGGCAGACTGAGAATATCGGGAGTTTTCGGTGCAGGAGCAAACTGGGAGAAAGTGCAGGGAGGAAGAGGAGGAGGAGGAGGAGCAGGAGAAGGAGGAGGAGGAGGAGGAGGAGGAGGAGGAGGAGGAAAACTTCACCGAAGTAGTGATGGCCAAGAAGGCTTGCAAGGTAAAGCATGCACATGTTGAGACCCGCGAGACCCGTCGAGGGATGAGAAGGAGACGAGGGATGGAACTCAAGGACATGCAGCCCAGGTCTGGCACTCAGCATGTTGACCATGCCAGCTCCTGCTCGCTGCTATCACTGCCATGAGACAACGGGAAGCAGCGAACCGTGCGGGCCCACAATGGCAGAGGCACAGGAGAGGATTGAGAGGAGAACGACGGGATGCAGCCCAGCGTCTGAATCGAAGACGAAGAGCTGAAAGCCTCGAGCCTCTACCGCTGAAAGAATCGTTTCTTCCGATCGCCTGCGAGGCTTTGCTGTGAGCGAGAGCGGAAGAAACGACAAGAGGAGGTGAGAGTGGTTGGTGTGAAAGGTGAGGCAAGATGGCAATGGAGAGACCTTGATAGTCGCCGCGTTCTCCCGCTCCTCCGCACCAACACAACCAGCGGAGTTTGAGGATGAAGACAGGAAGTGAGATTGTTATCCTTGTGACAGACATCTAGACAAGTCTGCAGAGACTCTCCACCCATCTCCAGATCCACATGGTCAAATGACATTGACCGGAACCTTCGGAAGAATTCGTCTGTAGCATAGGAAAGGAACGAAGAAAGTAAGTGCGAGCGAGCAAGACGAACGTATGAAAGGAGCAAAGGAGGGAGGGAGGGAGGGAGGGAGGGAAGGAAGGCAGGAGGGAGGGAGGGGGGGAAGGGAGGGAAGGAAAGGTCCTTCACCTCTCAAGGAGAGCACGAGAGGAGGAGACGCTATTGCACATCGAGTCGGAGACACGAAGTAAGTCTGCGAGTGTACTCGGAGGGGGCCAGAGCAGAGTCGATGAGGAAGAACGCCGAAAGCTACAGCAAGGCGTCACTGGAGCAGTAGGGCAGGTCAACACCTGATAGATACTCCTCGACCATCGACCTCTCGGCACTGTGAGGAGTGTCGGACGACAGGGGGACATGCAGGAGGAGGTCAGAATCTCCCAGCAGCTCTCGTGCTATCATGATCTTGGGCAGGCATTCAGCCACGAAGTGAAAGATGGTGTGTCCCCATGGCTGGCAAGGAATCCGTCAGGCGGGAGAGCAAGAGGGAGCGACTGACTTGAGACAGCACGAGCACGCGAGCATGCCAGGTCAGACCCTCCCAACGCTCCTCGTCCACCAGGTCGCCGATCAGATCAGGTTCCCTTAGACGATGGCAAACTCCATGCTCTTCTGGACTCAACACGACGCGCCCTTGCGACGCTATGCTGCCATGGCGCGTGACGACAGCATACCCCTTGAGCACCCAGAGGGACGGCTCCTGCCAGCTCTTCAGCCTTCCTTCCAGCATGTCAGCGCTGTTGTCTCACCTGCGTTGGAACATGCGGGAGGAGGGAGGAAGAGTTCGGGCAGGCAGAACCGAGCTCCTCGTACCACCAGAGCTCTGCTTCCTGGCGAGGAAGACGTAGGAGCTCGCAGAGACCTTCCTGCAAGCACAGTGACGTGTCGTGCTATCAGGAGAGACACGCTCACATGCAGATGTACCCTCGAGGGAGAGGAGGAGGAGGAAAAGGAAGGAAGGTTGAGGGTTGAGATGCACGAGACATCGATGCTCGTCCCTTCTACCCTCCGTTGTATCTTCGCAGCGAAGCTGGCATGGCTCCAGTTCCTCTCGTAGTGAGATGGTAGGTTGGCCTCTTGCGCCTTCACTGCCGCCGCTAGCAAGAGACACAACAAGTTCGCTAGCCCACACGACCTCTGCGACATGCAGGCATGCTCTAGGTACAGAGAGGAGCGAGGAGAGGAGGGAGAGGTGCGAGGACCGGGAGAGGGCAGCTGGCAGACATGGAGAAGGATGCGGCAGCGGGCGGGAAAGTAGAGGCGTAGGAGCGGGCGGGGAGCTGCTGAGAGGGGCGGTGCGGGCAGGGAGGGAGGAGGCGCAAGGGAAATCAAAAAGCTTCAGATGTACGAACAAGGAGGAGCAAGGTGACGGGTAGAGGAAGCGATCGAGACAACATTAAGGAAAGTGCAGGCAGAAGTTGATCCAGGATAGACAAGGATAGGGATGTGTGCGTGATGACGCCGCTGGAGAGAGCAGTGCAGGGTAGCGATGGTTATGATGATACGACGACGACTACACCCATGTCGACGATGAACGTGGAGGAGGAGGAGGGGGGGGAGGAGGATTTATCACTTGAAATATTACAAACAAGCATCAGCGCATGGCGACTAGTTCGCCACCATGGGAAGGCCAAACTCGTCAACCTGCTCGTTAGAGGATATCGGCCTTGCTGGCTGCGGAGCCTCCGGCGCTGCGACTTCATCCTGAAGGTACGCGGGAGTTTCCGACTCGCCGAGCTGCTCAGAGTCAGATGAGGGAGGAGACAACAAGACGAGCAGCTCACCTCATCGTCCAGCGCCAGCTGCTCGTCAATGGCCGCGAGCTCGTCGTCGAGATCGGCCTCGTCGATGTCGTCCGATACTCCGTAGCTTCTCGCCATCGCCTGAGGGGGGCACATGAGCACAGCAGGAGACGAGGAGGAGGAGGAGGAGGAGGAGGAGGAGGAGGAGGCAGACCTCTTGGATCTCGTTGGTCATGTCGAGAAGGTCCGCCATGTCGTCCAGGTTGTCTTCAATGTCGTCGATGGACACATTCTTCATCTCGGCCTTGAGAGCTGCTGTGCCGCCTTTCATAGCCTGAGATGTGTTGATGGCTGTCTTGACTGCAAAGATCTCAGCGCTTGCAAGACCAGGCCATACACCTCACTGTTCTCATGCGCAAACGAAGCTTGTTCCATGTTCCATGCCATGCCTTCTAGCTGCGTGACGCAAGGGGAAGAAACAAGGCAACCGATCAGACATGCTCGGCACACAACAAGTCACGATGTGTCTACCTGATCTCTTTGTTGCTCGATCATCCGTTTTTGCTTCAATATCTGCAGCGCTCTCTGTTTTATCCGATTTTGTGCAGGGCCAGGTCGAGTTGCTTTGATTTGAGTCTTGAGCGTTAGAAGCTGTTTGTCCAAACCTCTGATCTTTTCTTCCAGCACTCCAGTCCGCTTGTTCACTGTATCCGTCGCATCTGTCAAGCTCGGAGGAGGGGGACCAGGCTCCTTCTTTCCACCAAATAATCTTCGCATTCTGAATGGTTCAACAAAGAGTCAGAGCGCACACCGCATCGTGGTCCTACTATTTGATGCTCTGAACCAGAGTCCTCATGGGATAAAGCAACACAAAGATAGAATCAATTCAATCAAATACTGTTCAAATGTGACTCAAGCATCTGGCTCTTGTCCCTTTTCAATAGAGTGAACAAGTTTTAGCGATGTTCGGCTATGAAAGCTCTACAAACTAATGCTCTCTCTATGACCAGCCGTAACTCTTTTGTGAAATGTCATACATATCACCAAAGAGATGCGCGCATACATCATTTGTCACCATTCAATGATTCTCTACCCTCCCTCTCCCTCGTTTCCCTTCCCTGCTCCCACCAACATGGCAGAAAACTACAGCTTGTCTATAGTCAAACAAGAACAGACTATAGTCAATATTCTTCCGAAGCCGACCCTATAGTCAATAATCATGAGCTTGTAAATGCTTCTAGTCAATATTGAAGTCCGTATAGTCAACACTACAGTAGTCAAGTGTTGTAGTCAAAGGGTCCGCCGGGCTCGCCCCGCCATGCAGTCTGGGAGTACGAGTGACGGGCGGGAGGGCCGCGCGTGCAGGAGGGAGGAGGGAGAGGATAGCGACGTGAGGATGGACAATGACAATAGTAGAACGCCTCCTCCACACGTTGACCACATGGAGCCCTTGGATGATGTCCTACCAATCTATCACTCCATGGTCCGCTCGTTGAACAAGGAGCCTACCCTTACCCGAAAGGTGAAGATCTACGCCAAGACTTTGCTCACATTTCTCGCGCTTGTGCTCTTCTGGTATGCAATCTATGAGATCCTGGGATACATGGTTGTTGGCAATGTTACAGCCTTTGTTGCAAAGATATCAACCCAAACCAATCACACGATTAGCCAAGGGAACCAGACCTCAGTTGATACCCAAACCGCCAAGCATCTTGAAGGATGGATCACACTGGCAGTGGGTCAAAGTTACTTCTGGTTTGCAGTCTTTCTCCTCGTTGCCAGCCAGGAAATAAGGTTCTGCTCCCTCTCGAGGCCAGTCGATGATAAGGCGGACTTGGGTGAGGGGGCGAATGAGGGTCTTGAGGGAGAGGCAGAGCAGGCGGCCGGGGCAGTGGAAGGAGAGGAGAGATGCTTTTCGACGGCCAAGAAAGGTTGGCAGACACCAGCGTCATACATCCTCAGATGGAACTGGAACTGCATGCTGGGGGTCATGGCATGGATGGGGTTGGACTTCACGTGCGATTCTGTCCATATCATCATTCAGAGCCTCAACGGATTCTTTCCGAGGTTAGCGATCAATCTCGCGTTTCTCCTCGTGGCCAACATTATCTTCATTTCGTTGAACCAGATCAACGGGACGGTGAGATCGCGAGGAGGGGGTCTGTACAAGAAGGCGAGGAAGGGAAAGCACTATTTCCGGCTGAACGGGGCCCGCGATTCAAAGCGCGGAGGCTATGCACATGCTTCAGATAAGGCAGCTGAGAAGCTTCTGAAACATCCGGCACGGCGTCAAGATTTCTTTCAAAAGTTGCCAGGAAGAACTGGACCCTTGATGCCTCCCTTTCACAGGTTTCACCCCGCAACCTCATCGAAGCAGAGTGCTTCAGGTGAAGAAATCGTTTAGAAACGCACAAGGCTTGATAACTGGAGCTTTTGCGCGATGTTCATAATGTAAATAGCTAATTTCAAAGAAGCATACGAATGTGATACCGTTTGAATGAAGTTTTATTCTCCTAGGACATCTATACGGTTGATACATCGACGCCATCAGACTTTGACGCCTGGAAGTTTCTTGCCCTGCCCAGCAGGGTGGGTACCATACTCCCATGGCCAGGAGTAGAGGTTGACACCAGCCTTGGCAAAATGCTTGTCATCGCCTTTGATCTCGTCGGCCAAGGGATTCTTCTTCATATTCACACCCGACTGCGCAAGTCGCGATCCCGTGTCGAAGAAGTGCTGGTAGAACTGCAGTTGCAGAGGGTTCTCGTCGTCATGCTGCTCGGGCATCACCTTCTCCTTCCCTTGTGGCCAGGAGTCAAGAGCTACACCTAGAAATATAATCGTCACTGGCACACACACATATCTTCAATGCAGTGCAGGTCACCTTTCTGCGACAGCTTGTTGCCATTGCCGTCAACAGGGAAATAACCCGAGAGATGGAAGTTCTGATCAAGCTTGGATGTGGACCTTGTAGCGAGCTGCTGCTGAGTAGCTCTTGAAGCTAGCTGTACATTTGCTTGCGAGTTCTTTGCTCTCGCCTCAATGATTGAGTCAATGTCCCCGCAATGTTGAATGCACAGCTTGTCAAAATCCTGCCATGGGGTCGTTATTGGAAAGGCTATGGAAGAAACCAGTTTCACCTCAACGGTGAAGAACTTGTCTCTGAACCCGCATTCATCTGGGCAGATCTCGTTCGGCCCAGCATTCTTATATGTGAAGATATCTTTGGGGTAGTCTACATTTCCATACATCAACATCTGCACAACCCATCTCAGTCAATTTAGCACAGGGAACATAGACATACTTGAGGTCTGCCCTTCTCACTCCTACGAGTCACAAGGCTGCCAGCTTTGATGCGATTCTGATTAATCTTGTCGATCGGAGTGTTGTCAGTGATGACATCCCATTCTGAAATAAGCTACCACAGAAAAAATATCAATATCTTTACATCGAACAGAGGGCACGATACCTTTGTCGGCTTCGAAGCTGTCTGTCGGGAGATGCTATATGCAACTGCAATGCAAAGAGTGAAGCTCCCGGCAGCGATGAGGAGCTGTTAAGTCATTGGTGAGCACTGGCCAAAAACTTTGAAAGCAGAAAACACTTGGATGCTAGCCAACATGAACCACCCAGTTGGTATGGAGGAACAACCAAGGAGACAAAGAACAGAACATATGACAACAATGAAAAACAACACACCTTCCTCAACGAGCTGGTTTGCTCCCCTCTCCTCCTGTGCGATGTGCTCAAGTTTGCCGTGCCATATCCCCCCATTCCGGCCATTGTGCGGCTCTTCGCAATACCCAGACCCGCCTCAGATCTCCATAACTGAACCACTATTATTATAACCGGATCTCGGAGAAATGACCCACCCTCCGACTTTTTGTGGTAGACGAGGGGGTGGGGTACTAGAGACTCTTCTGGTGGTAGGAGCAACTTTTAGTAGAGATTGAGACCCGAGAACTCTTTTCGCAAAGATTAGCATAAAATTGATATTATATTGAATATTTGACTATTGTACTATTTATATTTGAAATTTGGCAACAATATTTGGAGAACCTTTTTTCGAAGCACCCTCTTGGAAAATGTGTATGCTTGTCTGAATTTCGAATGCGCAATTCAGGGAATGGCGGGAGAAAGGAGCAACGGCAATGCTGGCAGGGCATGCAAGCAGAGATGCGAATGTAGAGAAGATACAAACTAGTGGCGAAGAAAGTTAGATCATGGTTTTGGAAAGAAGATCGCGCTGACAATTACAATCCTGCGAAGGAAAGTCAGCAACTGCGAAATCCAGCAAGTAGCCTCCAAGTCGTACATTTCAAATAGACCAGGGAGAAGGTCATACTATAGCAGAAGAGAAGAAGAGGCCACATTGTCATGAACATAGTACAAGTTTGGTGGGAAAACAACTATACTCCATTGTACGAGTCTATTTTAGATGTACGAAGAAGACATCGGTTGATCTAACGAAACTCTCTAAGCCTTGCCACTTTCACAGAGATTGAAAAGTGTTGACTTTAGGGCTGACTTATTCCAAAGGAAACTAGTGATCTTGACTCAACATCGACTCAAAGCCTCGTCGTCTTGCATTGGACGAACTGTTTTGCTCAGCTCTCAACTCTAAAGGAGTCCGAGGTATCAGGCCTCCTCTCAAGCAGGCCTCTTGACTACCAGCGTCGTCATGCCAGCCCTGTCTGAGACAGACATGCCGTTTGCGAACAAGTCTGACATGTTTGGAACTGACTCCCAACGTCATTCGAACTCCTCCAACCTGTCCTCCAACTCTGAGTTCGTTGGGAGCTCTGCGGATGCAGGAGTTGGATCAAGAAATGCAACCCCGTCCTGGCAGCATCCGAGCGTTGTTCATGATTTCAGGAATCAAGGGACTGATCTGAGAGCCTACCTTGCCTCCCTTGAAAAGGAGTCACGTTCGAGAGATGCCAGGATCGCTGACTTGAAGAATTTGGCTGAATTCCTTGATTCCCAAAATCCTTCAGTAGCGCAAGAGCAGGTAATCCCTCACAATGCTTCATGCTAAGGCGTCTAATGGTGTTTGTCAGAATGAGCCTAAGCTTCCCTCAGAGTCCAGAAGGGCAGATAGCAGAGGGGAGTTGGGCATGAACAAACAAGGGGCAGGATCATTGTCTGAAGCTGCATATTCTAATCTGCAAGGCACGGAGAACCTTCGATATGCTTTGAACTCCTCGAGTCAAGAGGGTCAAGCCTATCATACGTCTCCCGGGGTCGAGTCCTTACATGAAGATGCAGAGCACTCAGAGACTGGCTCTGAAGGAGACAACGGTTGTACTCGTCCCCCAAGACCCTCTTGACTTCTCACTACCTCCTTCAGATGAAGTTGGCAGCACGACCAACACTCCCATGAAGGCTTACTTGAATGACTTGAGTCCGCAAAGATATCAATCGTTCGGCGCAGGTGACGTCAGTTCACCAGACGTCTGTATCAGTGACTGCTATCAGATCACGATGCAAGTGATACATCTGAGTACTCTGATTCTTCAGAGGGTATCCACATGGAGGCTGGAGACGAAGTCGGTGGGGCGTACAGTGATGATAGAAACCATGACCTCAGCTCCCGCGAAGCTCTTCTGCGTCATCTGCGATTTCTCAACAGTCAGGTGAATGTCAGCACTTGAATGTTCTGCTGTTGAGCTCCAGCCCTCAGGTGGGAATCGAGTCTGAACCGGTGGAGGTCACGTCAGGACGCGACTCAGTCCGGTCTGACCTGTCGAGCAACATGCAAGCACATGTGTACTCGAGTAGCATGAGGACGGCGATGGTGATGAGATGCTCTCCGGCCGACTGTCAAGTGACATCGTACAGACTGCTGACCACCCCGAGGGGAGGAGGCTTCAGGAGAATAAGCCAGAAGTGAGCTATTCAGACCCAGTCATGCCGACGTTTGAGCCCAAACATCAGTCCTGGTCATCCAGTCTGAATGATGGAAAGCTCCGTGAAAATCTCGGATCAAGAGAGAACCTCAGAAATAATGTAAGTGCATGACAAGAAATCCACGCTATACAGTATGTGATCTTTCTTCGACTATGACTCAATGAGACAGTGGGTTCGAGATGCTTTCTTGACTTTGTTTTCAGCATGCGGATCTTGGGCAGGCAAGCATGCATTATGTGGATGAGGAAGATCCGCACAGCAAAGAGTATCACCATGGACTGAACCACAATCGAAGATTCCCATTCCAGAGAGTGAGTCTGGATTTGACCACTACGCTGCTGATATGTCCTTCAGTCCATCAGCGAAAATATCTCAGCTGAAAGAGCAAACAGCACGAGGTCAAGGTACCACGAAGGTGGCTGGTTGACAGAGGAGTTATCGTTTCGCACAGCATTTATGAGTATAGGGCGCAAGAGCTGCAGAAGCGATTGAGCATCGTTGAGGTAGCCCAGGGTCCTACATGGAGACTCCTGACGGCTTGTTGAAGGCGGAAGCTCAGACGTACGCGGACAGTCTAGCAGAGATGCATCACGTTCTCAAGGTGAATCTGCTGTTCGATAGAGAGTGTTGCTCAAGCGAAAGGCAGAACACGGTCGACGAGGCGTTGGAATATCGGTTGGCTTGGCTTGCAGCCTTCATGCCTCTTGCCTCTCACTCTTTTCTTCAGCAAACGAGAAAAATCTCTCAGGTCGCATATCGAGCGACTTCAGGTAGAGCATGGCGATGACGACGGTGGTTCTGACTTGGGTAGATGGAGAACAGAAGACATGCGCACAGTCGTGCAGCCGTGGAGGAGGTTCGAAGTCAACGCCTCCCCCCCGCCTCCCCCCTTACTATCCCTGGCAGATTTACGTGCAGAAGTTGGAGGCATCTAGGAACGAGAGGGACATGCTCACCCTCCAGCTCGGAACAGCATACGAGGAGATCGCAATGCGGGATGCGGCGCTAGCCGACTCAGCGGCATACATGCAGGTGCAGTCAAGTTATAAGGATGGAACGATATGGTTTAGGCTCGCTGCAGGCCCTGAAGCGGCGCAATGCTGAGCTGCAGATTCAACTGAGAACTCTCCTCCTCGAGAGGAACCAGGTGGCAAGAGGAGGGTATGCTGTGCGCGTGTAATGGGATGCAGCAGGGGAAGGCGGAGAAGGCGCAGGCGTCTGAGAGCGAGGACAACATCTTCGGTCTTGCGCACATCCGCTCCAAGGTCGATGCGATGTCCTTGTGCGATGAGACGCCTTGACGTCACACAGATCGAGGAGGCTGTCAAAGAAGCTGCGCAACTGAAGGAGAGGTGGGAAGTTTGGTCGTGCGTTCATTTCTGATGAGACGGCAGTGAACGGAAAGACAAGATCAAGCAGCTGAGGATCAGATGGCATCCGGACAAGAATCCTGTGCTTCAGGTGACACCTTCCTGACGTCCTTGCTGCCTGCGTTTTCCAATTAGAAGTCTGAAAGTTTTGTGGCTGAGCAGGAGTTTGCGACGGAAGTCACCAAGATCATCAACGAGACCGTTCAGAAGTACAAGCTCTGAAGTTGCTCAGTTAACAGGTGAAGCCTCCCTGCCTTCGCTCGTGCTCACCCTCGGAGCAGTCTTCTGCTCCCTCCCGCCTCGCTTGCTTCCTTTATTTCATCAGCTTCAACTCGCGGAGTCTTTCTAGTAGAGGGTCTGCCGGGGCCCCGTATATCTCCCACTGGTCGAGGATGTTTTGTGCTGTGTCCACGGCCTGCTTGTGACTCGCCTCCTCCGCCCGCTGCTTCAACCTCTTCATCGCCTGTGCCAGCCCTGCCGCCTACGTCAGCCGCATTCCCTCCTCTGCCCTTCCGTCCCATGCACATCTCACCTGCGTTGAGATGCTGCTCCCGGATCTGAGGGATCGCACACCACAGCCCGATGGCATCAGCGGCGGCAGCAGCGATGGCTGGCGTGCGTTAAGTCGAACCCCAAGAGAGGAGGAGCTTACCGAGGTTAGGAGAGTCAAGCATGGCGCGTACAAACGATGAGAGGGAAGCGAGCTCTAGCACTCTCACGGCGCTGCACGGGTGCCGGCTTAGCGCTCGGATGAGCATCAGGGCTGCGGCAGAGTTGGCGATGTTGGTACCCTCCAGCCCCTCCTTGCACATGCAGTTCATTGCCCCAAGGAAACTCTCACTGCAGAGCTGCCGGGCCATGTCCTGCTAGAGCTTCTTACATGCCTACACCTCCAGTCCTCCCTCCTCTGACCTCACTGTGTGCCAAGTAGGACAGAGCCATGACGGCCATTCGCCGTAGCTGAGCTGAAGTTTGCTCCTCCTGCACCATCCGCTGCAGCTGATCGACCACTCCTGAGCTTCTCCACACATCGAACTTCGCGTCGATCTGGCAGCAGGTCAGGCAGCCTTGTCAGGTCGTGACCTCTTCACCGAGGACTGGAGGATGGAGATGGGCGACGCAGGCAGCAAGTGGTTCCGGTCGTCCTCCCTCCGCTGCATGATGAAGCATGGCAGGTCCCCCCAGATGTGCGGAATAAGGCGGAAGTCGAGGAGGTGGAGGCCGGGAGAAGGAAGACGTCGGTGCAAGGAGACCAACACGGTCCCTTGCTTCAGCTCCATGGCAACCTCGCTGGTGCAGACGATCATGAGGGACCGCAAGGAGTGCAGGCAAGAGACCTCAGCTCCTTCACCTCCTCCTCGCTCTTGCCGAGGAGATCGATGAAGATATGGCTCGCTTCTTCCCAGGTGACGTCCAGGCTCGATGCTTCTTCAAGGCTCACCTCCCAGCTAAAATTGTCTGCCACCTCCTGCACCTGTGCAGCACATTCACAGACAGAAGCTTGCAACCCGAGGATGCGTACTTGGTTGCTCTCCATCGACTTCTGCAGGATTTCCAATCGCTTCCTGCTCTCCTCAACTTTCATGGTGTTTTCATCGATTCCTATCACCTGGCATGCGTCATTCATTTCCTTCAGTATTCTTGCAAGTCAACCAGATCGAAGGGGTGAAGAAGGCACGTCGCTAGGGTGAGCTCGCCGCTCCCTGACGTCAAGTCCATCAGCGTTCCTCCCTGTCTCGGCAGAGCTTCAAGCACGCGCAGCGCGCGGACAAGCTCGGCAGCAGTCTCGAAATTCACATCCCCGTACTTCATGTTCTCTATGATCTGCTCGTCTTCGGCATCCCCTGGCTGCTCGTCCGCCTCCCCCTCCATCACATCTTCTTTGAAAGCTTCCTCCCAGATCCCCTTTGCTCTCTCATGCAGCTCACGCGTTTCCTCGTCGAGGTCTTGCAGCTGCAGCGGCCGGATCCCTTCCATGCTGTCTGGTTGTAGCACAGAGATCAGTTCGCGGATGCCGAGATCTTGCTTGCTCGCTTCCCCGGATGCCAGCTGCTCTTTGATCTCCCTTACACGCTCCTCCTCCTCCTCTTGTGCGAAGGTCAAGACTTGATCATGCATATGACGCGGAAGCTGCCAACTCACGGCGAGCCTGAGAGGTCGGATTTTATCTCTGCGAATGCTTGATGGTGAGCACACGATGGAGTAGGAGCAAGAACGGATCCTGTCTTCCCATAGTATCCACGAGCCCTTGCAGCACGTAGACATGCGAGACAGAAGGCTGGTAAGAGGATACCTGCCGAGCAATTCACTCCTGGAGTGGCATTCGTGCAATTCACTCCTGGAGCAGAATAGGCACGAATGCCTATTCTGCTCCCTCCTCTCCCCTGCTCTCTTCCTCCCCCACTCTCCCTCCTCCCTCTTCCCTCCTCCCTCCTCCCTCCTTCTTGCCCCCTCCTTCTTGCCCCCTCCTCCCTCCCCAAGCTTCCTCCTCCCCTCTTCCCCTCCTCCCCTGCGTCTTCCTGAACAACTATCGCACCTGCGCATGTTCTGTGAAATGCAGCTTTAGATTTGTTTTTTATAAGCAAAGTTTCAAAAGATTTCAAACTTGTCACGTAGTCCGGATCTACTCAGGATTTGATGCCGGATTCTTCTTCGAGTCAACCGTCCAGCCTCGGAGCCTCCGAGGCTCGGAGGAGGGACTGACTCAGAAGAAAGGACGAGGATCAGGAGAGGAGATGGAGGGGGAGGAGAAGGGGGAGCGGGAGGGAGAGGACGAGCACGAGGACGAGCACGAGAAGGAGGAGGAGGACTCCTGAGATAAAAGGCTCCTTGAGGAAGAGAAGGATCTTTCACCCCATCTCGAGATTGATAACATTATGAATCAGAAATTTTCTGATAAGGACTGAAAGGAACTTGAAGACATCAAGAGGTCAAAACAGAAGCGGACAAGAAGCCGAAAGTGGGGAGAGACTCAAAAAGGGGCACGAAGCACGAGGCAGCAAGCGCGAGTATCCACCAGATAGCTTGTAGGCAGCTTCAAAGCGCTAGTCGTGAACAATCAAACATTCCCTTCACTCTTTGTGTTGTTCAAAGAAAATGTGAGGTACTACTCGGCACAAGTGTAAAACTTCCTGAGCGAATTTCAATCGATGAATCCGTCATGAAGAAAGTAAGAGGAGAGTCATTGACAGTCGTCCATTCCTTTCAAACTTCCCAGCAGACCTTCTTCATATCCTGGTACGATGGAGCGGAAAGTGAGGGAAATGCGATGAGGCGATGGAGTACACGGAAGCCTGTGCTGCCAATGAAGCTGCGTCCTTCCTGCCATCACCACAGCTGAGCCATGGAGGACGGGGAGAGAAACCTGCCGCTTGCTTGCTACATGGCGGAACTCAAAGAGCCGATTACCATCAGGTGATAAGGTGATGGAGACGACGAGAGGACAGCTGCCATGCGCTCTCACCTCGTCATGGTGCCACACGATCCGCCCTGCTCCCTGCTCGTAGTTGTTGAGGAGACAGGCTGTAAGGGGAGGAAGCCCGTGCGAGGTGAAGAAAGAGTTGACATGGTTCTTGATCGGCAGCAGACTACCAGTCCATGGTTGTGGGGTGAGCCGGAGTCCCACGTAGGCGAAGGTACAATGTGGATCGCCGAAGTATGCCGTCAGTCGCTCCTGTACTCCGACGCTGTCTTCTTCTCTCCTCCATTCAACATTGTCACGCAGATGTTCAAAGAGCTCAGTTGCTGCCCGGGGCTGCATGAACTTTGGCAGGTATGTTATGAAGCAGTTCTCGCCATTTTCGTTGGGATGCACCAAAACGTCACCGAAGGGTTTGAAATCTTTCCCGAAAACTTGTTCGACACTTTCACCCTCTTCCAGACTGCTCATCTTTCTTTTCATCAGCGTATTTTTGTCTTTCCACCATCTTGCTCCGCTGCTCGCCATCAGTGATCTTATCGCCTGCCCTCCCCGCGCCATCCTGGGCCATACCATTGCAATGGTATGTCCAACTTCCGCCCCTCAACCTCCCCGACGATTACCGAACCCCACCTCACCACTACCCCCTTCCTTCTCCGATAGCAATGACCCCCACCCCTCCGTATATGTGGGAACAACGACAACCCCATGGGAGAATGGTTACTGCGACCCTAGAGTACCCCTACCACATCCACAATGAGCTCATCCGGTCCCTCTCCGCATCGCTAATCTCCTTCCGCACCCTCTTACGTCCTCTCCTCCTCTTCTCCCCTGCTGTCAGCTCTCCGCCTCGTCTGTATTCTGTTCCCTCTTGTAAATTCTCCTGAAGCTGCTATGAAGTCCCTTCATTTCCTTCTCCTCGCGTGTGTCGGGCTCAGTATGGCAGCGTCAGATGATGAAACGAAGCTGATTGGTAGGAGACCGAAGATCATTTTGTTTGGCGACAGCATAACCCAGCAGTCTACTGGCGCTTGGGGCTGGGCGACCTTGCTGGCGGACTTGTACACAAGAAAAGCGGATGTGGTAGTGAGGGGGTTCAACGGATACACGACCAACATAGCGAGGTGAGAGGAGGTGCAAGCAGAAGAAGCATCAACTCATGGCGATGTCTTTATTATCCCAGGACAATCATAGAGCAAGCTGCAGATATCAAGGCAGACGGAAATTCAACACTGCTGACGATTTTCTTCGGCGCAAACGATGCTTGTGAACCCGGTCATGACATGCATGTTGAGTTGGACGACTACGGTCAAAATTTGCGGAGCATTGTCAACAAATGCGAGCAAAAGCTTCCAGGGATCACCATTGTGATCATCTCTCCTCCTCCCATCGACGACGATAAGATCGCGGAGTGAGATGTGTGTTGTGTTTGCAGTCGATCATATTTCAATCAGATTCTCCTGGTGTGCTGGGAGGTCAAACGCTCGAGTCAGCGCGTACGCAGAAGAGAGTGCTCGAGCTGCTCAGGATACAGGATCTCTCTTTCTCGACCTGTACAATCTGATGATGGAGAGTGAGAATTGGCGGACTTTCCTATCAGGTCCTGACGAAACATGCGCATTCCTATGAGTTCTTCTTACATCCAAGACAGACGGGCTGCACCTCTCCCGTGAAGGTCAAAGATTTCTCTTCGATGGTCTTGTCTCTCTCGTCTCGAGCGATCCCTTTGCCAGGAACGATGTCTCTGATCCTCCGTCACCTGCTGACCTGATCCAACAGGCGTTGGAGCCCTTCAAACATGCCGGACCACTTCCCAAACTTCGACTCTTTCTTCGGGATGGATACTTTGGTGCTTCGAAAGGTTTGCGAATGGCCTGACCACAAGGGAAGATATTGCACCCAGCAAAATCACCTCGACGAGTTATGAGAGCTTGATTCAATGTGAAATTCCAAGTTCTAGCGAGTTGACGGTCAAACTTTATTCTCATCTAAAGTTTTCTGCAAGATGCGTGCTTCTCACTTGGGCCTGCACTCTGCAACCCTTGCCAGGATTGTTGGTTCGACGGGACTTCCTGAAAAAGCAAAGAATATGAATCTCCATCAGAAAAGTTTCTTCTGCGAACCTGTGAGATACAAAGGGCGCTGACCACTCTTGAGGTACTGTGCAATATTTGGTCGCTCCATCATACTGAGAAGTATGTTAGATCATCCTTTCCTGATTGCAGAGACACTTTTACGTGAACATAAATTTCGAGCAGTGGGGAAATCCATTGAAGCTTTCCTGCATGTCAGCCAATTGAGATATGAACCATTCACACTGAAATTTCATCTACCTTTCCTAGAATCATGGCAATCAGGTCCATTGCCTCAAATATCTGACGTGGAGATGAACAAGTCAAGGAACAATGCGAGTAGCCGCATCTGAGAATTTACAAAGTAATCTCCCATGCACGGAGCATCCTTGTTCACCAAGTATCCGCCATTAGATTTTGCAAGATTTTCAATCCTTGGAAGAAATCCATGAATCCTTGCGTGACTGTTGACTGTGAGAAGGAGCAAGGTAATGAAAGGTATCCTTACAACTGCCCAACGGCACTTACTAGGTCTTCGGCTGCAATGGGTGTTAAAGAAAACCAGAACCAGTTCTTCGTCCACAAAATTACGTTTTGCATTTTGCATGGTGCCTATGATGTTGATGAGTTGCAAGGAGAGAACTGCACGCATTGAATGAGGCAAACTAAGCAGTACATTGCATTGAGCTCACGAATTATATCTTGGTGAGCAAAGCTGGTGAGGGAACTGCTCTTCAAATCAGAGTTCTTATCTTCAGCAATTGAGTGATTCTTCTAGGCTCTTACGCTGAACGTGCTGCAAGCTGTAAATCATTTGCATTTTGCTCCGCTGAGTGAATAAACGATCACAATGACGAAGTACAGTACACATGCCATTCACCATGTCCTAGTTTGTTGTACAAGAAAGTTGAAATGGCCTCAGTCTGCAGGAGTAATAAGATGATAGACTGAAAACTTTAATTGCCAACCTGTGAAAGCTGGAAGTTGTCCCACTCCAACACCGGAAGTGAGCCTGAAGAAATGCCATGATGTCACAAATGCCGACGGTACTTGACTGACAGCACAGCATACCCCAAATGCCACTGATTGAGGCGTTGTTCTTCATGTTGAACCAGTTGCCGCTCATGATATTCTGATCCTTTGTAAGACATCAAGAGCAAATCTGACTCTGGCTTCACCTGCATGGAAATTCGGTCGTCTTTGAAGTTCGTGTTGGCATCCACCAACGCATAGCTGATGCGCAACAGCAAGACAATGTTAGTCCTCGGATCAGCAAGACGATGACAAGGAATAAGAATTACCGAAGGGCCTGAGCTCTTCCCCTGCTCTCAAAGTAGCGGAGAACAACCTTGCCTGCCACGAAGATGTCAGTCGAAGAAGATCGAGGCTTCTGTAGAACCTTCAACAGCAGCAGCTGTCGACAAATTCCTTGCTGCATGACAGGATCAGAAGCGCGAAGTGACAGCATGGCGTATCGTCAGCCATGAAAGTCGCAGCGCATGTCGCTCCTATCACCCTCACCTGCTGCGCGCATGCAAGAGCGCAGCATTTTGTCGAGGAAAAATCCAACCCCGCCTCAGAGATGTTACGCCTCGTAAATCGTTTTGGAAACGCCCCCCCTCCCCCCCCGTCGGACGCTCAAAAGATGTAGAGACAAGCCAGGAGACAAGCGCAGAGGACAAGAAAGGCAGTGATGATGATACTTCATGCTCATACCTCATGCTCATACCTCATCCCCATACCTCATCCCCATACCTCATCCCCATACCTCATCCCCATACCTCATCCCCATACCTCATCCCCATACCTCATCCCCATACCTCATCCCCATACCTCATCCCCATACCTCATCCTCATGCCTCATCCCCATACCTCATCCCCATACCTCATCCCCATACCTCATCCCCATACCTCATCCCCATACCTCATCCCCATACCTCATCCCCATACCTCATCCTCATGCCTCATCCCCATACCTCATCCCCATACCTCATCCCCATACCTCATCCCCAGACCTCATGGCAGACCTCATGGGCGCCATGAGGTATGGGGATGAGGTAGTATGGGCATGAGGTCTGGCGTTGCTTCAGCCTTCCTTGCCGTCTTCCCGATGTCGTCTTGGATTGCACTCGTGGAGGATCTAGGCGAGGGGGCTTCACTTAACGGACCATGCAGAGACGTGGGCGATCTTGACGGTAGAGCGGGGGGCGGGGAGGGGGGACATGCTTGCGCGAGCGAGGGAAGGGGAGGGAAGGTAGCGAGAAGGGAGGGGAGGGAGTCTGTAAGTAAGAGGGGGACGGAAAGCTTCATATCTGATGGGGAGCAGTTACGGAGGTCTGGATGTTAGGAGACACAGTCGGAGGCCCGTCACTTCAGGCCCGGGCCTGGGAGTCAGCACCAGCCTGACCGAGGCTGCGCGAACTGACTTCGAGAGTCAGAAACGTTTGAAGCCTTGTGTCAAGTTGAGGCGAATTTGTTGGTACATCCTTTCCTCCTTCGCTTGTCTTTTCCATAAAAAGATATCAATCTCGCAAACTACTCGAGACTCGAACTGGTGATGCTGCACTGCGGCACTGTCAAGCCTTCGGGCCAGCCAGCCTGACTGAGGCTGGGCAAGGCTTCAAGTTGACTTCCTGACATGGGCCGCAAGGCTCCACGAGTCAACTTGACTCTGCCTGACCTGGGCCGCAAGGCTTCAAGTTGACTGGCCGCTGTTTGACGGAGACCGCAAGTCTTCACGGTGCTGCCAAGTTGCCCTCGGCCCCGCCAGCTCTTCATTTTTTCCCCTCTGGAGTTTGCCTCCTTCAAGCGTCAGCTTCCATATCAGAGGGGCGGGGAAGGTTTCACACCTCAAGCAGGGGGTAGTCTATCTGCTTGTTACATACCCCTCCTTCAAGCGGACGAGCAGGATCTGGCCCTCCCTCCCCTACTGGCTTCCTTCCTGAGGGTGCATCAGGCCCTGGTTGGTCGTGGAGTGCTGCAATATATCCCCTCGGTGACCTGATGACGCACGTCTAACGCACGTCTAACGTCTGAGCAACGAGATCCATCGCCTGCTCTCTTTCAGCTCGCGGGTGAACCTCCTTTTCTCCCCACCCAGCGTTCAGTCAGAGGACGGTTGATGCAGACTTTTCCCCCTCATCTTGAGCAGCGGGCGCACTTATCCCCGGTTCTATCCCCCCGAGTCAACGAGTCAGTCTTCTAGCCCGTTCCCCCTGAAGCCCCTCCTCCGGAAGGCTCTGAACCCTCAGCGGGGCTTGCACTACTCTCTGATGCAGGCCACCACCATGGGCGACCTCTGGCTCCCTGCCCTTTCCACCGCCACCTGGAATTCCAGTCCCACCCAAAACAAGATCTCGGATCATCGCGTAAGCTATGCCGCCCATCACCCGCCGCGGGGAAGCCTTTCTTCGCTTCACTGCAGGTAGATGGTCTTCGTCATGCTCACGATTTGCGGTTTCTCTGGTACCTGGCGGATCACCATGGAACCTCCGCTACGCTGACAGCGGAGTGGGATGGATGCGCTCAGAAGCCGGTGTATGGAGACCCTGCCTTTCATCGTCTGCCGCGTGCTCGTCTGTTTCGGCAGTCTCGAGCTCGCATGGGGCTTGCAAATATGTCCATGGAGCCGGTTTCTTCCACTAAGGTAAGGCAGTCAACTTGATTCAGTGGAAGCAGAGGCGCTTCTATCACTGCAGTTTCCATGGCTCTTGCCGAAACGTTTGTGTTAGAACTTTTTCGTTCTTGTGTAGATGCTTGTTCACTTGGTGCGTCAGTAACTTACCTGATCACGTTTGATCTGATGGCGATCGCCTAGTTGCAGTACGAGACGCTTGCGTTGACCTCAGCCTGCTTGTACCAGACTGTAGATGACACGTTCAGGCTAAAGGCACCAACCCCTCAAACAATGCACTACTCGATGTCTGAATCTCGCGTGCAAAGAGCCGAATGTAGCGTGATGAGTTTTACAAGCTGACCTAGAGGTATAATCTATCATCACGAACAACTCTTCTATGCTCAATCAAAGCGTAAAAGGTCGAAGGTATCGGTTGTTCCTCCGTATGTGCTTCCTTCTAGGCGAGCCTGCACATGATTTGGTGAGCTTGACGATCTCCGTCGCACGAGGCTGGGCCGTCTGACTTGCATCTGCTTACAGCTCATCTCAAGCTGAGCTTCATGAAAAATGCTTGCCTTTGACGTTCAACGAGGGCTCCGCGCATACGCAAAGAAGGACCTCCCGATCCCTGGAGTTCCTGTGAGGGTGAGGTGATGGCATTAGCTCATCTAGGCTTGGAGGTCGGCGCGAGCGGCGAACTGACTTTGAAGCCTTGTGTCAAGTTGAGGCGGATTTGTTGGTACACCCTTTCCTCCTTCGCTTGTCTTTTCCATAAAAAGATATCAATCTCGCAAACTACTCGAGACTCGAACTGGTGACGCTGCACTGCGGCACTGCCTGACCTGGGCCGCAAGGCTTCTCCTTCTTCTCTCATACCCCTGGCTTCCTATTGTTAGAGAAAGGTATGGATTATCAGTTCGCAAATGACAGCTCTCCCTGATCGCTAGGGTGAAGAAGGAGGTTCCTTGTATTGAAAACCTCGCAAAAGAGAGCAATCCAAGGAAGAGCTTAAGACTAGGTCCATTCAGCAAACATGTCAATCAGATCAGCACATTTTCTTGTCTGTGTCATCGTCCACTTTCTCACTCCATGATTGCAAGTGGATGATTTCTGAGATCGCCGAGGTTGATGGAACTCGTTTGTCCGAGCAGTTCTTCGATCGATATGTGCGCCGATCTTGTCTCATCTTTAACTGTACTGTCGACCTCCAGCATGCTTGTAACATCTACAGAAGATTAAGAATTATGACTGCTCCGGCGGCGGCTTGCACTAGTTCCCTCTATTTAAACTTTTTATTGCGACTCTCTTCGACAGGACCATCGCATACTGCGTCAGATTGTACTCTGCCAACTCCTTTGGTATTGACCCCTCAAACTTGAAGCTTTGAGCTCGTCTCCTGGAGCGCTTTCGTTCCAGGTGTTCAGGTAGAACAAACACAAAGCATACGCTTTCAATCGTGTTCTTGACTCGCAAGGCCTTCAAGATTTGATAAAGAGGTTCAAGCTTGATCGGATGCTTCCCCGCCCCTGTCATCTGGAACATGTACAGTACCCCGCTCTTCGATAAGGACAAGGCATCCATGCACGGAAAGTTTCGAGCCTTGGGCTTGCAGTATGTGTTGTAAGTGATCACCATATCCTTCATCGCTCCATACGATTTCGGGAACTCGTAGAACGTTTGTGATGCTTTCAGGATCAGATCTTTCACTGCAGCCTCGTCGTCCCCATCCGTTTGCAGCCTGTGAAGTTTGAACTTTCCTCCTCGCTTCAGCACCTCATGTGCAACATATTCAAAAGCTGAACCAGGAGTATTTTCAAAACCAGGACGCGAGAAAGCCAAGTCAACAAACTGAACCCTGTCATGCCGGACAAGCTGTGCAAAGATAATCCTCTCAGCCCTGTTTGAGCATATCCGAGCGGTGAAGGTCTTATAGTCCGACTTGGGGTAAAGGTGAATCAGCTTCGATGGCGTTCCCAGGTCCTGGTTGGAAGCCACAACGATCTTTCTCTCTAGGTCTGAACAGCCATCTATCTCCATAGCAGCCTCCTTGAGAAGCTCCTCAGGTCCAATGATTAAGTTCCTCGGTATGTTGCCCCAGTCCTTGATGATCTTCCTGGCTTATTGCTCGTTAATGCGCCCCTTGTGCATCTCAATGAAGATTTCCATCTCCTTGTCTGACCACACCGGCAAGAAATATCGCTGCGCGAAATAATCATTCGAAATGTCCTTGAACTGCCTCTTCTTCGGTGAAGAGATTATAATTGTTCTTGCTATTTCTGATATCTCGTAGTCCCCCCGCTCGCTGTACAGGTCACAGATATACCACACCCGATTGGTTTCAAGAAACACAGAAATTTCAGAAGTTTCCTTCCTCAGGTAATACCATTTCCTTCCGTCGAAGTACCAATACTGAGTTCCTATCTGATAGACCACTTGCTCATTAGACCGGAGAATATGAAGGAGCAAGAAGTACGCAAAGCAGGTTTTCCCAATACCTGGAGTTCCTGTCAGAATCAAAGGGCGAACTCGTTTGACTGGCTCTTTGTCCTTGAACGTCTCTGGGACCAGGTTGAATTGATCTACAATTATCTGCAGCATCTTGAAGTAGCACTCACGTAGGAAAAGCTGATTTCCAAATTCCTCTTGGCCTCGCAAGCATATAGAAAACTTTACTATCTCATTGGCCAACAAGGTGTTCCCTTTGCGCGTAATGTAGAGAAGCTCGTTCAAAAAAGCTAGCATGCATTCTATCATTTTTATCAGATGACAAATGATCATCACATTTCATGCAGTCTATACCTTTCGATTTTGACATATACTCTGTTCGAAGTACACGAATTCCATTCCCTTCTAGCTTGTCAAGCTTCTTGAAAAGCTGCTTCTCCTCCTCTCGAAGCTGCTTTTTTTTCTCTCGAAGCTGCTTCTTCTCCTCTCGGAGCTGCTTCTTCTTCTCTTGCCAGTAGCTTCGCATATTTGGGTCAGAGATGAAGTTCCTCTCTGCCACTTCTATCTTTCCATCAATTGCTTCAATCTGTTCACCAACCCTGGCGATCGTCTCATTCACTCTGCTGATCTCCTCCTTTACCCACGCGATCCTCTCATCAGGGAGCTCGTCTACAGGGAAACCATCATGAGCCATATTCCATCTTGCACCACTTCCTCCTCGTATCTTCATGCAAGAGTCCTGGAGTGACATATCTGCCTTGACCTGACAAACACGTTGACAGCAAATCGAAGTTGCTAGCTCCTATAATCGAATCGAAGCATGTCAAATCGAGCGCATGCAGCAAGGCAGATGTCTCCACCTCTGCGATTGCCGTGTACATCGGGACCAGACAAAGAAGCAGAGACACGATCTCATCGTGTCCCATTGCTACCACCATTGTCAGTATCAACCTTGTCCAAGGAGCGTATACCACAAAAATCCGCCTCAACAGAAAACTAGCAAAAGGAAAAGGCAGCAAAAACCTTCAGTAGGGGAACAGATTCATCTTTGATTTGCCCTCAACAGTCGGTACCCAATTAATTTACTCAACTTGATTAAATTTGCGCGTAAAAGGAGGCTGGATGGGAGATGAAAGCGAGGCGACGAGGAGGACGAGGACGAGGACGAGGACGAGGACGAGGACGAGGACGAGGACGAGGACGAGGACGATATGCATTATATGGCTGAAGATGATATCATCTGGTGCAGATAAGAAAAGAAGAAGCATAAAGTAGCAGAGAGTGAGGGCTTTCACTTAAGAATGTTAGAATGTTTCACGAACTGACGGATAATCAGCACAGGTTGGAAGGTGGCATGAATCTTTAACCGAGGTAGAAAATTTCGAGATGGATAAGACATTCAGAGCTTCTCAAATTTGCTTTATCGTTTTCACTTCGCTCATCCTGCAATGCTCCGCTTTTTCCACTTTTTGTTCGCCTACTAGTTTCAAGACATCCAGATTTCAACGCCTGTCACCCTGTATGTGCGAGGAGCAAGGGTCCCAAGTCCAGGGGACAGATGGAGCATCGGCCATGTGCGGAGTGCCGGTGAACAGCTTCCTGCATCAGCAGAAGGAGCTGGTGGGGCAGGCTATTCCTGGAGCGCAGCCTCGGTCGAGCTGGACTGATGCCCTGTCAGCTCCAGCGATCCCTAGGGTGATGAGCGGGAAAACGATGGAGGAGATGCCAGCTGGGAAGAAGCAGAAGGAAATCTCGGGCCGAGCTCGTCCTGACTGGTTCCGTGTTCCTGCTCCTCCCCCTAAAGACGCAAGCACCAAGTACAACAAGCTCAAGGATGGACTGCGCGATCTCAAGCTTCATACGGTATGACCCTGACTCAGTGCTTCCACCCTCCCTCCCTCCCTCCCTCCCTCCCTCCCTCCCTCCCTCCATCCATCCATCCATCCATCCATCCATCCATCCATCCATCCATCCATCCATCCATCCATCCATCCATCCATCCCTTTTCATGAGCAGGAAGTCACTAGTTTTACCTTCCCCGGCAGGTCTGTGAGGAGGCTCAGTGCCCCAACATCGGAGAGTGTTGGAACGGAGGAACGGGAACGATCATGCTGCTGGGAGACACTTGCACGAGAGCATGCAAGTTCTGTGCCGTCAAGACGTCCAACTCTCCTCCTCCTCCTGACCCGGAGGAGCCCTTCAACACCGCCAAGGCCATCGCTGAGTGGGGCCTCGACTATGTCGTCCTTACTTCCGTTGATCGCGACGACATGCCAGACGGCGGAGCCTCACACTTCGCACAGACAGTCCAGTACATCAAGGTAACATGGAGGAGGCACAAGTAGAGCTGAGCCGGCTGCAGGTGTGGAACCCCAAGATTCTGGTTGAGTGTCTTGTGTCAGACTTCCAGGGTATGGAGGAATCAGTCAAGACCCTGGCGCTCTCGGGTACCAAGTCTTGTCAAGAACAAGGTTTGACATGCTGTGAACACTTGTGCAGGTTTGGACGTGTATGCGCATAATATCGAGACTGTCGAGCGCTTGCAACCGGTTGTTAATCCTTGCCAAGCCCTGCAGTTCCCTCTTTTCTTTCTGTTTGAATTCCCTTCATAATCATGCTCTTCCATGCATACCTGCGCATCGTGATTTCTGCCCCCTTCTCTCCTCGTTACCCTTACCATCGTGCTTCTAGTTTGTTCGGGACAAGCGGGCCAACTACAGACAATCACTTCACGTGCTCGAGCACGCCAAGAAGGTGAAAGGCATGGCCAGCAGAAGATTCGCTGATGGGCGATGCAGGTGAATCCAAAACTCTTCACCAAGTCATCCATAATGCTTGGGCTTGGAGAGACAAAAGAAGAAGTAAGAGTACTCCATGGATCTCTACCTGCTCGAATCTGATTATCATGTGCTTGTAGGTGAAGCAAACTATGCTAGATTTGCGTTCCTGCGGTGCTTCCTTCTCTCCCTCCTTCCCATCTCCCTGCTATTCCCTCTCTGCTGCCTCTTTCCTCTCCCTCCTCTCTCCTACCTACTTCTTCCTTCTCTTCGTTACCGTCAGTTGCAGGCACAGACGTTCTCACCCTCGGACAATATCTCCGTCCTTCTCCCCACCACCTTGCCGTGCAGGAATTCGTTACTCCTGAAGTGTTTGACGAGCTTCGGAAGGTGAAGAGGACGAGAGGAGGAGGAGGAGGAGGAAGAGGAGGAGTAGAAGTCATGATGTGGTGCGGCAGATGGGAGAGGAGATGGGCTTCAAGTACGTTGCTGCAGGCCCGATGGTGCGATCAAGCTATAAAGCTGGTGATCATTCAGCTCTGAATTCGCCTTGTGCTGCTTTCTGAGCAGTGAACAGGAGAGTTCTTTTTGGAGAACATGATCCGAAGTGCGAATGAGGAGGAGGCAAAGAAACTTCTAGGTCAGTGAAGGCTATCGGGGAAGGGAGGAAGGGCAGGGGGAGGAGAAAGGAGGATCATGGGAAAGCCATAGCCATGTAGCTGCGCATGGTTGTCCTAACGCTGTTGACGTGCAGAGGATTTCAAGACTGGACATGAGCATCACCGAACGATCAAGCAGAGCAAGTAGATGAAAGTAATAGAGCCAAAGAAAGATGTCAAGACTCTTATTTCCAATTGTTGAGATGAAATATTACAATGACTGTAAATGGTGTTCCGAGGGTCTGACAAGTTAAGATGAGCTACAGAGGGGGAGAGGAGCAGATCGGGAGAGAAACTTTCATCGTCTCATTTCTCATCCTCATGCTGCCCCTGAGCAATTCCCCTGAGCTTCATGATGGCATCGTCAATTTGGGACGAGGGGCAAGCTTGCGTTGCTCACGTCCAAGGCCTCGACCCCATGGTTGGCGAACCATTCCTTCACCTCCTCGTCTGCTGAGTTTCTCTTGTTGACGGGTTTCAGTCTCATGATCGCATCCTTCTCCTCTTCCAGGAACTTGCTGCACAGCTTCCCGACCAGCTCCGTGATTTTTTCTGTCTCTGGGTGCTCTGCTCCCTTCGTCTCCTGAACGATCTTCCGCGCTTCGTTCATATGCTCAATGATCTCTGCCTTGCACACTCGCATGTTGTGCTGCAGTTCTGAGTGCTGCCTTGACAAGTTGGCGATGTCCTTGTCAAGCCCGAACATGTCTTGCTCGAGTCCAGCAAGTTCGATCCCCTCTGCCTTCCTCTCGATCTCTGCTCTGTTGCGTAGAGAGCTCTCGAGTTCTGCATCCACCACGTGGAACTGCTCAGTCATCTGCTTCAGCTGCTGCCGCTTGATCGTCCCCATCGCCGTGTAGAGCTTGCCGATCTGTGGGTCCTTGTGGCTAGAAGAGCGAGCTTCCTTCAGCTCCCAGGCCTTCACCAGGTAGTTCATCGCGTCGTCAAACAGTTTCTGTGCTGAGTACAGATCGCTCATGGCCACGTACAGGGACGCCACTGTTCCGTCGGGATCGTCAGGCACTTCATCCTCCTCTTCCTCTTCTGTCGCCATGGAGTCTCCTGTCTTTCCTATCCTCCGCATGCAGATCTTCTTTGCCGTCCCGAGCAACGAATGAGCCGACTGGTAGTTTCCAAGCCGAGTCTCGCAGATTCCCATGCCCTCGAGGATTCTGCAGCGAAACGCGAGGGACTCGTCGGTTTGCGGGTTGAGCTGGTTGATGTTGTCAGCAGCCTTGAAGTGAAAGAGAGCCTGCACGATCATCTTCAGCCGCAGGTAAGTCGTAGCGAGATGAAAGTGTGAGCGAACGAGCAAGGGATGGCTGTCGGAGTGCTGCATGCGAACACATGCTGAATACTCCACCCATGCCTTGATGAGCTCTTCGAAGTTACCCTCCTCGTTGAGCTTCTTGATCCTCTCTTGAATAATCTCAAGCCTGACTGATGGCGGCTGCAAATATTCTGACTCTTCTTCGTCTTCGTACGAGACATCCAAGGGAGGAGATCGGGAGGCTGGCTTCTCCTGCTTCCTTTGAAATTTGCTTCTGTTTGCGTCTGGATGCAACTGCAAATGAGCATCTCGATGTTGTCCTCTCAACGCCAGGGCCGCCACCTGCCGTCCATGCCCCATCGCCAGCTGCACAGTCGGAATGCCTTTGGTATCAATCGCTTTCAGTCTTTCCTCACTCAATTGTTTGGATGCGGACGGGGGTCGCGTCCTCTTGCTTTCCAGCGTCTTAGTCTTCAAATCTTCTGCTCCTCGCATCTTCCTATCTTCCGGCGTCCAAAACTTTGCCCGCGCGTCCACGATCTTCTCGTCTTGCGCTGCCTTCTTCTCAATGCGCAGCTTCGCTGGGTAGATCTTATCCATAGTCATCCTCGCCCTTTGAAACGGATCTATCAAGTCCTCCTGCACCTCTCTCCTCATGGAGCTTCCTGCCTTGGCTCTCAAGATCGCAATGCTCTTCAGCATCTTGGTTCTGTGCCCTAGCGACGTGACTCCCAGCCTTCTCTTCAGTTGCTCAGCATCGAGGAGGATCAAGTCGGCTCCCTCCACTCCTGCAGCCTCGAAGGCAGGGAGGTAGAGGGAGAGGCCGAGGCTCTCCAGCCATGCCTCCACCTCCTCCTTCTTCCACGCCTGAGGCTTCGGGAACTGTCGGAGCAGCTCCATTGCGCGCTCAAATCTTGACTACACCTGTGAAATATTGACTATGGTCAACCTCAATCAACCGAAGTAGTAGTTTGGTCAAAAGGGTGGGTATATGCAGTTGCATGGGGGGGTATCATGTCGAAGGCGCTTCACGATCTTGAACTGCTTGACTATAGACGAGCAATTTTTGAGGATAACTGAAGGCGGCCGGGCCGGCCTGGGGGGTTGCCAGTCACTGGCAGGGCCGGCGGGCCATCCGGCCGCCGTTCCGAAGTTCGAATCCGACTGATCGTGACTTTGAGTAAAGATCGTGACTTTTTACTCAAAGTTAAGTTAAAAATCAGTACGAGGACAATCAGGAGAGTCGAGGAGGCTTGACCCTGACAGCTTTACTCAAAGTTTTAAGCCCTGACACTGTCGCACTCAGTGAGTCGTCACTGGGGCCCGGGGCCCGGCCGAGCGAATCGGACTGGGATCCCGAGTCCCGGTCCTGGCCCGCCAGTTAGCATATGCGAAGAGTCATTCGTGACTGCAATGGCATGAGAAGGGAGGGAACGCAACGAAAGAACGCTTAAATGCTGAGACAGCGAGGATGTTGAGACCAGGGCTGTATGCTTGACTGCGATGTACTTGTGATCTTGCACCTCCTTGTGAAAGTCCAGCACGAGTTTAGGTCATATCTGTCCTCTTGTAGGTGGTTGAGCACTAGCATGATTGTTTGCTGGCTTGCAGCAGTTTTTATTCTGATGAAAGGATGTGCATGTATCTAACGTTTGATGGCAGAAGAATCGCTGAAGCATCTTGTCTTCGTCCCAGCTTGCCAGTCCCGATCATGTCTTCATGGCTTGATCCGTTCGAACGCCGGCAAGACCCAGAGTCAAGGCAGGAAGCAGACCTGCCCTGGGATGGACCTGGAGGTGACAAATCATGAACGTCTGACTTTACCTGCTCAGCTTTCTGAACTCGAATGCGGCAGGTTATCAGAAGCAGCCCGAGTTCCGAGATCACATGATGCTGCCTGACAAGGATCCGATCAGCGGCATTCCCAACCGTAACGAGTCCAGCGTGACAGTGACTTCGATGGGAGACCCAAACCCTAAGAGCTCTAATGAGGGAGTGACGTTGATGTTCTACTTTGTCACTTCATGGGTCTTGTTCCTGCAAGGGATCAGCTCGATGTCGTCTCTTGCGGTCAGCTACTTCTACAAGAACACATTACAGGTACTGCACCTGAGTTATGATCTTTCTTGATATATGTTTCATCTGATGTGTCTTGCCAGGTCGAGCCAGCTCTTCTCTCCACTATCACGAGCCTCACAGCACTTCCTTGGACTATCAAACCGTTGTACGGCTTCTTGTCTGATGGGTGGCCTATTCTCGGTTATCGCCGCAAGCCGTACTTGATGATCTCAGGAATCCTGGGAAGGTGCGAAGATTGCATGTCTTGCGAAGTCTTCTCTGATCGATATTGGCAGTGTATCGTGGTTCTGCATGGCAGTGTTCGTCAATGACGTATGGTTTGGTTTCGTCTGCATGTTCATCGCATCCATGGGAATGGCTGTTTCCAACGTGATAGCGGAGGGTATGGTGGTGGAGAAGAGCAGAGGGCAAACGCAAGAGTTTGCGTCGCATCTCCAGGCGTTTGTGCATGGAGCACAGGCTATTGGAGGGATCATCGCCGCCTACTTTGGAGGATTCCTGCTTCAGTACCTTGCAGATCGCCACATGTTCATGCTTTGCGCCATCTTTCCTCTCACCATCATCGTGGTAGCTTTGATCTCACCTGAGGTTCGTTTTGATGGCGATCTGACGGCCATTCGTGCGGACATGGCTGGAAAGCTCAAGGAGCTCTGGGAAGCTTTTCAGCATCCACAAATTTACAAACCGGTTGCATTTGTGTTCATGCTCAACGCCACTCCAGCCACTGGAGCGACCTGGTTTTATTTCTACACCAACGTCCTTCATTTTTCTTCAACGTTTCTTGGGACGATCAACGTTGTAGGTGCTATCTGCTCTCTCGGAGGCGTGCTCATCTTTGGGAATTTTCTGGCCAACACCCCCTTCAGGCCGATTCTGATTTGGTCTACTATCATCTCGACCGTCTTTGGCTTGACTCAGCTCGCGCTGGTTTTCCGATGGAATAGAGAATGGGGGATCCCGGACGCTGCCTTCTGTATAGGTGAGAGCGCAATCCTCTCAGTGCTTGGATGGATCAACACAATGCCAATATTGGTTCTTGCTGCTCGCCTCTGCCCCGTTGGGATGGAAGCAACCATGTACGCATTGATCATGTCCGTCAACAACCTGGGAGGAGTGATTGGAACTCAATTCGGAGCTCTGATTACATGGGGGCTGGGTGTGACAGACAGCAACCTGGACAACTTCTGGATCCTTGTTTTGATCTGCAACTTGTCTACAGTGTTGCCGCTAGTCTTCATCGGGTGGATCCCCCCTGATGGAGAAGATTATGGGGCGGAGATCACTGCTGAGAGCGAAAGGAATCAGCACAAACAGAAGGCTTAAGTTGCTATCGTATTGAATTCTTTTTCCAAAGTCGCTCTTTGTGAGTCTTTACTGCGGGGCGCAGCGTGTGGCCGTCACGTGCGGCACTGCAAGCGACGAGTCTGGGGATCGGGACTGCTGCGGTGTCCTGTGCACGGCCGTCAGTTCTCCGAGTTTGTCAGTGTCTCGCCGGTCGTGTCCGGCGCGGAGACCGTGCCGTGCCTCCGGCTCGTAGTACGGTACGGTAACTGAGTACAGTGAGTGCTTCTCAGCTTCTTTACTCAAAGTTAAGTTAAAAATCAGTACGAGGACAATCAGGAGAGTCCAGGAGGCTTGACGCCCTCACGCTGTCGCACATCAGTGGGCCATACGGCGAGAAGAGAAAAGACAGCGAAACAAACCCTTATATGGCCAACTGCTGTCCTCCAAACTTCGTCACCCAAAATGGTCGTCCATACACCCGGTTTCTCTTCATTGTTGACTGATCCGCTCGGCTTCGCCCCTTCCGCATGCGCGGCATATCTTAGACACGAGTCTCCACACTTGAGTAAACTTTTATATGAAAAATTGCATATTAACTAACTATTGTAGTATTTGTAAAAGAACTGGGTGGGTGCAGAAGCAGATCAGGCAGGGAAATACAGCCTAAGCTGCAAGAAAGTTTAGACAACATGCCGGTGGGCGGGGGGGTTCGGCATGGGGGGGGAGGGGGAGGGGGGGCAGGAGGAGCAGGGAGCTCAATGGCGGTACAGGCAATAAAGGGGGAACGCAAGGAGAAGAGGAGTAGACCCTCTGGGGAGGATGAACGTCCATCGAAAGGCAGCAAGCTGAGCCAACAGAGCACCCCAAAGGATAAGGGACGGGCTGACGATGACAAGGAAACCGGCAAGGCGCAGCAGCACGACAGTCAGTATGAAGATCACTTTGTGGACCTCTGCGACAGGATCAAGAGAATGGGAGGTCCTGACATCACAGCAGAGGGCTGGAGCTTTAGAATAGACCGGATCCCTCAAGATGGCGAAGGAGAGAACGGAAAGGATCAGGTAGGGATGGTGTATGTCGATCCGGATGGCAACACGTTCAGGAAGAGGAAGCATGTTATGAAAAGGATCGGTTTGTCCGATCAAAAGGTGACGACGAGAGAGGATGCTTACCAGAAAGCTAGAGAAAACTTCAAGAGCATGGAAGAGAAGTACCCTCTCCCGATGAGAGCCAACGCCATCACCATTCTCAAGTGGGGGAAGATAGAACACCAGCGAGAAAGCTTTCACAGCTCTCGTCACATCTGGCCAGTAGGGTTTCAATCTAGCTACAAGGATGCAGACTCGGGAGTTCTGTTCGAAAGCACTGTGGTTGACGGGTCCGGGGTGCCCGAGGGGCTAGAATGCGGGCAACCCGACGGGCCGGTCTTCAAGGTGACAGTCAAGAAACAAGGGGAAGCGTTGGTGGAGATTTGGGGAAAGTCGCCAAAGGAAGCGTGGAGAAAGGCGTTGAATGACGACAAGGCAGAAGAGCGTTTTGGGTTCCATTTGCCACAGGTGAAGGCCAGGATTGAAGGCCTGAGACATGCGATCAACTGCCAGAACTATCAGTTCCTGGAACTGCGACAGTTGGGAGGAAAGGATGAGAAGAAGTCGGAGAAGAAGTCGGAGAAGAAGTCGGAGAAGAAGTCGGAGAAGAAGGGTGCTGCCAAGTCCAAGGAAACACCCAAGAAGAAGACTAAGGTAGTCAAGGGAAAGAAAGAGCCGGCGAGCCAGTCAAAGAAGGAGAAGAAGTCTAAACTTTCTGAGAGGGCGCAGCAGCGGAGGGATGCGGCTGAAAAGAAGAGGATAGCAGCGGAGGAGAAGAGGCTGGCAGCGGAAGAGGCAGCCAGGAAGAAGAGGGAGCAGAAAGAGATCGAGCAGGAGGAGCAACGATGGCTCGCGCGCTACCCCATAGAAGACATGTGCGTGATGTTAGAGGAGTTCGTGATGGAAAGAGTGGCAAAGAGAGGGATGGACGTCCTGCCTCAACGCGCTGCAGCTCGGGCGGTGGAAGCAGCGATCGAGCATGGCCTATCGAACACAGCTGCCGTCGCTGCTGCAGACCGGGCAGCGGAGCATGTGAGCAACGGCGACAGCATGGAGGAAGCCTTAGGCAAGGCAATGATCTATGCGGAAGAAATGGAAGAGAAGATCCATCAAGAAGGAGATGATGAGCTGGGTGGAGTGCAGGAAAAGCCCTTCAAGGATGAGCTGCAGATTTTGAGGAGAGGAGCCCGAGTTCGTATGCTCTTCATGGCAGATCAAATCGAGACGTGGTATCACGGTTTCGTGACAAAAGTTTGCGACACGACCAACAAGTAAGAATCCTGTCGCCGAATGGCTCCACCGCATGATGACACTTCCCGTGGTCCCTTCGCTATGTCCTGCTCCCCCAGCTACATGTCATGCTCCCCCAGCTACTTTGGCTGTGTTGACTTATCCCTGCTCCGCTTCTCCTCCCTCTTTCTCTTTCGCTCCTCTACCTCCTCACTCTCTGATCAGGCTCAGCGTCTCGTTTTACGATGGGGAGAACGTGGAGGTTCCTCGAGGTGACCAGGACCTGGAGGTTCTCAACCAGGGCTGCCTTCTCCTCCCGCAGGGGTTCCCTCCGCCTCGTCGAGCTCAGACGCACATCGCCGACCTCTTTGCTATCACCACCTTCGTTGACGCCTTTAGAGCTGAGTTGGCTCTTCCCCGTGGCAACATTTATGACCTGCAGGTCTTTCTCAACTCCTCCGCCTGTCCTCCTTCCCCTTGTCCACCCTCTTTCACTGCTTCCATCTGTTTCCACTCCTCTTCCATGCTCGCTCTTCACTCTCTGCTCCCCTTCCCGCCTTCCTCGTCATCCGCTCTCTCCTCCTGTGCTTCTCCTCCATCCCGACACCTCCCAGAGCTCATTCACCTTCAGGTTGGATTGTCCGCCCCCGCTCAGTCGCACTTCTTGAGCGACCTCTACATGTCCCTCTTGACAGGAGCCATGCAAGCATTCAAGGAGCATGGAACGCAACATGCCCCGCACAACAGCGTTCCTCCTGTAAGTTCAGCAGCACCCGCACCTCATCCCTCATCCCTTGGACTGACGAAGTCGCAGACGTGGATCGGAGAGCACACGCTCAACCTATACACTTGGCCGGAGGTGGCGAGGAGGTGGATCCTCTTCGGGCCCCTTGCAGAGCTTCACAGGAGGAGATTTCCCGAGGCAGTCTCTGCTGCCGGCTCCCTGTCGCAGGGGGTCAGCGGCATCCGCACTTGCCCGGAGGGGCACATGATGGTGCTGCTCTGCCTCATCGAGGACTGCATGGACCACGCGGACGTTCGCAGCGCCATAGAGGCGAGGTCTGTGAAGTGAAGGGAGGGTGGGATGAGGGAAGGGAGGGGAGGGTGAGTGAAGTAAGGGGAGGGGCAGAATGAGAGTTGAAGTGTCACTTTTCCGGTGCTGACAAGAAAGGTAGGATCGAGAGCATGGACAAGTTGCAGCGGGAGCATGCGCAGAAGCAGAAGGAGCTCAGCGAGGAGGAGAAGAAAATCACCGCAAGAGTGAAGGCGGCCAACGATAGGCTACAAGTCGTCGACAGTGGCGAGCAGGGAGAGGATCCAGAGCCTGTGAGCGACGCTCCTGCTGCCCTCCCTCCCTCCTCAGTTGACACCACTGTGATGTCAAACGGGACGGAGGAAGGAGTTCCCAACGAAACGCCTCCGGCTACTCAGCAGCCGCAGGATGACGAGTATGCTATGAAGCTTGCGGCCTGGAAGCAGAGGAGACAGGAGAGGGGAGGGGAGCAGGCAGACAAGGAGAAAGGAGACGCACAGAAGGAGGAGAAGAAGTTTCACGAGCGATTGATGAAGTACGAGGTTGAGCATGCGCACAAGGTGGAGCGAGCAAGCGTGTACTACATGCCCATCGGCATGGATCGCCACCGGAACAAGTACTGGTGGTTTCCGTCCGACAAGAACTGCCTCTACGTAGAGCCTCCCGCTCCCTCCTCTGTGGTGGAGCCGCCCATGACTCCGAGGTCGGACGAGGACATGAAAGGCGTGAACAGCCCAGCGAGGAACCCGGTGGAGTGGAGGGTGTGGGTAGGAGGGGAAGTGATCAAGACTATGCTTGAGAGCCTCTACGACAAGGGAGCTCGCGAGTCAGAGCTCAAGAAGTCGCTGCTGAAGCTGCAGGACAAGATGGGGACCGCGGGAGTCACGCAGACTGCCGTGTTTGACAACCTAGGGGATACGGGCTCTTCTCAGCTAGGAGCTCTCGCAGCTGAGACGGAAGCGTTTGCGGCTGCTCACCAAGAGGCAAAGAACGTGGCGGAGATCATGGACCAGGAGCAGATGAGGCTGCTGAGGCAGACGATGGAGGACTGGGAGGCGATGCTGCAGGAGCCAGGAGACTGCTCGAACCTCGCCCGGCTGCTGCTTGCGATGGAGGACGCGATCTTCACTTCTCACGCTCCGGTGAAGCGGACGAAGCAGGTCAATGCGCAGGCACCGGCGGAAACAAACCAGGACGAGCAGGCGAGTGAGAGCGTAGCGATGGAGGTGACAGAGGCGGAGAACGGGCAGAGTGCTGGGCCGGAATGGAGCAAAGACAACGAGTTTGTGGGGAAGCGAGTGAGACGGAACGTGAAGGGAGACGACGGGAAGCCAGCAGGACAAGCGAACGGGACGGTGATAGGCTTCCTGCCCAAAGAGATCTCCGACTTCATTTCCAAGGAGACGAACCAGGCGGCGGCTCTCTGGCGCGTCGCGTTCGACGACGAAGACATTGGGGAAGAAGATCTCGAGGAGTTTGAGATCGTTAACGCGATCCAGGCCTACGAGAAGCTGCAGGCCGACCTGCGCGTCTCCTCCGCCGCCATCGCCCGATCCCGTGGGACCAACTTCAGCAAGGAAGCCTCGATCGGTGAGCATGGGGCCAACGGGACGGAGCAGGAAGTGAAGAGCGAGAGCTCTCGGCCCCTGAGCTCTTCGGCTGTCGGCAGCGACCTTCAGATCTACGAGGAGGGAGCGGTTGACATGGCTGAGGCAAACAACAAGCCCTCCCGTCGGTCATTGTGGACAAGGTGAGGGAGGAGGTGAGAGGAAGGCAAGAGAGTAACAGCTTGCAGTGCGATGCAGCGGCAAGCGTGGAGGGTCGAGAGCGAGACGGCAGGGAAGTCAGGGTCGCTACCTCGGCTGTGCTTCTCGGCTGCTGTAAGTTTGGATTCTTTCCTTGCTCGCGCTCACAGTCGAGCAGTCTCTCTGCGAGAACGCGCTGCGAGTGATGGGCAGATCAAGAGACTCTCTGTCCTCAGCCCCACGAGGCGGGAGACGCGGGAAGCGCACGAGGGGGGAGATGGAGCTTGCCTCCCTTGTCTCCTCGGGGTACACGGAGTCTGGCAGACGAGTAAGCCTGTCACATATACCTTTCGCGGCAGCTTCTGACGGTGAAACAGGTGAAGAAAGTTTCTTACGCGGAGCAAAGCTCTGAGGAGGAGGAGGAGCCATGACACGGGGAGGGCAGGGGGGTGGGACAGCGGGTGATGAGCAAGGTGGAGGATGCGTACGTGTGGTGTACCAGTAAACTTGTGGGGTTGTACCTTTACTGTCTCATGATTGAACGTACATGATCACCCGCTGTGAAGGTGAAGCTGATTGGAAATCCTTCTCCTTGTTCAACCTGAAACATTCCGATGATGCTCAGAAGTTCTAGACAATGACGGGCAATCAAAGGGATCTTGCGGGTGACGAGCTCAAGATTTGACTGCCGAGGTGGAAGACAGCAACTTGTTGATATAGTAGAAAGCAGCAACGTGTTGACATCGATCTCTTTCAAGCCTGATAAAACAATCACTTTGAAGTGCCTTGGAGATGGAGAAAGTCATGTGGTCGCAGGTCAGGACCGAGCCAAGCAGGTCACGATGACATCTCCAACCAGACACTGAAGAGTTGCGCACATGAGCAAGCTGCTGATTCAACCTCATTGTGATGAAAGATGAACCTTACATCAGATTTTCACATCCAACGCTCTTGGGATATGCTGGAACTCTGCTACATACTGCTGTCTTCTACTACATCGACACGTTGCTGTCTTCTACTACATCGACACGTTGCTGTCTTCTACTACATCGACACGTTGCTGTCTTCTACTACTACATCGACACGTTGCTGTCTTCTACTACATCGACACGTTGCTGTCTTCTACTACATCGACACGTTGCTGTCTTCTACTACATCGACACGTTGCTGTCTTCTACTACATCGACACGTTGCTATCTCAGGCTTCTACTACATCGACACGTTGCTGTCTTCTACTACTACATCGACACGTTGCTGTCTTCTACTACATCGACACGTTGCTGTCTTCTACTACATCGACACGTTGCTGTCTTCTACTACTACATCGACACGTTGCTGTCTTCTACTACATCGACACGTTGCTGTCTTCTACTACATCGACACGTTGCTATCTCAGGCTTCTACTACATCGACACGTTGCTGTCTTCTATGGTTTATCAGCTTTGAAAGAGATGGGTCTGTCAGCTTGAAAGAGAGAGGTTTATCAGGCATCCGTCACCTGATTCTTGATGTATCATCACAGGCAATGCCGCGCAGTGAGCAGCTGTTCACGTCTCTTCCTCGTGCAGCAAACATACAGCAAGACACTATCCTGCTCTTGGGTATTCCATCCACTCAACTTGAAATGTCCATTTAGCATGCAGGCACTAACTCATCATATCTTCTTGCGGGCCATTCGAAGTTCAACACTACAACTTACCGTCAGTCAAAGGAAAGTTTGCAGTGAAGCCATGTGCGTGTTACCTTGCAGAACTCTTTGCAAATTCAGGTCAGTCTGCAACAGTAGCATACGCAAGGGATTGCATGACCTGCAGGTCACCAAGTGGAGGTATCGATAGGAAGGGATGACAAGTCAAGTATCGGCTATTTACTTGTTAACTATGTACATGAACAAAATCCTTGAATCTAGATCATTAGAAATCCGCGTCCAAGTCAGATATGATTCTGAGGATGTCGTTTTCCTCAAGTTTTCCAACCATCTCTTCATGATTGTTAATGAAGTCCACAAGGGACGTGTTGTTGTCTGCCTGTCCTATCTGCCCTGTGGCAATAGAGCGGCTTCGCTTCGTCGACATGGACTGACATAGTGCAGGGTCCCTCGTGACCGGTTCGATCATATGGAGAGTTTCCGCATTCAACCCTTCAACCTCCGACAGGTGCATTTCTATCTCGTCGCTCACCCCACTGGTTTCACTGGTGAGTACGAAAGAATCGTACTCGACCTTGTTCCCCACTTCGAACTCCTGCTTCGCATTCAAGTAGAAGATCGCTTCCTCCTCCAGCTCGCTCTGCGTTTCCCCACAATTGCTGGAGAGATCCGATATCGGAGAATGGGTTCGAAGCTTCTTGTTCGGAGAGCACTCGCTAGAAGTCAGCGATGACATGCGTTTCCGTGACGTCAGCTTGTTCCATTCGTTGTGAAATTCCATGCAGACATTCAAAAAGTGGTCGAGCTTCAGCGCAGTGGAGGGGGCCAAGCACTCTTTCCATCCTTGTTCCAAGATTTCAAGGTCATGCTTGTCTGCGGGGTTTCTCCATCGTCTGCCCGTGTAGAAGTAACGGATACCTGAGCCAGATGTAAGGAACAAGTTTGCCGGCCGAGCGACAAGGTAATTCTCACCTTGAACGTTTCGGCAATCCTCTGTGTCTTCCCAGTCCTCTGAGTATGGGCTCCTGGTGCGCATTTTGACAAACCCGTTCTTTTCCAAGTGCTTGTTGAACTCGATCTCTGTCATTCCATGCCGTCCAACATAAGGATCTTCATTACGGACGGACGCTGGACAGCAGATGCTGAGAGCGCGGAAGATTGAGTATTTGCCAGCACGATCAATAATGCTGTGCGAGCCTTTTCCAGGGACTTTTTCCGTGACCTGACACATAAGTAAGTCATCGAAGAAGAGAGGGAAAGGAAGGGGAAAGGGAGGGAAAAGAAGGTAGATCGCTATCCGAAGACAGCATGGCAACTTACAATGTTGGCAAAAGTAAGGCCGATCTTCTTGTTGTGCTCGGATGCGATCGGGCGTCCCATGCTGGTTGTTCTACTATCGCCGCTTCCAGCTCCTCTCGTTTAATAATCACATTTCCCCGTCCCCCACCCCACCCCTTCCTATCCTTTCTTTACATCTGTGAAACCACCCCTCTCTGCCTATTGCTTGCTACAACCCATTCCGACCTTGGTATCTTCTCACAAAATGTGTAGTAAAGCAACCATGATGTGGTGGGGTGCTCTCATTACCGGTTCGATCCTCCGTAAAAAGACTGAAATTCTCATGGTAGGGTCCTTTATATACATCAAATGTGGGGTGAGATTAAACAGTGTCAGTCGAATGTGTCATGCTGCATATCATGTAGATTTCTCCAGTACCCCTCGTTTCAACAACACTTTTCAGGGGTACAACAGAGTGAGCAATGTGATTGTCGAGGTTTTTTTTAAAGCACTTGTCTGTGACGATGATGACTTTACTCAGCCATGCTATAAACTCATTATACATTATATTTATTTCTATAAGTGAAACGTTGTCTTATTTTAACGGAACTGATATCCAACCTCATGAATCGATGAACCCCACCTACCTTTTTCTAACAGATGTACCCCCTTATTAGATAGTTCGGCGAAACCCGACCCCATGACTTCATTGCACCGAGTTTTTTAATTATGATCATCCTCCGATGTCCGAAGCGATGAGATATTATATTTGTTTTGGTTTCCGTAAGAACGAACGCCGGTCTGGCCCTGTCGGAAGATCGGAAAAGTACCCCCACATTCTATTGAAAGTACCCACCCCATTGACAGGTTGTATGCGAGGGTCTTGAGTCCTTCGGTGAAATCCGGGGGCATGCGTGGGGAAGTGGACCTCAAACCTCTTGTGTACATTGTAAAGATATGGCGTTCGGAGAAATCCGGGATGTAACAGTAAAATAAGGAGTTAAAAAAGGAAAGAGGTTTATTAAGAGGGTAGATGGGGACACTAGGTGTGTCCGGTACGCTACTATCTGTACGTTGTTACTGTAGGTTAAATTCACGTACAGTAGGAATTTCAAAAAGTGATTCGGTACGAGCTGTACTATCCGAAAGAACGAATTTCAATTTGTTTCAAAGTTTTCAAATTTTTGATCGAACATACAAAATGATGAGGACCCACTTGCCATGCTGCGGGACGGCCAAGTTGATGATGGAAGCTACAGCGGTTCCGCCGACGTTGCTGGTGAAGATAGATAGGTGATGTCAGATACATGTTATCATCCATTCAGAATCAGGTCCATTTTCTGCAGCATGGATGAAAGCCGCGCATTCACGAGTGCGTAACGAAAAGAATCCAGGTTAAACATGCAACGAGGTTCATGCTGCATACTACAGGCAAAGGCTTCTTATCGTTTCAACTTTGAAGCACAGGCAAGTCAAAAAGACTGTATGCATCCGATGTGAAGGCTTGTTATTGTCGCGGTACTGGGCAATTCGCAGCATGCGGCAAGCAAACCTGAATCATGCTCGCACAGAAATCTATATCATGAAGCGACGCTTTGAATGCCGGGCGAGATCCACTCGCTGTAGATGAATGGAAGCAAGCAAAGACAATCAATGAACACCTCGATGCAATCCGTACTGCAGAGTCAGACATTGGCGGGGATAGGAAAAGTATATTGAACAAGCACATTGAAGGTGGGAATACCTTGATTGAATTAGAGAAGTTTTATATCAAGATTCAGCTGCTCTACTAGAAACTCTTTATCAGTAAACTCTTACAGCTCGGTTTGGAATTTCATCCACTTGCCTTATGACATGGCTTCTGTTGATAGCCTGGTGGAAACTTACGAATGTGTCTTGATCTAAAAATGGTTTGCACCGCCTTGAATGATCGAGGTTTGAGAAAAGAACGATGGTTGGTTGACGATTAATGAACGAATGAACGATGTATTCATCAGAGAACATTCATCTAACCATCAACTTGATCAGGATCGCGGTAAATCGCGGTCGGAAGCGAAGGGCTGATGAGCGGGAAGGATGGGAGAGGGGGCAGGGCGGTGGGCAGGGGGGGGCGGTTTAAAAACTTGACTTTTAAATTTGACGAACCTACAGTAAGTACTAAACGTTCTTATTTTGCTCGGATTTGAGAAATAGCGATTATCGTACTATCTGTACGTTCATCGTTAAAAACGGTTGTAGTGAAATTTAACGGACTGTCCGTAACATTTGTACCAGGGAACGTACAGATAGTTGCGTACCGGACACACCTACTTGCTGCCCTACGGCGGCGGCCTGGGGGCGGAGGCAGACAGAGTAGTGAAGAAACTCTCTGTCCTCCAAATGTTTTATCTGACGTCCTGAGGCAAGCTGGATCTTCCAGAACAAACGAATCAGCTAGAGCCAAGCGGATCTTCAGCAACTGCTTGTTTCCAGCGTGATTCTGATTCAACCTGTTTACACAAGAAGATAGAAAGAGAAACTCACGTAGGCAAGAAGAAATCCAATACAAATTTTCTTCAAATTGTATTTGCTGAGAGTGCACAAAAATAACCAACAGAGGTTGTGTAGCACAACGTTCACGTTTTCAAACATATGACAGCTTACACCCCATACTACGGAGCAAAGGTGTGATCACCACTGTCAAGCGAACGCACGAGCGATGCTCGCTCCTCTGCAACCCGTAAAGCTTCGGGGTGTGACAGTACTGTCGAATGTATGTGAGGTGATCACATCATGACCTTGCACCCTGTCCGTCTAGCTCCGTCACCGCAATCAAAGCAAAATGACTTTTTTTCTAGAAGACTCGATTTGCGACGAACTGCTAACTTTAAGGTACTGTGGATTGTGTTGAGAAGGAGGAGCAGACCAATCTGAACAAATTACATTCTTGATCCTTGCTGTTTGAATTTATTGAGATACCTTTACAACTCACATTACTCCACTGAATAACCTCGACCTGGATACTTTTGTGCTCCCTCAGGCTTATGACACAAGATAGCTCTGCGAAAGTGAGCTCAAGTCTCCGCAGGAAGGAATCTTCTTGAGTATGGAAGGGATGTCACTCGCAGAAGCGGTCCGCTGATGTTCGGGGTTACCCGGGTTGTAAATGAGAACGTTGCGATATCACATCGATTCGGGTACTTTCTAAAAGGTAGTCCGGGTTTCGCCGGGAGGACGGGAATTCCAAAAAAAAAAATGGCAGTTTACTACTTTTTAACTTACTAGTATCACACTGCAATAAATTCATCCTGGCACGGAGGTCGCGCATCCTCGTGTGCTGACGCCTGCCGGCGTGCCGCCGCTGGTCAGGCGCGGGCCCGTCTCACGCCGATAACTAATAAAATTGTAACGGTTATAAAGTCCTGATAACCGTTCGGCGGCTCGCGGTGCAAACTTTCAACAACAATCATCAGGCCAGACTGCTAGCAATCACGAATGGCAATTCGGGCGCAGGGGAGTAACCGTTGGGGCAGAGAGCGCAGGACGCGATAGATGGCGAAGAAGGAGAAGAGAGTTCAACGTCTTCAAGGGGATTGTGAGGTAGTGGTTGGACGAAACGATGCTCGGCCCCTGCTCATGGTCAGATGTCAAGAGCGTCCAAAGAGAATTTTGCAACAAGGATCACCACAAACTGTTCGCTTGTTGGGTTGATCTCAAGAGTTGTGGCGGCTTCTGCAAACCCTTTGAGAGGAAGATCTGTAAACTCTCAGGACCTAACACTCGGACAAGAGGAGGAAAACCAAGCTGCATGTCTGCTAAAGATCCTGGTAGCACCCATGCCAATCTCTGGCTTCGCCCTACCAGCTATATACCACCGGTGCTTTTCCTGATGCTGGTCTACACTATTCTTTCATCGCCCTCCAGGTATGTTTTGATTGTTTTAAACCTGATTTCATTGATTTAATGATCTGCAAGAGACCTCCTCTTGGTTTATGTTTTCCTAACACTTTTTCAGTCCCCAATTTCTTGTTGTCTTCGCGCTGTCGTCCTCTGCTGCGATGATGGCTGAACTTCTCACTTTTCCCTGCGACGCCATCAAGGCCAGGACGTAAGCACAGCTACTGACGTTTTCTCAACTCGACTCAAACTTTACAGGCAACTCGGACCGTCGGATCGCAACGCGCACCCACCCCCCGGGATGATGGACACATTCTCCTCGATCCCAACCCTTTATTTCGGCATACGTGCAGGGCTTTTGCGAACTTTGCCCTATAGCGGACTGAGAATGGTACTCTACCGAACGATCCGTGACCTGGCTCAAGCTACCGCATCTGAATCCTTGAGCCTCTTGGCTCTAGCTGGCCTCGCCATGCTATCCGGGGCGGTAGCACAGTTCATAGTCTCTCCTCTGGATCTGTTCAAGATTAGAATGCAAGCAGATGGGAGGCGAGTTAAGATGGGACTGAAGCCGGTGTATCATGGTCTGTGGGATATCATGGTATGCTCGCTCCCTTTACTCTATTCCTGAGTGACCTTGGGCAAAAGACTTCGGTGCCAAAGCAGGAAGGGTTCAAAAAGTTGTGGGCTGGAAGTACGCCAAACGTAATCCGCGCATGTTGTGTTAACATTGGAGATCAAGTGAGGACATGCTCCTTATCCGTTGCAGAAGTAACGAATGGCCTCCAGGCAGTCTACGACGTTGCAAAGAGAACTTCGAATGAATTGGTGATCAAATGTCGCTGCTCGCAGGATGTCTGTACTGTCAGGGTGTTTGTCTGGCCACCATCCATCCGTTTACTTCACTCCTTCTACTCAAATTGGAGAGATGACGGATGCTGATGCTACTGGTCTTCAGTTTGGTCAAGGAGTGCTTGCTCAAATTTTGGCAAGCGCCATCACAGGCGTGTCTGGTAGTGCGCACTTGGCCATGTTGCATTTATCTGATCCTGGTGCAGTCTCAGTTCTAGCTTGCCCAGCAGACACCATCCGCTCCAAACTGATGAACAATGGCCCCTCCTCGCCGCAACCTCTCCACAAGAGTTTCCGTGACTGTGTTGTCAGCACATGGCGAAGTGGCGGAATTACAGCGTACGGTGTGGCAATGGATTTTCATGTTTGACGACCATGACAGTTTTTATCGTGCACTCATACCCATGTACATGAGAGAAGCTCCTTATTACCTTATCATGTGGAACACCCTTGAGCTGTTGAATCACTTCAGGTGACATTCTTTCAAATCTTCTCAGATTATGTGCATCGCTGCCAAGTCACTGAGCAATACGTGCGGATACAGGAAAGTTGCCGTCGGCTCGTAATCCTGAATGCATCATTGCCCGGCCCGGCGGCGGCACGGTGCCGCGCCAAGTTTCAGTCGGCTGAGTGCCAGTGATGAGAGCATAACTCAAGTTAACACAGTGAATGAAAAATTTTGACCGTGACAACTGAGTTCCGCTGACGCGCCGGCACGGCGCGCGCCTGGTACTCAGTGACGGTGTCGATCGCCCTGGGTCCGGCGGGGCCTGCCCGGCCGCACGGGCCGGGTCACGGGGGCCGCTGCCACTCCGATTTTAGATTCAACTCTGCCGAGGCGGGTCAGATCTTGGACTAGGTAAAATTCCAGAACCTGTTCCAGAACATGCTGGTGAGATGGTAGGAAAGGGGATGGGAGGGGTAGGAGTTGCAAGAGTGATTGAGTGGAATCAAAGAGTTTCGAGACAAGTTGGAACATGATCGAGCATGGACAGGTGAGAACGAGCTTGGCTCTTGGACTGCTCCTGCTGGCTCTCTTGGTAACCCCCTCTGAATCGAGTGAAGACTACACGACATTGAAGTCAGTAGAAGATTTCGAAGACAACGTGGTATGCAGTTTGTTTGATGTCTGGAATGAGAGGATCTCTTATCTTGCTGTTTGATCGCTCTGTGAGTGCTCTCCTCTCACTCGAGATGCTATCTCTGCAGATGAAATCGGCCGACGTCTGGCTCGTGCTGGTTGTGGGCATGAGCTCGGATGAGATCAAGGCGAGGGGGATTGACCGAGAGAAGTGTCAGAGGGCAATCGATCAACTTGCCGTCATCACGGAGGAGATGAAGAAACTGAGTGTACAAGTAGCCCTTGCAGACGTCGAAGACATAGCTGGTATTGCATCAGAGTTCAACGTCAGGAAAAGAATGCTCCCCAAGATTTTGCTCTTCAAGACAAGAGCGAGGGATGCTGAGAGCATCAAGTTTGAGACCTTTCAAGATGTCGATGCCTTGAGACAGGAAGTGCTGGAGATCTTGAAAGATAACCCCACGAGGAAGGTGAAGAGCGAGGATCAAACTGAGCGGATCGTTTTCGACAAGATCACCCTTGCTGTCGGGGGATCAGAGCTATGAAGAGGCTCCTCTGACCCTGATGGCTGAATTTACGATATTGACACTTGTTGACTTGTATAAAAGTTTCAAATCTGCTTGCACGAATTCAGATTTCACCGATGACAATCACAACAAGAACTAAGTCGACGGCAAGAATCAGTGTAAGGCAAGACAAGACAGAGAAGAAGCAAGAGACGCGGGCTAGCCTGCTGCTGCTCTCCCTGTTATAAGCTCTCTCGACGAAACTCTCATAGCAGACGACCGATCCGAGGTAGAGGAGGGCCAGGAAGAGAATTTCGGATACGAGCGATGAGTCTGGCAAAGGAAGGGAATCCAGGTTGCGGCTGATCCAGGAGAGAGAGGAGGAGGAGGGATCTGGTAGAACGATGAGGAGGACAGAAACTGCGATCACATGGACTTACCTAGTGCGAAGAGGATGAGAAGAGAGGACAGAAGGGCGACGAGAAAATTGAGCATGAGCGTTATGTTGCTGTACAGGGGCATTCTTAGTTTGTTGGAGAGGTTGAAGACCAGGGCTGCAGCGAGGTACTGGAACAGGCTGAGGAGAAACGTGACGCTCGTCTCCTCCGATAGGATGTTCTCCTTGGTGTCTGACCTTATCGGTCGGTCTGGACATCCAAGTGGCTGCAGCAAGCAGCAAGCAGCGCCTTGCTGATAGCAGGAGGAGACGTCCTCAGTCACGCTGGCACAGCCGGCGCGGCAAGTGAAGGAGGGAGAGTGTCTCAGCATGTCTGACGCAAGAACCTGTGCGGAGAGGATGAGCGGAACGAAGCAGAGGAGAAGGGTGGAGAAGAGAGGAGGGTACCTGGAAGGTAACGCAGAGAACGCACTGGCCGAGCATGGAGAGGAGAACTTGAAGGGAAGCAAGGTGGGTCTTGACGAGGATGGGAAGGAGAGTGGCTCGAGCTCTTGTCCTCGGCATGGAGACGGTGAAGGGCAGGATGAGAAACATGTCGATCCATAGGAATTGAGCGTCCGAGAGAGTGGAATTGGTCTGACATGATGATGTCGTTAAAGCAAGCAGCAGAACTATCAGAATGAATGACGGATAGCAGAGGGTGACGACGGACACGAGGGACACGAGGACGAAGAAGAAGGGGGAGGAGCAGGAGAGGGGGAGGAGCAGGAGCAGAAGGACTGGAGGGGGGGGAGAAGGGAAGGAATAGGAAGGACGAGGAGAGGGAGAGGGGGAGGGAGAGGAAAAGATGATGATGTGTAGAGGGGAAGTTCTCACCTGATATAGCCAAAGGACGGAAATGGACTGGATGAGGGAATACATGGCCATGAACTTGAAGCAGGATACCGAGCAAGCAAGCGCTGCTCGCCCCTCTCGCACCAGCGTTACCATCCCTCTGATGCTGGGGCAGGAAGAGGTAAAGGGAGCAGCGGCAGACGCCTCAGCAGGGGAGAGGGAGAGGCCAACATGCGCCGCCTTGAGTGCTCCACAGTCGTTGGCTCCGTCGCCACAGAAACCAACCTGAGAGAAGCAGCAGGCAGGTGAGAAGGCTGTAGAGCATGGAAGAAGGAGGAGGATTGCAGAACACGTGAAGGAACGGGATAGAAAGTAGGAAAGGAGGAAGCGAAGGAGAGGAGAAAACGAATGTGAATGCAGGAGCAGGAGCAGGAGCAGGAGCAGGAGCAGGAGCAGGAGCAGGAGCAGGAGCAGGAGCAGAAGGAGGAGGAGGAAGTTTTTCCTGACCATCAGATTCTCTTGGACCTTGAGGAACTCAATGAGCTTTTGCTTCTGCAGCGGCGACATCCTTGCGTACACAACGGCCCGCGACAGGAGAATGCGAGCGGGCAAGGAGTCGAGGTCATCTTGGAGGAGAATGAGGAGGAGGAGGTCGAAGGTATCGCCAGTCATAGCGACAGCAACATCTCCCCTTTCGATGGACGCCATGTCAAGCTGCTGGAATGACAGAAACTTCTTGCACTGCTCCTCCTCCTCCTTCTCCTCCTCCTCCTCCACTCCCTCCTCATTTGCTCCTCGCCCCTCCCCCCCCACCTCTGCCTCCTCTGCCTCCTTCCCCCTGGAAAACAATCCTTCTCTGCGCGGGGGAATGACCTGAAAACGGAGGAATTCTCTTCCTGTCTTCCCTTCCTCCCCATCCTCACGCGTCCCACCCTCCTTGTCAGGGGCGAGAGCGACGAGCACTGCCCTCCTCTCTTCCACCATCCGACACGCCCGCGCTGCGCTCAGAGCAGTCAGCACGTGATCGCCAGTGACCATAGAGCATCGGATGTTGGCGGCCTGCAGCTGGAGGATGGAGGGCAGCGAGTCGCTCTTGATCGGGTTCTCGAACACGAGGAGGCCGCAGAAGACAAGGTCGCGCTCGATCTGCCGCCTCTCGATCCCCTCTGTCGCCTCGTCCTCCCGCATGCTGATAAAGCCTGTCAGTCCCTTCGTCCCCTCCCCACTCTCCTACCTGCGATGTGCGCACGCAATCACTCGCTTCCCGTCCTCTGCGAGAGATCGAAGAAGCATGAAGGCTGAAGGAGGAAGGGAGGAGGGGAGGCAGAGTTGGAAGATGACCTCTGGCGCTCCCTTCACGAAGATCCATCGAACAGGTGCACGCGAGCACGCGAGCTCAGCTACACAGGAGCAGCGCTTGAGCTCCGAGGTGAAACGAAACCGACGCAGCAACACAGCAGCCGAAACGTCCTCCACTTGCCTTCCCTGCTCCTCGTCCACCAGCTTGAGTCCAGCTCGCTCAAAGTGAACCACATCCACATGCTCCTGCTCCTCTCCTGTCTCAGACTCCCCCTCCTTCCCCTCCTCAGCTTTCCGACTCGCAAGCTCGAGCTTGCACCCAGTCCTGGCGAAGACCTCCTCATCGAGAGGGTCCCCGACGAGCCCCTCGGCCGTCCGCGTCAGATCATGACAGCAGGACATGCAGGCCAACAGGTTGTGGTCTTGCTGAGACGAGGAGAGCGAGGGGGTTGCATCTTGAGGGGTGCGGGAAGCAGAGAGGGAGGAGGGAGAGGAAGGTAAGGAGCAGGAGGGAGAGGAGGAGGAGTACGAGGAGGAGGAGAGGATCTCGGCGAGCGAGAAGGAGCGGAGGAGGTGGACGCGGTCCTCAGTCAAAGTTCCCGTCTTGTCAAAGCAAACGACGTCGAGCTGACCGGCCGCGTTGACTCGCACGGGGCTGGAGCAGAAGATCTGCTGCGCTCGTAGGCGGACCATGGCGATCTCCAGGCCGATGACGAGAGCAGCTGGGAGGGCAGGAGGGACGGTGATGGTGATGATGTCGCATGCTCGGATGATGAGGTCTTGGAGGGTGACGCCGAAGGTCAGCATGCGAGAGAGGGAGAGGAAGAAGCCGAGCACAGCGACCACGGCGAGGCCTGCGGAACAGACTCGTCACACTCACTGAGGGAGGAGAGAAGGAGAGGAAATGAGGTTTGAGAAGATAGTGTGAAAGTGGAAACAATAAGGTGAAGAGGGGGGGGGGGGGAGGGAGGCAGGTGAACGCATAAAATGTGAGATGAAAATAGAGGAGAGAGGAGAGCAGGAGCAGAAGCAGGAGGAGCAGGAGCAGGACCAGGAGCAAGAGCAGAGCAGGAGAGGGAGAAGGAGCAGGAGCAGGAGCAGGGAAGGGACTTCACAGCAGAAGTTCAACCTGCTACAAACAGGAGGGAGTCCCTGTAGAATTGCATCTTTGCACTTCCAGAGATGAGAATGGATCGAACAAGCTGTCCCTTAGCTGTGAGGTACCCTGTCCTGACGACCACAGCAGACGCCTGGACGCCAGGAGCAGAGATGACCTCCGTGATCTTCGTGCCTCCTCGCACCAGGCTCGCACACAAACACTTGTCGCAGGAAAGCTTGTCCTCCTTCCTCCTTTCTGCCTCCTGCAGCTCTTCACAGGAGGGAGGGCTCTTGAGGATCGGAACAGACTCGCCGGTCAGCATGCTCTCGTCGACCACGCAGCTTCCTCGAACGAGGAGGAGGTCACAAGGAGCAGCCATGGAACCATTGAGGATGAGGATGTCACCGGGAACCAGGTCGCTCACGTCGACTTCCACGTAGTTCTCCTCCCTTCTCAGTGCCAGCTGGCGGTAGACAGTCACCGTCTGCCGCACCTCCGCCATCCTGCGGATCCTCATCAAGTTTCTGCGGGTAGTGTAGGTGGATGAGACAGCAGACACGATCGACATGATGGCGATGGCGCACGCGTAGTAGGTGTAACCATCGATGAGCCAGATGAAGATGGAGAAGACCTGAAAGACGTAGAACGGGTTCAAGACTTCGTCGAGGAGCAGGGACAGGCTCGACTTGAGAGGAACATGAAGTTCGTTCAGCCCGAAAATCCTCTTCCTCTTCTTCACCTCTCCTGTGGTCAGCCCCTGGGATGTAGTGTCGCGAATGTAGTCAAGGTGCGCGTTAATGTTGAAACATGCAGGGAGGAAGGAGGAGCCACCGATCTGGAAGTACCTCAGGCTCCTGTACAGGAAGAAGGAAGAGAGAGATGTCTCAGTCTCATCCTCCACTCTCTGCATCTTGCACACAGTCTTCGAGCCATCGGCTCCTTGTACAAGCACACTGTCTGCCTGCTGCCTGTCGCTTGTTGCTCGGTGAGTCGCATGGAGCTTCAGGACGGGGAACCAACGTAGAACGAGTCCACTCAGGCCGAGAGAGAGGAAGAAGAGGAGAGTATGAGCGAAATTCCTTGTTCCGTCACTTTGAAAGAACTCCACATGCTCGATTCGCATGTCGTCCTCCACGTCCTCCTGCACTTCAAACAGGTCTGCTGACCACTTTCTGTCATCTGCAGCATCTGTAACGCGAGCATCCAGCACCAATCTGATTGTGTCTGAACTGGTTTCATGTTCATGGGAGATTTCCTGTAGTTCGACGTCTCTTGACATTCGAGCACAGTCAACAAACTTTCAGTACTCTGATGATCATTGACTGCCTGTTTAACATGTCACTGAAAACTTGACTTCATCGTCCTTCACATATATGCGAGTTCTCCTCACCTCTTCCTCTCCTTGCTCCTTCATTCCTCCTTCTCCCTCCGTCCTCCTGAGTCCTCCAAGCCGCTTGCATGCCCCGACATTCCTCACTTCTAGTTGTATAGGAGGGGTACCAAGTGATCTAATACCGGCCTTTGGATTACAAATTTAATTAGGAAAAGGTGGGTAGTGCACTACCCCTACCTAGGATTTTCCCTGAGCCTTGCTTCGATGCCCGGCTGAAAGGAACAACCATACCCAAGCTGCTGGGGAAGCGAACAAGTTGTTAGATCATGTGTCGCCGTGTGCGGTAGAAGATATGATTGTCACATCTTGACTCGCTATGAATGGAGATCCGATATGGATGAGCTGGAACAAAAACCAACCCTACCACAATGAACTCCTTCATAAGGAGGGCAGGACATACAAACTCTGATGCCGGTCATGGAAACAGCAAAACATGAAATGAAACAGCTCCTTCACTACTATTACACACATGAACGAAATTCTCAAACGAGCTTCCTCCTATCACGAACTCTTCGAGAAGAATCCGAAGATCCCCGTCTGCTTCTGCTTCTTCTCTGTAGAGTGCCCCAATCTTGCCAGCTCTAGCGCATGCTCGACCTCCCCCTCCTCGATGTCAGGCCCGAAGGCTGCTTCCCTATCCATGGCTCCTGACATGACGAGGTCTTGGAGGAGAATCTTCACTAGATCCTCCTCTGTGGCGAAACTCGTCTTCCTGTCCACACTGAACACGACGCGGAGGATGAACTGGTTGACGGCATCGTACTGCATCTCGATGGAAGGAGCGCAGCCCAGCCACTTGAGCTCGTTGTCGTCGTCTCCCTCCTCCTCCCACTCGACCTCTCGCAGGGTCACCGTTGACTCCACGTCGGTATCGGTGAAGTCTACGATCTTCTCGCTGAAGAAGGTGTGAAGCCCCTCCACGCTCTTGTACTTCTTGTTCAGCTTCACCCTCAGCGTCAGGGCCCCTGATGCGGAGAACTCCAGGAATCGCATCAGGCGGATGAGCCCGTAGGAGCTAGCAAGGAGCCAGATCATGTTGAACGCAAACCACAAGCCTGGAGGGACGATGAGCGGCTCGTAGAAGATGCTGTAGACCCAGGCTGGCTGGTTGATGTTGAGGGTGCCAGCCGCCAGCCTGTCGACCACCATGAAGCAGAAGCCGCCTGCCAGCACAACCTGCATGACGCTGAGGGAGGCGGAGGATCGCTCGTTAGCCGTGGAGGCGTCGACGAGGAACTTGGTGTTGCTGTCGATGTTGCGGAAGATGTTCTCCAGCTGCCGGGTGGTGATGATGTCCATGCTGCGCTGGAGGATCTTTAGCTGATTTCCAGCTCCGGTGATGAGCTTGCTCATGTCTTCGATGCGCGAGCTGACGTTGTGGCTCATGCCCTTGCAGTTGAGGATCTCGAACAGTCGCTGACCCTTGGAGTCCTGCGGCAGCTCGGGCACGAGCAGATCCTGCATGGACTCTGCGAGGTAGGAGAGAGTCTCCTCCATGAGGATGAGGTCTCGGGAGGCTTCGGAGAGTGCTGTACGGAGCCTTGCAACGTTGTCGGGGTCGGTGTGGTACTGCAAAGTGAGCTGCCTGATCTTGTTGAGAGTGTCGTTCAAGATGAAGGTCCGCAAGAAGAAATTCCTGACGAACGCCTCCCGACAGAGCAGCGATGTGTAGTAGAGGAGGAAGGGCTCGAGGATCAAGGCATCTGGCCCACACAACATGATCCCAATCTTTCCGATGATGATAATGTTCTCGTCACTGATATCTTCGGCTGCGTAGATTTCCCCCACCACTTGCTTCAGCTCGTTCTCAAGGAAACCTCGATCCAAGTAGTGGGCAGCGGGCAACTTGGGGTGGATCATATCAGCTACGATGACATTGACTTTGCTGCGATTTGACGAGTCCCCGATGAACATCATGTCCATCAAAGATCTTTGATACCCAGAAAGCAGATCGTCCATGATTTTGCTGGAGTCTAGCTGAATATCCACGAGGATTCTTGCAAGCAAGTCAATCGATACATTGGTTGCTGCTCTGTCCATCACTGCCTCTATCTTCATCCCATTCAACGCGGTCCCATCCATGTTCAGGTGCATTCCGAAATTCTCGACCTGCACGATGCCTGTCGCTTCAGGGAAGTTGATCTCTGTCTCGATGTTGATAAAGTGCACGAGATCGAAATCAATCACTTTCACGGACGTGAGTCCTGGGGATATCTTGAAGTTTGTATTGAGCGGAGTTTTGTCAACCTGCAAGAAACGATTTCTCACGCGTCGTCTCGTTCAAAGTTTGATAGTTCACCAGCGACGTGAAAAATCCTCCTTGACAACGGTCCAGAGCTCCAAGCCTTTCATTCAGAGCCACGATGTTGTTTGCCCCTGACATGTCACGTTCAGAAACTCATCACTTTGCAGAAGGATTCACCAAAAGGCACCCATTCTCCAACAAGTATGTTCACGTTTGAAAGCCGTAGGGCTCTAAAACATGAATCAGTGCAACCTTGCACAGAACACAACAGAAGAATCACTCATTCAGCTCGTCTTTCACATTCGTCACTCCTAGAGCACATTCATGTGCTCTGTGCGTGTTGCTCGTTAGCGGCTTTCCCCAGGGTGTTCGAAGGTTGGCCGGCAGAAAGGGACTGGTAACGTAGCTCACATCTTCTACATCTGAGCAGGTTGATTGTCTCTGGTATCCAGATCTTGTTGTCAACAAGAAAGCGTCTCCGTCATAGCTGGCAAGCACATCAACCAAGAAAAATTACACTTTCCATTGCACCTGCAGTGAAGAAGCTCAGAGTCATAGTGCTAGCAACACAGCAGGTCAGTTGCTTTCATTGCAAGGATCTTTTGTCACACTGGGGCATTGGGAGCGTAGGTGAAGCTATCTATATCTTGGAAGAGAGTGTTGGGGAGCGTTTTGAGATACTGCAACGATGTCAAGTCGAAATTCAAGAAGATGATTGTTGCAGACCTTAATCCCAGAGGTGGACACTTGGTATGCAGTGATGGGCTGAAAATCCTCAGTAGCAATCTTCAGACCATTGAGAAGTTTGTTTTCACGCAATTCGTCTATGCAGGACTTTGCTTCCTGTGAAATATTGAGAAATTGCCTTCTGGTTATCCCAGCATGGCTGATGGTAACTGATTGCGGGCTATAATCGATTTCAAACACTCCTGTAGAATGCGAATCAGGCAAGATGGACTTCTGCAGCATGAAGAACCTGAAATGATTCCTTCATAGATCAAAACCAAAAGAGGCAACTCTCGGATCCAAGTTTCTTTCACATCCGGTCCTGTTGACGCTTGGGCATATTTGCTAATCAGGATGAGCAGCTTGGAATGGATCACTGTCATCTTAAAGTGATCACGATCCACATGATCTCTGACTCTTCCCGCATGAAAGTCTTCTTGTGACAACTTGGACATCCCAGACTCCATCGACGCGATAGAAGGCGTCTTTCTCCCCCAAACTCCTTTCGCAGCCCAGTTCTCTCTTTTGCCAAACTTGCCTTCCCGGATGTTTGACATGGCACTGTTGTCAGAGTAGGCTGGGGAGGAGGCGCCACTCCTCCTGCTTCGATCTCTTTCCCTGCCCTCCGACGACCCCGCCTGCGAGTATGCCCTGTACTCCGCCATGACCCCGCCGCCCTTTCAAGTTTGACCCGCTGCCAGTGCGCTTTCGTCTCTGTAACGGAGGAAAACCGATTAGTACCAACCGTTATTTTTGACCGTTGTTCTTACCGTTACATAATTCTCGAAATAGCGCTTTGGGCATGCTGAGTAGTTGAGAATGCAGGTTGCGAATGCCATGGAAGAGCGAAGAGGAGGAGCAGGAGGAAGACAACAGGGGAGAGTAAGATCAACAGCCATCGCCATCGTATGCGCAGCAGCACTGCTGTTGCTTGTTGTGGGTGTTGAAAGGGAGTCGACCGGGAGCCAAGATAGTGTATGGCTTCTCAAGGAGAAGGTTGCGGCGTCTGGAGTGAAGGATTCATCCTTTGCCGAGTGGTTCAGGAAACAATCAGCAGCCATTTGGTATGCTTGACGTTGCACCTTATTGGTCTCTGATGCCTTGGTCAGGTTTGGAAAACGAACCTTCAAACAGAAACTCGCCAAAGAGAAGACAGAAAAACTCTCTCGCTGGCTGACACAGCATGATGTGCATGGGATGCAGTCGGTGATGAAGGAAGAGGCAGAGCGTCGCCTCAAAGCAAGGAAAGTTGAGCTGGCCATGGAGAAGTTGGCTCGCAAGGAGCACTCAGACAAGCTTGCGAAGGCACTGAAGGAGGAGCTAGCGAGCTACAGTGAACTTAAGGATGTGAGCCGACGAAAGGCCCGCATCAGTCAAGAACTTGCGGAATATCAGCCCATTCGAACGGAAGGTGATTATGCTGACCTGCCAGAAGCTCGGGTTCTGTCAGTCATCAACAGTCTGAACGACAACTTCCGGTAACAGGGACCGTGATGGTGCATGGGTGACGTGACTGAGCTATGCAGGAATCGATCCAGCAGTGAGATCAGCACACAGGCATCACAGGCAAAAGAAACTCCTGAGCAAGAAGCGCAAAGAAAGGAGGAGGAAAGGAAAGAAGCTGAGGAAGGTGTTGCTCACATGTTGTCGATTGCCGCCGCTCATCTCCTTGTGTAGTTGCCAAGACAGAGAGGACAATGGCGTCAACAGGGCCGACTTTGAAGAAGATGTATGACGACGTGGTTGAGGTTGACCCAAGACTTTGCAATCATTTTCCTGATCTTCGTTTCCAGTTGAAGAATTCACAGAAAAATGATTTGGATAAGATGGACAGCAACCTGCAAGCTATCTATGATGAAGTAAGTTTGGCGTGATATTCGAAGGTCATTCTGACTCCTTTGCATAGCACGGCTACAAGTCGGCAGACATTTCCCAGTGCGGTGACCACTGCATTGAAGTTCAGGAGCAGAATGTCAAAGAATCGCAACAACAGTCTGCAAGAGAGGCGCAGCAGAAAGCAAGAGAAGACCAGGAACTGAAGGATGGGTTCAAATGATGTAATCATCGATCTTGAATGTGTAAATCTGTACATATAGCAACAAGACTGTTAAATCCTCTACGCACAGCATAACCTCATCAGTACCCCTTTAGCTCCAAACCCATCGGGCTACCATGGAAGCGATTGCTATCAAAACAAATAGAACGATAGAGAAATTAGGCCATCTTCCTGCCTGTTCTAAATTTTGATTTCGCTGTTGTGCACTCGGTACGTGAGGATCGTTGTTCTTTCCATCGGCAAAGATGATCAACGATGTTGTCATGATGTATCGGGGTTCGCGAACAACATAGTATGTGTGAGGAAATTCATCCATTGGGCGATTTCCAACTTTGACAGTCTCCTGCATTCCAGCAATATCAACCTTCTCCTGTACCGGTGCAAGCTTACCTTCCGACGTTTTACCGATGGGTGCAAGACAACACGACAGCATCTGAAAGCAAGAGTAAACAGACTGGATATCAGTGAGATTTCTGTCTCTTACGCTACAACAGTCAGAAACTTTCCTATCGAGCTTTTCTCCCATGCCATTCCTCGTTTCTTCGCCATGAAACATATCAGGCAAGTCCTTTAAATGCTCAAACAAGTCACCGCGAAGGAGCTTGCCAAGCGGATATCAGACGACAAATATACACCTTCACCGAACACATCTCCTGTACTCATCCTTTCTTTGTTGCCACTGTTGAAAAATCAACCTTTGGCACTGATTGCACGTTGCAAAATCACCTGAAAGACTTCAACCCACACCGGAGAATACAATGGAAATTTTCTAGTGATGAGCCATGAAAAGTTTCTACTTCACCATACTCTCGAGCCTTCAAGTTTAGATTTCAGTCTATCCAGCCTATCAGACAAGCTTTATACCGCAGCCTCAAATTCGGGATCATTTCCATGTTCCAACTGAAAACGCAAATTGTGATTAGCTCAAACTGCAATTGTGCGTGCAAGGAAACAAGACAATAAGACGCAAAGAAACTGGTCAACGGCTCCCCAAAAAACTCAAATTCGTTGTTCAAATCAATGGTGCACAGAGATGATTAATTTCAGACTCACCTGCAGCTCAAAGACTGGGTAAGATATGCTACCATTTGGCCCGTCAATAGAGTGCCTTTTAACAGTATCCATGTTAACGGCCATTTCATCCTCCAAAACCCAGTCATTCAAAGTACAAGTCATTGCTTCTAGAAGTTATCCTTACCTTCGCTGCCACACCCTTCATGTCTATCAAAAATCTCAGCAACAACCCTATGTCTTGAACCGAAGGATTTGCAGTGTTGGATAAATGTCCACTGATGTCACTAATCGCAGGTATATTTCGCAATGCATCGTCCAACTTTCTGAAATCTTCGCCACCACACAAGTCTACAAAACAGTCAGGAAATGGATCAAATACAGTGACTCTGCGAAAAGATCGGTTCGCTGCCACCGCCAAACAAATCAATGTATCCAATGTCTTGCGCTTGTTTGAAGCAAACTCTACGACATCAGAGAAATCGTTAACAGCATGTTGATACTTGTTCGTTCTGAAATCTGGATCAATCGAGCATTCACACCTTTCGATCGCCTCGACAATGAGCTCAATCAGAACATTGATGGGTGTTCGTTTTTCAGCTGCTCGGCAGGCAACAGACTCGAGCTCGGTGCCTGATCCCGAAGGAGACTTCTCACCCCCGAAGATGAGGATGGTTCCCTCTTCACACGAAGGAATGTACACGAAGACGTTGGAACACTGACCAAGTGCTTCAAACGCAAACCCAACCCCCACCGACAGCAGTCGCTCTTCATCATTCCATTTCAGCCACCTCACCATCATTCGCGCCCCTGCATCGTTGGCCCCTCCTCTGAGGAGTTGCCGCCTACCAGGACCACATGTCCTGTCCTGTCTGGTTGGAAATTTCCCATTGAAGCTGCAGACAAGCGCGGCAATCTCCGCGTCCCTTCCCCTCGCCATCTCGCCGCCCCCTGCCATGATTTTGACCAATTTGACCAGCCAGCTAGAATTTTCTGAACAAACTCACTAAGCTAATCGGATAACCGGGCCACCCTAACTGAGGCAAGCCTGCTTGGGAATAGCAGGGCAGCTCGATGAGATAGAGCAAGATATAGAGCGCCGAAACGCTGCCACCAGAGGATCACAGGGCGATGCGGCCTGCAGAAAGGCGATGGTGAAGAAGGTGAGTGGAGGAAGAGATGAAGAGATGAAGAGATAACGAGACGATGAAGACTAAGATGGCGTTTCTAAAGGTGTTATAGAAGGCAAGCCAATGAAGAACAGATTCGGATTCTCTGTTTTGTTGACCATTGTAGTTTTCGGAAGCTACCAGGTGAAACACCTGCCTCATGTTGAGGTGATGACATGGGAAACTGAAGACTTTGATTAGCTGAGTGTTGAATCCAAGAAACTTTTATCCCAAGTGAGATGTGAATGTTCCGACGACTCTGCACTGAAACATTTTTGAAGGACGTTAGGAAGAAGTTGAAGGAATTCGGGATTTCAAAGGATCAGGCGTGTTGTTGCATTTAAGACATCTTGGATCATGACATGCGTGCAGATTGGCGGTCTAGAAGTTGTACTCAAAGCTGAGAAGGAGCAAAGGAAAGAAACTGTTTGGTTGTCATTTTTGTCGGGGAAGTCTGAACAGAAAGAAGTTAAGAAGCTGTTAAAGGCTAAGCATCCCAGCCTGAAAGCAAAGCGAAAGACAGTTGAAGGGAGCAAATGCCTCAAGATCTCTTCAAACCCAAAAACGTCTACAAAAGCAGAAGTAAAAATCATCATGTTTTGTCGATGTGAATGACCGTGACGCTTTCAGTCGGAACAGAAGGAGCCACCAAAGGAAAAAGCAGTTCAAGGTTTGTCTTGGACCACATCCTAATCCCCTCTGCCTCTGCCTCTGCCTCTGCCTCTGTCTTTAGGCCTCATCATGCCCCTACAACCTTTCTTCTTTGCTCTGTCATGGCGTTAGTCGATTTATCCTCATCTCTATTCCACGATCTAAATGTTGGTTGCGACGCAGTGATTACAGGGGAGGATAACGCAGAGCTGAAGCAAGACAAATACATTCGATCGATTCGAAAACGTCTCCGACAGATTGAAGAGCTGGAGGAAGTAAGTTGAGAAGAATCACAGCTAGGAATATGATGTGTCTGATTGCTTTTATTGCAAAGAAAAAACAAAGAGGGGAATCTTTGAATGCAGAGCAAGTGAAGAAGATTTTGAGAAAGGTGGAGGTACAGAAGGAGTTACAAGCTGCGACTAAGACAACCTCAGCACCCGAGAAGACCTCGGTCTTCTATCTCTTCCTATGCTTGACGCGCTGACACTGAAACAGGATAGCGATGACGATGACCGGACTCGCGGCCGAGATCCGATGCTGGTTGCTCCGACGAAGACTAACTATGAGATGATGAAGCTTATAAGACAGAAGGTGACGTTGCCAGTAGTGTCTCGACTTGCTCATGAGCTCCAGATCGAGGCTGTACGATCCACCGACGAGTACAAGAGGAGGAGAGAACTTCGGAGGTCGAGGAAGAAGAAAGAAGAAATAGTGGAAGATGAAGAAGATTTGTGCATTGGCGAGCCGCAGTTTGGTCCTAACGGCGAGATGTTGGATGTGATCTGGAGGAACGTATCAGAACCCAAGACTGCACAAACCGCCGAGGTGAAGCAGAAGAAGCGAAAGAAAGAGGCTCCTCCTCCCAAATCTCCCGAACCCCCCGAACCTCAAGATCCACCAGGGAACAAGGAGGCCCTGGAGCTTCGGTTGACACCGACCAAGAAGGGTCAGACATCTCCGTTTGCAGGCAAAGTGAAGATCACGGAGGGGGAGCTGCTGCTGGGCACCAACTCAGATGGGACGCTCAAGGAGAGGCTGGAGCTTCTGACTCAAGTCTCTCTCAAGGATCTGTGTCGTCGTGCTGGAGTGCCGGTGAGCGGGAAGAAAGAAGAACAGATCAACCGGCTCTTGGGGCCTCTTTCACTCATGATCGCTAAGGAGAAGAAGTAAGGAATGGGAATGGGATGAATTCATGTCTTTTGAATTAATAATAAGTAAGTAATCTTGCACCTAGCCAGATCTAATGTTCGGCTTGAATGTGCACTCCTTCAAATCCTCCCTTTCCTTCATCTCTCTCAGCTCAGCTAAGACTGCATCTCGAATTTTCTGCCTTTGGATACTTTTCTCGTAGAAGTCATTGGGTCCCTCCTTGAATTCTTTCACAACCTTGTCCTGGCTTTCGTTCTGATCTTGCGAAGTCACGCTCACCCTCTCATCGATGAACGTGTTCAAGGACATGGCTTCTGAGAACGCCGAATGATTCTCACTGTTCTCCGAGCAAGAATCGTCTCCAGCGTTTTCAAGAGGAACTCCCAATTTCCGGTTGCCTTTCTTCAAGGACGTGATACCAAAGATGACATGCCAAGGTGAGAAGCCATTGCTAAGAGGCGTCTTAAACTCCGCCAAACATGCTTGCTTGAACTGATCGAATGTTAACGGCCGAGGCGAGAACTCAGCGCATTTCATCAAGACAGGCATTATGACAGATGCTGTTTCTTCATGTCCGAGCAGTTTAGCTTGACTTCGAACTTGTACTGGCAAAGTTGGAGGCGTGACCAACCCATCTCCATCTCTGTCGAGCGCTGCAAAGATGTATCGAAGATGTTGTTCCTTAGCATTTTCTATGATCTTCTTGGAGCCTTTACAGGATTTCGGGGCGTTTCTGGTCTCGTCCATCTGTCTGTCTCTCTCTGCCATCATGTAAGCCTTTCTTCGCTCAGATTCCTGTCACAACCTCAGCCATCGACACACAGGGGAGAAAGCTTGCTCACCTTGTAAACAGAAAATTGCTTCTCTCCTATTCTTTGCGCCTCCCAGATCGATATCTTCTTTTCTTGACTCCCTTCCCCCTTGATTCTAGTCTGTCCTGACGAGTAATCTGGAGACCACAAGAGCTTCGAGATTGTCGCACTCAACCCTTTCGGGTCACTCGTGATACTCTCATCTCTTGACAGCAGTTTCAAGTCAAGCTGATAAGGCGATTGCAGCCTTGATACCATGGCCTGGGGAAACTCTTTCAGTTGATTCAATCGTCTTCGTGCGCGTCATCGACCTGTTCTTGTTCCCGGGAAAGCTTTTTTGTCGGAGTCTTCAAGCTAGACACACTCTCCCAGACATAAGACTGGCTTGGCTTCTTGCTAAAAGCTTCTTCATAAAGATGCTCATGCACGTTGCCTTCATGGGTCCTTGCACTCAACATGCGCTTGCAGTCGCTTATTTTTGGCTTGAAGGTGCACTCTTTCAGTTCTTGAGTCAGATGTTTGATTTGATTTTGTTCTTCCTCCACTTTCTTGGATTTCATCAAATTTTCTAGGCGTCGATCCCAGTTGTCTCTCTTGAGTTGTCTAGCCTTCAACCCGATGTCTGGTTGAAACGGGTCTAACTGCAGTCCTTTGACAAATTGACTCTCTCGTTCGAGCACCTTTTTCAGCTTATCTTCATCATGTCGAGAAATCTCGCTCTCCCTCTTTCGTCGCAATGTTTCTGCTTCTTCATATAATCGGTTGAAAATCGAGCTGTTGTCAGGGAACGAGGAGAGTGAATGCGCACTGTTCGAAGGGTTGGACTTGCATTTGGAGCTCTTCTGCTTGAATTCCTTCTCTTGCTCCGCTTGTTGTTTCTGCTTTAATTGGATGGACTGCTCCAAACTTGTCATTCTTCGCTTGACTTCCTGGTACAGCCTTTCATGTACATTCTTCACCTGATCACAAAACATCAATGTTTGCTTCATGGGATTGCAACAGAGAGCGACAAGTACCGCATCCCTTGTAGGCTGAGGCCGCTCCTTTGGTGCAGATCTTGTTCGATTCCGGGGAGTGCCTGATAATCTCGTCATGCACATACATCCTTCATAAAGATCCCCTTACTGTGATTCGAAGCTGAACGGTTAGCGCTTGTCTGTTGGCGGAAAGCAAAACTGAGTTATGAACGGCAGAGAAATATCTGACAGCAACCTTGACATCTTCCTCTCTGTCGGATCTTGATGCTCTTTCTCTTGGTGCTGATCTTGGGCGAGATGTGTACAGATGTTGGAACTCAAGAGATTCAGGTCCAGACCATCTTCAACAAATAAGTCAGCAACAGCACAAATACAATTCCTGAGAATACTTTCTTGATTGGCGAGATTGCAACCATCGATTCCTTGCACTTTCGCAAAGTTCTCTCTTCTTCTCTATCAGCTTCATGCCATTATCATACAACCTATTCCCAACCCGAAGGTATTCCGAAGGACTAAGAACGCTGTATCCGATCTTCCCTCTATTTTCGATTGACATCAATTCTTTCTTGTAAGCGGTTTGATTCATCAACTCCAGATCTTTGAGAACAGATAAATTGTTTTTCTGCTTGGTCGATTGACTTTCCCAATGAAAGAAGGAACCATCTTCGCTGAGGACTTCCCTATCACAGTGCATGCGAGGCATGGAGTCATAATCTTCGGTGGAATATTCTATTGGTTCTAGTGGATGATAACTTTCAGGCGTGGAAGATGTGCCTTTCAATGTTGCTGGAATTTCTCGCTCAAACGATTGGTTTATCTTGTCCATTACATTCATGTTTCTCACACCAAAACTGTTTGCAAGAGTCTTTTCAATGTGCTCAGCGAGTTTCTGTGCAACTTTGGTTTTGGACAATTGGTAAGTTTCGCAAAAATCGATTGCCAGCTTCTCAACATCGTCATTTTGACGTAAAGCTATTTTCCCTATCCTTCCGTCCCCGATGTCAATGCTCATAATTGCAACCACCTTCGAGTTTTTGATTTTCTCCATGTTTGCCCGACTGTGGTCAACAAGGACCAAGTTTACTGGGACAGGCGTGAACGATGAAATGGGAGAATCTGCACGTGCTGGGGTGTATCGAGTGAGGCAAATTCAACACTGTCGCAACTGCTTTCACAGGATCAAAACTTTCTCATCTCACTGATTCACATGCGAGCTCAGCCTAAAAATCATTTCAAACTCCACTTCCTCTCTCTTGTTCTGTCTCGTTGGTAGACCTCCCTATCCTTGGTCTGCCAACTCTTAAGCTCTCACTGACTTTCTGCGGGTTCCCTCGCCCATCATTGACTTTAACCAAGGCCTGGATGTAACAGACCAGGCCGCCGGCTCTGCGTAAACTTGGTAGGTGGGGTGGGGACCCACCCTCGGCCTCGTCGCTGTCGTACGGTACAGAAGTGAAACCGTCGAGGCCCATTCATCCCAAGGGGTAGTCTGAGAGCAGCCTCGGCGTTCCACCACCTACCGGTCACCGGGTACTGGAATCTGTTACTCAAAGTTAAGTTAAAAATCAGTACGAGGACAATCAGGAGAGTCGAGGAGGCTTGACCCTGACACTGTCGCACAGGCCAAACGGCGAGAAGAGAAAAGACAGCGAGAACCAAACCCAATCCTGCCAGTACTGGAATTATTCTGTAGGGCCGGTCCTATCAGAGTCCACGCTCAGGCTGCACCTAAAACCAGGTCCTGCCGGGGACTGGCAGAGTCCACTGAAGGGCCCCGGCAGTGGGTCAGAGGGTGGGTGGCCCGGGCCCGACCGCTAGTGTGATGCCACGGTGCTGCTGCACTTTCTGAGGGCCTGTGCCGCTAGCGAAGTGCCGCAGTGCGGCCATACTATGATAAGACGGTGGCCCATGATGGTCTACAGCCTGGCAGGCTTGACCCGGGGGCAACCGTAAAACACCGCGACAGGCCGCGGCGGCGGGGCTTCCGAGCCTTCAGTGAAATGAGCCTTGATCGGACGGTCCCCGGCCCCCCGGCGGCCGGCCCGGCCGCGTGCGGCCCCGGCGGGTCTCTGACGGATCACATGGATCTTATATAGAGCCCAGACTTGCCGAGCCCAAAAACTGAGAAATTGTAACTGTTCTGGAACGGTACGGTTCTCCATTCCGACTATTCGATGGAATGACCAGAGGAAGCATCCTCGGGGCGGACAATACCCCTGGTTATCTGTATATAAGCATGGGGTCTTGTCTTCCTCTCTCTCTGTCTCTTTCCCTCTCTTCTCCCTCTTTCTTTCTCCTCATTCTCTCTCTCTTCTCTTTTCCTTTCTCACTATCTCTTAATCTTTTTCTTTCTCCTATCCTTTCAGTCTCTGTTGTCTTCCTATCCTTGCTCTACTTATAAATACTCTTATCTCTGAAGTCAATTACCTATCTGCTCTAACTTCGCTACTGCATACAATCCATCGGTTATGATAGCCTCGTTCTCTACTACGCCAGGGCTGACTTCTTTCTCCAATACAGCCACACTCAGTCTTGGAATTCTTGTGCTTTGGTTCGCTTACTGCACTTTTCGACTCATCTGTTCAATCTACACAACATTGTCTGACTGGAAAGGCCGAATCTACAACAATGTATGCTTTCCATCACTACTGAACCTGTTCAACAGAAACAAACTGGCAGACCTGACAACCGACGCACAGGCTAATCTTCAATACGCCAGCACACCGCATGTGCATCGATATGTCACCAAATCCCCCAATGTTGCTCCTAACATTCTGTTTGCACATGATACCCCAACTACTTCTGGGGCAACCAAATATTCTTCTAAGGTTCTTCGACGAACAACACCAGTTTATCGTCCGAACCCAATGAGTGTGACAACTGTGAAATCTCCCACCAGTACCCCGGCACAAGTTACGATTATTTCCTCGCCATCCGGCATAGAGTTTCCACCGCTTCCACGTAGCACTGACTATGACGCACTGGACACTTGGAAACAAGGGGTAGAGAGAATCTTCCGACGTCATTCCATCCCAATGTCCGACTGGCTTCCCATCCTAGCGGACGATCCTCGCACTGATGAACGACTGGTAAGTATCATTCGCAATGTGCAATTTGACGTAGGACCTGGAGCTTCACCCTCACAGTACTGGGAAGGTGTTATCTCTAGAGTTTTTCGTTGCACTAAATGCCCACGACCATGGGACCGGTTCTCAACACTACAGAAGAACCTTATTACGCTGAAACAGAGCAGCTCTCTTGAGCTATACCTACTTGAGTTTGAGAATCGCTGGCGAGAACTCGCAGTATGGGCATGTGACTTTAATCTAGAAGATGGACTACCAACCCAGGATAACTTGATTACTCTACTCATTCAAGGACTGGACTCGAGATGTAGTTCAGCAGTGGCTGGCAGAACTGATGAGATTGTGAATGCCGAGACACTCACTGATGCAATGGATTTGATTGCAGACATCTGTTCTGAATACAAGGTGGCTGGACTTGATGAGGAATCGTTCGCTCGGCTGAATAATCGTACCAAACGGACATACGGTCAGGGACTCAGGAGTGACAACATGCTTCGGGTCGAGACACCAACCGTAAGAACACCCAGCTGCATTCCCCAATCTCTCGCTTGTTACTCACGGCTCACAAAACTGTCTGCAGATACTCGAAGACTAAGTCACCACTCGCCTCAAGGGTCATGGAAGTCGAGGATCGGAATACTTCCTCTGCCACCGAACTACAGGAAACTACGTTCGCAGTATTTTCCCCTACAAAATTTATCGTACCATCGTGCTAATAATACAACGACCCTAGCGTCTTCACGACTCGGATTGAAATCATGGCGAATTACTCAGAGGAACTCGATTGCCCTGAAAACTACTGTCAGCCCCCTGAAAGACAAGGAGCATCATCCTCTTTCAAGGCAGACGGCTACACCTCTCGCTCCAACCACTGGGCAACTTCCAGCGGAGACTGTGATGAACCTGGCAGAACACTATGTCAGTCCACCCAGTTCTTCAGATGAAACCCCTGAGCAACCAGGAATTCAAATTGTGTTGGATACGGGAGCCTCCGATCATTTCTTCAACTCTGACATTCTTAATTTCATCACTGAACTTAATTCTGAACCTCTGGAGTTGCAAGTGAATACCATTCTTGGCAGTACACAAAACCAGACTGTGCTCCCAACTCGTAGACAGAGAGCTGACATATTCTCTGTCACAGCAAGGCTTCCTTTTCTTCCTGAGTCAGATCTATCAGGATTTTTCTCGCCAGACTTCATGGTGAATCTACTTTCAGCCGCCCGACTAGTGGAAAGTGGTTACTTTGTTATTCTCTGTAAAAACCATTCGGTCGTGTGCTGTCCTATAGAAAGTACCGGATCAGATGGCTCTATCCTGGTAATTCCTCTTCTCCGTTCTGGCAATACCTGGATCTTCAACTCTAGTCACCAGACAAGGTACTTAATTCGTACATCCTTACTGAACAAATTCTTGCTGTGGCTGTTGAATCCACATACCTCAGAAGTGCCAGACATCGCAGAGGCAGCCTATGTGGACTCAAATAAGAATAAGAATGTGACAGATCAATTGTATCCTCCATTTGCACAGTTCTGCTGCAGCACGCCTACGCTCAACAGAGAATACAAGGAAACTGAAAGATCTGCGACCAGCTCAGCTCCTGAGGGATTGCCTACTGCTTCCCCTGCCGTACCGATTGGCAACACTGACACAGCTAGTAACCATCACAGTACTGAACAATCTCTGTCTCAAAAGGCACAGTTTCTCCAGAAGTTACATCTTAAACTGGGACATGCGAACATGGTTGCCCTCACCAAACTACACTACAGCACGGCTGAAGTTCCGGAGGTACCGCGGAAGTATCTCTGCCTGGATGAAAAATGCCTGTGCTGCCTTAGAATGAAGAGCAAACAGATCCTGGCAAGTAAGCACAACGGTGAAATAACCAAATTGTGTGCGACACAGAGAAACTTTCAACCACTAGAGAAGTTACACGCTGATCTAGCAGGTCCACTGAACATTCGGACTCACAAAGGAGCAAGGCACTTTCTCGTAATCACTGACCAGGCGACACGCTTCCGATGGGTTCTACTAGTTCCCAAAAAGGATGATGTACCTGAACTCCTTCAAAGCTTCTTTCGAGACCTGCTTGCAGAATTTGGCACTAACGTAAAAATACTGATCCTACAAACCGACTGTGGCAGCGAATTTAAGAATCAGAAACTCAACACCATTCTGCAAAATGCTGGAATCAGACCTGAATACTCTTGTCCTTACACTCCAAGTCAGAATGGTATTGCAGAATCTTCGGTCAAGAGAATCAAAGAGATCACTCGAGCATTCATGGACACATCCAATTTACCCCAGAGCCTCTGGGGGTTTGCAGCGGTACACGCTGCACGTGTTGCAAATCTCATTCCTCATCGGTTACTAAACTATCAGACTCCGTTTCAATTACTGTACGGATATTACCCATCACTCAACAAGCTTCCGGTGTTCGGATGCTATGCTTGTGTTCACAGGAAAAATAACAAAGGTTCACTGGTTGGAAGCACTGTTGAAGGAATCTATCTCGGAGATGCTGATCCACTGTTTAATACAAAGGGTTATCTCGTGTATGGACCAAAGTCAAAACGATTCTTCATCTCCACGTCTGTGGCGTTTGATGAAAGCTTATACCCTTGCAGGCCAAAGAGCTCACGAAGGTTGACAGATCTCAAGGACATAAGTACACTACTTACCGACAATGAACTTGAGTACCCTGACTACTCCAGCTCTGATCTATCAGAACACCACCAAGTCATGAGCTGTGAGCAACAATCTGGCAGTACTGATTGCTGTACAGATCTGATGAATCACGAATCTCCGAAATCTGTTCCCGGCAATGTGCATAAAGCAAAAGATACAGAACCACTGATCAAACAACGACATAGTTTGAAAACTCTGAGCAGAAAACAACTGGTCAATGCACTTGTCAGAAATAAGGTTCAACTCGAATTACCATCATACTTCTATCCGGATGAGACACCTGGAACATGGACAGTCATGAGCCACAGAAGGGAACAAAGGAATAAGCAGACCTACCTTCTCACCAAAGTAGTGGACTGTCCTGTACCAGATGACATTGGAAAGATAATTCCACTGAAAACTGACAATTCTGAGTTCTCCTTACAGAAAGTGTTGGACCTTCAATTTAACTTTCCTCAGTATCTAGATGACATACTCTCTGTACAGCAGGGGCGTACAAGTCCAGAAGAATCAGTGAACCCCACATCTACTGCCTACTTCACCTCATCAACTCTCACTTACTGGCAGCGGATCAAGGAACCCAAAAGCATAAAGGAAGCATACGAAAGCGAACATAGAGACAAATGGATGAAAGCACTCCAAGATGAAATGACTAGCCTTGAACAAAAATTGGTGTATACTACTGAGTCACAGGTTCCTCCCGGAACAAAAACTATCCCTTGCAAACCAGTTTTCAAGGTAAAAACAAATTCAGATGGAACCCTAGACAAATTCAAGGCTCGTATAGTAGCGTTGGGATATCGTCAAGTGAAGGGTATCGACTATGAAGAGACATTTGCACCATTTGTAGACCTGAGCACTATTCGATTGCTATTTGCATTGGCCGTAGAATACACCTATCACATTCACCATGTCGACGTAAAAACTGCCTTCCTAAATGCAAACATAGACAAGGAAATTTATACCAGACCTCCCAAGGACTTATTGAAGTACTTACGTGCATGGCTCACAGGAAGTGTCCCAATAGACCTACCAGAGGACGACAGAGTATTCTGGAAACTGCAGCGAGCACTATATGGTACCAAACAAGCCCCTAACTTGTGGAGTGTAACCTTACGAAATTACTTGTTACAATTAGGATTTCGTGACGTCGGATTTGAAAAATCTGTATACATTCGCAGAAAACCAGATGGGGGTGTTCTAATCGTACTTGTCTGGGTGGATGATGTGTTACTGTTTGGAGACACCTTGGAACCTATCAATGAATTCAAGACAGAATTGAATAACAGGGTTCCCAATCACCGATAAGGGAGAAGTGGAATACTTCTTAGGGGTAGAGATCAAACGAGATCTTGAAACAGGAAGCATCACACTCTCTCAAGAAAAATTCATCAACGAAATATTGACAGAATTCGAGATAGATGAGAAAATGAAAGCCTGGACTCCTGGAACTACAACCAAACAAAAACTTAGTGATGATGGAGATTACCTTCACAAAGGAGACCAGACGAGATATCAACAACTGATAGGCAAACTCAATTATCTCTCGGTGTTTACAAGACCTGACTTGGCCTACACAATCTCAAGACTCTCACAACATCTGAGAGCACCCACTGTAACAAATTGGAAGGAAGCTATGAGAGTTCTTCATTATCTAAATCAGACAAAAAATATGGGAATAATTTTCAAACGGGCCGGAAGTCTACACTCACCATGTCCTGGATTAATTGCATACAGCGATAGCGATTTTGGAGGAGACTCCTCAGATCGTCGCTCAACCATTGGCTTACTTCTGCAATACAATGGTGCCCCGATAGTCTGGAAGGCTAAGAAACTCAAACTTGTCACCCTTAGTACAGCCGAATCAGAGTATTGTGCAGGCGCAAAGGCTGGAGTAGAAATCATCTACATACGACAAATATTAGAGGACCTGGGTCTAGAGTGTATCAATCCAACTCCATTGTACATTGACAATCAGGCTGCAATCTGCATTGCAAAGAATCCAGGAAAAAAGAGTTTGGCTAAACACATTGACATCAAGAGGTTTTTCCTAAGACAACTTGTGGAAGAGAATACCGTTAACGTACAATATGTACAGACCTCGAAGATGTTGGCTGACCTCATGACAAAATCACTTGGACGCTATCAACACATGAATCTGACTAAGCAGGTATTGGGCCAATTTGAGTCTTTCCAACATCCATCCCTTGATCCAATCTCAGAACTAAAACCTACAGACTCACCTGACTAGGGACTCTACCATGTCTGGTCTCAGGGGGGCGACGGATCACATGGATCTTATATAGAGCCCAGACTTGCCGAGCCCAAAAACTGAGAAATTGTAACTGTTCTGGAACGGTACGGTTCTCCATTCCGACTATTCGATGGAATGACCAGAGGAAGCATCCTCGGGGCGGACAATACCCCTGGTTATCTGTATATAAGCATGGGGTCTTGTCTTCCTCTCTCTCTGTCTCTTTCCCTCTCTTCTCCCTCTTTCTTTCTCCTCATTCTCTCTCTCTTCTCTTTTCCTTTCTCACTATCTCTTAATCTTTTTCTTTCTCCTATCCTTTCAGTCTCTGTTGTCTTCCTATCCTTGCTCTACTTATAAATACTCTTATCTCTGAAGTCAATTACCTATCTGCTCTAACTTCGCTACTGCATACAATCCATCAGTCTCAGTCTTACTCCCTGAGGCTCCGGCGGTCGAAGTGCACTGTGAGACACTGTCATCTTGCGAGGCCGAGCCGCGCCCGCTGAGGTTCTCGTCCGATCACTGGCCCTTCGACGGTGAGCCGAGGGCTGCTCTGTGAGGCTTTCAGTGTGACTCAAAGTTAAGTTAAAAATCAGTACGAAGTAGTGCCACGGTGATTTGAGTACTACTGTGGGACCGTGTAAAAAATTGCGACTAATAAAAATAGAACGGCCGCTCAACGGTTCTTGTAGACTCTCTGAGGCAGGGCTCTAAAGAGTTCGGCATTACTACAGGCCGAGTAAACAACTGTGCCAGGCGGACCCTGCTCAGTGCATGGAGGGAAATGGGCAGTGGGGGTGGGGGTGGGGTGAGGGGTCCGTTGGGCTTCTCGGAGGTGCCGACGGTGTGGCCCCCGGCAGGGGTAGGGTGGTTAATGTATGGAACTTGGGGTCCACTGTGCTTCTAACCTGGGGGTACTCCGTCAGTATGGCGAGGTCGGTGGCGTCCCCTTGCAGTTGAAGGGGAAGAGAAGAGAGGGTGAGAAGGGAGGTGAGAGAAGAGGGAGGAAAGGAGAGACAGAACACGATTGCATGGATCGCTGACATTGGTTCCCTGTGCTGCATACGGCGACGCGTTCAAAGGGTACAAGAATGAAACCTGAAAAGGTCAACTGCCCAGTATTCCATCCAATGTCTCTTGGGATAAACAGCCTGTGAGAACAACGAAATGAGCTGGAGTGAATGGTGACACGATCGAACTCTGAGGAGATCAATATTGGATTGGACGCACTTTCAAAGCCAGAATGAAATCAACGCTCATATGATCAAGTTGTTTCGAGTTCGTGCATCAGTGTTGTAATCCAGGGATAATCAGGGTCATCTCATCAACATGTCTTTGTCATTACATTCGTTCGCATCGGTTTCTCATCTTTTAGAGCAGCAGTCAGAGAGTGCTAGTGACAACTTCCTTCAAGTCTGGAGGAATTGTGTGAAGACTGGAGCAACCAACGCCAGAAATCCAAGTTGTCTGTCCTTGCTGTCCGAATCCGAAGCTGAGACGTTGTCTCATCTCGGAAGGCCTCTCACATATCAACGAGGACATGTGCTCTTCCGACATGATCAAGATAGCACGTACATCGGTGTCGTCATTGCAGGCAGATTTCGGGTGTCTCATACACAACCGCAACTCAGGAATGTTGTTCCTGATTTTCTAGAAATGGGAGACACGGTGGGAGAGTATACATTTGCACTTGATGGACAGATTGCTGGTGGAAAGCGAGAAGCGACTGTTGTCGCAGAGGTCGACGAGAGCTGCGTCTTTGCCATCGACTACAAGAAGTTTGCCACGTACATCGATGATTTGCCTCGCCCAAGGAACGAATCCTTACGAGCCGAGATTGCGCTTTTGCTCATCCCGCATCTCTACCCCGAAATGAAGAGACAGCACTTTCGGAGGACGAGGTCTTCTGTCTCTGACATCTCCTCGTCGCTGGTGTCTACCCCTGGGCGATCCGGAAACAGGTCAAGAGTTTCTCCCGTCACGATCTTGAACTTAGACTCGGTAGCGGAGTGCTCCTGGATAGGCAAGAGGAAGCACCAGGAAGCTTCTGTGGCAGCCAATGCCCTGCTGGCGAATGATGTTCAAGTTCCACAGGTGGCGTTCTTCAACAACGGAGAGATCTCGTCGTGGTATTTTGGAAACTTCAACTCGTTGATGAGGAGGAGCAGAGAAAGAATGGCCTCATGGCAGCTCCTGGAAGAGCTCACCAAGAAGTCAACTACTTCAGACAGGAGAGATGGGGCCATTGCCCTCCTCGTCTGCTGCAAGAATGGAAAGGACCCGTGCACTGAATCAGTCCAATGTCGATTTCTTGACAAGAAACGATTGGAGATGATTCTTTCCGGCGCAAAGTCAAACCAGTTCACTGGATACATTGTGAAATTTCAGAGGGAAAATCACTCATCACATCGCGAGTATATCTTGCAATGTCTTTGGAGTCAACATTCGTTCTCAGTAGAATGGGTCAAAGAATCTGACCTCGAATGTTTCACTCAGGTTCATATTCCTTCCCATTTCAATCGAAGCAGCTCCAAACGATTACAAAGCAAGATGAGAATCAAATATCACAAGTTTATTCCAGGTTCCCTGTCATTGTTCGGCGATCATCTGATCACTGCAAACAAATTCAAGACTTCTGCGACAGACACCAGCTCTCAAAAACAAGAACCTCCGCCGTTAGAGGAAGAGGATGTCGTTGTGGACAGTGAGATCATTGATCTCAAGACTAGAGAGCTCTTGAAGTCTGCTTGTCAAAAAATTGCTGCCACTGTGATGGAGAACGCGAATGAAAGCTCTACAGCGAGAGCGAAGGCTGAATTGGATGCGAATCAATACGGACGAAATCAAGTTTCCGACTTCATTTCTCTCGAAACTATGACATGTTTCTTCAAAATATCCAAGATGGGAAAACCTGTTCTTCTACATTGCAGTGCTGCCATGAGCCACCCTGAGACTACAACGGCCATTCCTGAAAGTGCAAAGAATGAGCTGATGGATCCGAAGTTTGAAACTTTCCGCTACTTTGCTGCTCTGGGATCTGATCAAGTGAGATTAAGCGGCATGGGCGAGAGGGCATTCCTACTTGACTTTACAGAGTTTCTTGCTCTCTTGACTCAGATCGGTTTGCTCTATCGATACACATCAGTCACAGATGCTTCTTCCAGCTTCAAACAGGTCTGCATGACGTCAAGTGTCGAAGATGGTCAACTAGACTACGCCAAGTACTGTGCCTGCATGCGTATTCTGTCTTCAAAGCTCCGGCTGGACAAGGACGAAGCGCAAGAGGTTGCGAGGGATGACCGGTCAGAAAGAAATGTGGCGAGAATGTCTAGCGAAGTGTCGAACATCTCTTCCATCAAGGAGGAGAGCTCGTTCAAGGAAGAGGGTCAAGAGCTTCAGGTAGGACTCCAGCAGGTTAAAAAGAGTCAAAAGGTTCATCGCAAGAGAATGGGCAGGATTCTCGCGTCGGCCATCATTGCGGCCAACGAGACCGAGGAGTTCGAGAAGCGGGTGGCAGATCGGGAGGAGAAGTATCAGATGCGGATCGCAGAGTACAGGAAGAAGATACAGCAGAAAGCTGCTGCAGACAGGAAAGCTGTGGAGCAAAAGTTGGAGCGGGCCCAGCATAAGGCAGAGGAGAAGCACAGGATGGCTGAAATGAAGGCCAATGAAACTTGGGAGAGAGTACACGAGAAGTGAGCACAGTTTGTTCCGATGATATTCAAACACTGATGAGCACGATGTGGTTTACAGGTCGAGGAAGGTTCTCGAAGCCAGGATGAATGAAGCACGGAAGAGACAACAGGAATCGGAGATGCGACGAGCAGCAAGTCGCAGGAAACTCCTTCAACTGAGGCAAATGGCTGAGCGAAGACGAGATGAGATCAGCAAGAAGTCAGAGTTGCTGGAAAGTCACAGGGAAGAAGTGTTTCACAGACAGAAGATTGCGAAAGAAAGAAGAGAGAGCTCTTCTTCATGGTTGAGAAGGAGAAAGACATCATGACCGACCTATTCCAAGAGTTTCCCAAGAACAGGCACCCGAGCAGACCATGGAGACTGATTGATCTGAGTGGAGACGCATTGCCGGATGTGTTTGAGATAGCAAAGAACAGCACCAAAGATGTTGTGCAGACAGATAATTTCTTGTTCTCTCCTGCATAACATGCTTACTTGGCTCAACTGTACAAATCTCCAGAACAACCGTAAACTGTAAAATGTACGATGGTTTAGAACTTTGTTGAATTATGAAGGGCAGGAATATCACAGTTCCGTGCAAGCTTTCCAAATTTCCACGATACCATCTTTGACTTTCTTCCAAGCCAGATGCCCGCGCGATAAAATGTCGTAGTGATCTGCTTCCGGAATCTTTACGATCTGCAGCAGCAAGTCCGAGTCTTGCTTTTCCTTTGCTGCTTTCTGGTAGTACTTCTCTATCATGTCTGCAGGAACATCCCTGTCCTCTGAACCAACGACCAGCAGAATGTTTCGCCTTGCTGGAAGCAGGCGGATAGGAGAAGCCTTGCTATACTCCCTCAACCCTTCTGCTGTGTCTGGCGTGCACTTCATGTACAACTCGATCGCATCTCCCTCGTCGCTCAGACGTCTCCTGTACCCATCCTCCAGATCCGTCACTGGTGCGACTGCTACGATCAGCCTGACGTTGACTCGTAGCTCCTGCTCTCCCAGCCACAGGACAAGAGCTCCTCCCGCTGAGTGCCCGACCAGCATCACCCTGTCGAGGTCCAGGTGCAGCGCCTTCCTCCCACACGGGCGTCAGCTGCATCATCCACACATCTCAGAGGCGCTCACGTGCTCTTGGCAGACGTGTGGAAGGGCATTCAACGCTTCCACCCCGTCTAGATTGGTTCCTGGCCATCCTGGGAGGATATCAGTCGTCTCGCCCTCGTCTTCCTCGTCTCCAAGACGCGTTCGTTCACCTCCTCCTTCATCGTCGCGTCTCCTATACTCCACCTCTGCCACAGCAAAGCCTAAGTCGCAGAGATCAACAACAATGCTGGTAATGGGCGTGTTGTCGATTGTCCTGAAATCCGAGGTAAGTGGGCAGGGGATAGAGTAGTTCTTGCAAACCATTTCTGCTTCCAGAATCCTCCGTGAAACAAAACCGCGACTGGAATTATTTCCTTTGCCAGCGATTAGCAATCAGACGAAGAGCTCGAGCAGCTCCATACCGACCCTCGCGGTTCTGGGCAAGTGATTCTCAAGTATTGGCAAGGGTGAGAGCCATAGCAATGAGTGCAGCTCATCTACAGAAGCCAGTCATGACAGCATCAAGTCGGATAAGGATATGAGAGCAAGAAGCTGCGATGACAGCATGAAGCGAATCAAGCTACATGCACAGCATCAAGTGCGAGATAACGGCATGCCATGTTCTCTCATCCGACCCTCCCTCCACAATTCCGATACACTAGCATCGCTCTAGTGCTACCTTGACCGCCGGGCCGGGAGTCCCGGCGGCCCGGCCCGGCACTTCGGATGATCGGCACTCAGTGACTCCGGATCGGAGGCCCGGCCGCACAGATCCCGGCCTGTCAGGCCGCAGCTCAGCCAGTGAGTCTCGCGGCCATGCAGGGCCAATGGTTTCCGACATTCAGTACCCACCGTTTATCCAACTTGCGGTCCCCGGCGTACTCAGGCGTGACTCTTTATCATCCGGCGGCGAAAGAAGTTCAAGTTGTTAAAAAACGACTCTCGTTAGTCTTTTCTCTATTCACGCCTATGTACAACTGAAGGTTTTTGGGAAGCTGAACGCCCAGAACTGACCGCAGCTCTAAGGTCACAGCTCCTCTGACTCTTCCTTGAGCATATCATCCCCCCGTATTAAGTGCTTGATATCCTCGGCCTGCATTTGAGAGCCTTGCCTGAGATCTTCTTCTTCTTCTTCTTCTCCTTCTTCTTCTTCTTCTTTCGGAACAGGAGACTCCCTGAACAGCTCGTGCTCCTCATCCTCATCATCGCTCTTGTAACCTTGCGGAAATTCCGAACCTTGGTCCTCATCGTCCATTTCTTCATCCTGTGAAAAGGAGGGCGCGCTGACAATTTCGTCCATGTATCGCTGCTCTTCAGGGTCCAGGCTGCTGTTTGTGGTGTACACATCGCTGCTGCTTTCGACGATCAAGTTGTGGATGGGCTCTTGTTTGGTTTTGACCTCAGTTGATGAGGATTTTGAGGAACTGGAGGATGTGGAACCAGTAGAGGAGCCAACTGAATCATCTAGAGAGTACTCTTCTAAGGAGCTTGACGATGTATCTCGATCTGCAGTGTCTTCGTTCACGATCTCGTCATCGTTGGTCTGGTGAAGCGGTGGAATCGTGAAACCATCGCCAGAATTAAGACCTGCTGCGATCTTCTCTTGCAGTATAACCTCCTCCTGTTGCCTGGCCAGGAACGACTTGTATCGTTCCATATCGTATCCTTCAGCAATCAACTGTTCCTTCACACTGGAAGCGAATCATACATAATGTAGAGATCTCAAAGTTAGTTGGATACCTTTCAACAACATGCTCATATCCATCGAGATAATCTGGAGCGTGTACCTGGACCCACCAGTGATATGGATCAAGCAGTCGGGCCTTTGCTGCGTACTTGGCTGCTTCTTCTGGTTTATTTCTGTCAAGCTCCAATGTCACATCAGGTAACATACACAAGCACTAGCACCTGTGTTTCAGAAGAATTTGTGCATAGCTGGCCAAAAACTGCGAGAAGATCAGGTGTGAAAGAGAAACCAAGACATAAATACTTACGCAGACATTGAATGGGTCATTCTTAATGTCTTCGATCAATCTAGCAAGCAAGTAAGGAGCCCGGCGGACGTGAGGTGGTGAAATCACAACCCTTGCTCGATCTCATCGAGACCGCAAGGCGGGCCCTCCAAGATCTTCTTGATTGTGTATGGATCATCGGGATTCTCTTCCGAGCTCTATACCAACAGCCGTCAGCATTCGCTGCAGGCATTTGAAAGTCCTACATGGAAATCCGACTCCTGATCCTGCTCTCCCAGTAGCCTGAAGCAGCTGTCTTTCTGCAGCTTGCTTGATTCCATGCCGCCTCTGAGTCTGAGGACATGACTGCGCGTGAGACCAGCCTTCCCTCTTCGCTCCATGGCGTGATCCTCTGACGCCGCCATCAGCAATAACCATGCGCCTGCTGCCATTGCGAGTCGCATTTCGCCCTCATCCCCGCTCATGATTGGAAATTCCAAGTCATGCACAAGTCATGCAGAGGTCATGCCTGAAGGTATGCAAGCCTATGCCGACCTGCATGCAGATGCCGTGCTGACGCCATGTCATACGCCATGCACCACGGGAACATGCTTGGCCATGATACGTAGGAGGATGCACGTGTAGGAGGATCACGAAGAAGGAGAGTGGAGGAGGTCAAGGAGGGGAGGGGAGAGCATTGCCCTTGGATGAGAAAGAGCCCTCACAAGAACCTCAGCAAAGATGGGCAGGTTGATGCGGAGCGACAGGCTTGTCCTGGCTCTCCTTGGACTCGCACTCTGCTTCGGAGCTGAATATGATCGAGATGATAACGGTTCAAGGGTGGAGAAGTCCCGGCAGGACGAAGCTGACCAGGAGCCAGAATGCATGTTCATGCTCTTGAGCCCTGAGCTGGATGTTGTGTACGAGGGGAGGATCCCCTCCTTCGAGATACAGGTTTCTCCGGCTTGTCCTTGCCCGAGCAACGGAGAGCATGAGATTGCGATATGGATTTCTCGTGAATCCAACAAGAGGCACCTCAACGTTGTGACAAACATGTCGTGCACTTTTCTTCAAGAAGATTTTGGATTGATTGATCTCATCGACATCAAGGATGGTCACTGGGAGGGAGGAGTCACCTTCAACACTCTCTGGGGCATGCATCAGCCTGTTAGGTTTGATTTTGTTTCACCTTTCAACCCACAGATCGATGTCTTGCTACCAACACCAGGATACGTTTATGGCGCAGGTGTAGACCCAGTGATAGTGCTGCACATTCACGATATCACGGATCCGCACGAGCCGCTCCTTGGAATCCTCGTTAGGATCACCGTCAACGGGGTGGAAGGAGCCATCACTCGCAACCCTGGGAGAGACAAGTATATCCATCTGCGAGAAAGCGCAGAAGGCGAATACTTCCCGGATGGCCGGTATGACATCCAGCTACAGGTGTTGGACCTCTTGTACAGACCACGAGGGGAACCTGTGTCTCTGGATGTTGTGATCGATAGGAGTAAGCCGCCGGCAAGCAAGTCCGACAGAGTTCTTCATGACTGTCCGGCACCTGCAGACATCTCCAGATGTCCCAACTGCTCTTCTCACGGAACTTGCAGAGGCGACATCGTCTGCGAATGCGATGCTGACTGGATCGGAGACACTTGCCAGCACCACATGCTCACCCACACGCATTTCTTGCCCGATCTTGACAAGGAAGATACTGCCACGAGGTGCCATAGAAGGTCGAGATGGGTCAATTCAACCCGACGAATCGCTGCTGCGATCCAACAGCAACAGAATCCCCCATCTTGCTCCGACGAGCATGTGCAGTATCTTACGGACATGAACCGACATCCTCTTGCTGTTGGTCACGGACTTCGATGGGAGGCATTGATGTTGGGTGAGAGCCTCAAGAACAAATCCATCTACCTGCCTGGGCCAACATGGTCTCTTTTCAGCTACCACAAGTGTGCTGGCCTCGGCCTCTGGTGCCACCTGGAACACCCGACGACGTGCAAGGCCGCAAACATGTCAAGTGTGCGCGAGATCGCCAGTCAAGTGCTGGTGACTCATGTGACTCGCCGGTGGGACTTTGCTGAAGGGTTTCATGATGTCGGAATGTTCAACTGGTTTTCCACGCTCATGGGCTTGACAGTAAGGCCCAGGTCTCTGCTGCACTCCGAGCTCAACCACATGAAGAATGTCATCGGATTCAAACATCCCATCATCGGGGTGCACATCAGGTATGGAGATGGATGCCTGCCCAATCAGTTGCATCGGCCGCCGTGTGAGCCTGTAGAAACCTATGTCGAAGAGATCATGCGGATGGTCATGAAGTATGAAGTCTCCACAGTCTTCCTGGCCACCGACAGTGCGCAGGCTCTGGAGCAACTGAAGAGCAATTTCGACTTCGAGACGCTGCATGCCCCTGTAGATCGGAGCCTCTTCGACTCAAGGTGGTGGATAGATCACAGAGCAGCGTTCGGAGTTGTTGACCCGATGCAAGTCGGGGAGAGTGCGCTCATGGACTTGCTGCTGCTGTCAGAGTGCGATTATTTCATCGGCACCTTCTCATCACATTTCAGTCTGGCAGCGTTTGAACTATCAACATTTAAAAAGGGATACGTTCCTCCATATGTGAGTTATATTTGCATCTTATCGAGCGCTTGATAACCGCTGTACCTTTACAGATTTCTGTCGATTGCCCATGGAAACCCGTGCGAGCTTTCTCACATCTGCATCCCCTCCCAAATTGTCAGCACAAAGTCACAAAGATCAGTTGAAGCACAAACACTCTTAGTGTAGATAATCGTAGACGCACACGTAGAATAGATCTCACCTTCATCCCATTCTCCTTGGCCCATTTCTTTAAACACAGATTCAGTACAGCTCAATGTAAATATCATTCTTTGTTACCTTGAAAGCTCTCAAGATGTACTCGACTTGTGGGTTTTCAGTGTTTCTCAGCATGATCGAAATCTCCCTCAGATTATCCCTCGGCTCACGCCCAGCAACAATTTGTTGGAACGCACCAACGCTCGCGCCGCGCTTGCCATCCCAAAAGACAGGGTTTGGATCCAACCTTTCCAAAACATCGAAAGCTTTCAAAGAATAAAAGAAGTGGCCCATCTTGTAACAGTCATTTGCAATGAGCTGAACGAGGTTGAACGACTCATGCGAAGTTTCCAACTTCAGATACAGCTCCCATGACAACCTCGGTTTGCCGTTGTAGATGTAACTCCTGGCCAGAGCCATGATGTAGGAGTATTCTGATTTGAACTGGAAATCAAAATCAGAATGAAAGTAGCAGTATAGTATGGCTCTCAAGTCAATTCGTGATCACCTTTGGATTTGTGACCATCGTGAGGTGCTCCTCGGCATCTTTGTAGTGACCGGAGGCGCATTTTGCGATTCCCATGTTGTAATTGAACTCGTCGACATTGAACAGGTAAGCCTGCCAATCATTTCAACGGCTGGTATTGGTTCTTATCGAGTGATACCTTGATGGACTTGAGATAAATCAAAACTTCGTCAAACTGCTTCAACAGGAAGAAGCACATCGCCATGCTCTGTCGTCCTGGGATCGTGTCACAGTGGCTGCTTGAGGCTCCTACCAGCTGAAAGTATTGCTGGGCAGACTTCAACATTTCTCTGTTGTCTTCAATTTGACCTAAGCATGCAAAAATGACTCCTTTGAGGATGTACTCGTCCGGGGTCGAGGGCTCTATGTCTTTCATGAGTTGCAAAGCATCCTTGTATTCTTCGTTCTTCAGATGGTAAATTATCAAATTCAACCTGGCTTCCGGGATTGCATCAATCAAAGGAGGTAGAATTTGCATGGCATTTTCCCCACTTCGGAACACGCAGAGGTTATGCCGCACCAAGTCATTATCGTATTGTGTTATCGAAATTCCTTGCTTGTCTGCTAATTTCTTCAGCTCAGCTTCTCCCGCTTTCCCATCATACAGTCTAGAGTGATTACAAGCCTTGAGATTTACCCCAACGACACTGTCTGGGAATTGTTGTAGATACACTTGAAGGATCTCAAGGGAGACATCATAATAATCCATCTTGTAGTAGCATAGTGCCACATAAACGTTCAAAGCCAAGTATTCTCGGTTTTCCAATAGAAGGCGCTTGTATATATCTGTTGCCTCTTGGTAATGGTTTCGCAGGTAATGGATTGATGCCAAAGAAAGCTTTAAAAGATATCAAAATGCAAAAAGTTTCCTGAAATCACTTGTACCTGATCTTCCGTATCATCTGTCAATTTCTGATGATAAATCATGAGCTTGTTTTCGTCACCACGTTTGTGTGCCAGGTGGAACAGAAGTCTATTTTGTAGTCGTCCAGGAGCCCCTTGGGAAAAGATGAGACAGGTACAGATGCAGCAAGAATGTCAAAAGACCTGTCAAACCCGATCCCGTCCTCAAAGCTGTATCATATGACTCGTTGTACTGCCCTGCAAATAAATTGAGGCAAATAGATGTGAACCGAAGCATCTGATTACCCAAGTAAAATAGTGCGCATGCTTTGTACAGATTCCAGACAGGTTCTGATTGTGCTAGACTGATTAGTTCGTCCAGATGCTGTCAAAATGTGACTCATTTGATCGTCTGCAAGGCAGAAAACTCCTCACCGTGCACGAGTTCTTGTAATCCCCTAGATGAAAAGCACAATAAGCCATCCACATAGTGAGGGATTCAGACTCGGAGTAGTCTCCTGCCGCTTGTTTGGTGTTGCTCTCAAAGTTGAGCAGGCCAAGAGCTCCTGACCAATCATGTTTGTCTACAAACTCATCGAGCGTGGGCTTCTTCTTCGCAGTCTTCTCTTTGGAAAGATCTGCCTTGTTGCTGGAAGGGATGGCTCGTCGAGGAAGCATTCTGTTTCTTCTCCCTCCTGTTGTCTACTGAGGATGCAGTTGCTATCAGTGTCTTCACTGCATGAAGCCGCTCGGCAGCGCCTTCTCTTGCCCTCTGTGCATTTCGGTTGGCGGGACCTACCAGGGTTCGAACTTTAGTCAACACGATCAATTTTATAAATATATTTTATATGACATTGTGAATTAAAACGGTTAAAACCACAGATTTTCTCTGAATCAAATCGATTTGCATGTGTCATCCCGGCGGGCCGAGTGGGGCCTCAGCTGGAGACTGAGTAGGCGACCAATCAGCTCGTCAATGTCGCTGATTGTCTCAGTGCTTGTCCTGCTTCACCGCATCCTCCACCTCCATTCCTTTCATCACCTCTTCCTCTTCCACTTCCTCCATCAACCCCAAATGCAGGAGCTCCTGCAGCAGCACACGTACGACGCTCAAACTCTTGACAGGGCAGCTCACCAAAACTTTCTGCGAGCGACTGAAAGCGAACTCGATGACCTCCGAGGCTCTAGACGCAGAGACCCGCCAATCCTGAGGAGAGGAGGGAAAGGTGAATGAACAGTGAGGAGAGGAGGAGAGCTTACCGCTGAGTTGTCTTCCTTCAAGGGGAAACAGCAGACATGAAGGTGATCGCAACCGCGGATGTCAGGCTATTCAAAGTGGAATCAGCTTGCAGCGGTACAACACAGACATGTACATCATCGAAGAATGTCACAGCGTAAGCAACATCCTCGTCTTGCAGCGCTCGTGCAGACGCTTGAAGTTGTGCTGTGCTCAGGTACACCTTCTCTCCTAGAACAAGCAGGTCGACTGGCTCTGACGTCTTGCAGGAAACACAAGTGTTGTCACATGAAGTCGGCTTGCTCTTCTCCTCGTGTCCCTCCGCCTCCTGCTCTCTCGAGCTGCCACTGATGTTCTTTGGGATCCTACGTGGGGCTGCGTCTCCTGACCTCTCACTGGCAGGAGGAACAGGATTCTTCGGGAGCTCTTGCTGGCATAACTTTGCTTCAGAGGGGATGCTCCTTGATCGAGGAGGCTCTTCGTTGTACGAGGGGAGGAGCTCGAGATCATCAGTTGAATTGTCCAGGCTCCTCGTCACTTTCTCCGCCACCCCGTCAAGAAGTTTGACCTCCGTCGCTGACAATTTCGACTCGACTCGAGGCGTCAGCTCCGTCTTACTCTCTAAGTCTTGCTCTGCTTCTTGCTTCAATTCTTGCTCTGCCTCAAGCTGCACATCTTGAACTCGCGATCTTCTTGTCCCCTCGGTACTTGAAATAGTCTGCCGATGATTCTCCATTGACATTTCTTTCAGAAGTATCATGGAGCTGAGAATTTCTTGTTGGATCACCGACACCAATCGCGCTGTTTCTTTCATCGCATCATCTTTCAATCTCGAATGTGCCATCAACATTTGGTTCATTTTTCGAACCATTTGTTGACAGTTCAGATGTTCACATCCATTCGAGATTTCTTCTCCCGTTCCATATTCGATCTTGTGTTCCACTGAGAAAAGATTGGCCAAGAACCCAATCACATCATGTTGAAAAGTGTTGAGATGCTCATGGGTAAGGCGGATCTGTTCTGACATTACCGTTTCTTTCAGTTCTCGAAAACGAGAATCAAACTCTTCGAAAACCCTGACAAGATTGTCAACTTTGACTCTGTCTCCAACTGCTGCGTTGGTTTTCTCCTCCGAATCGGCATGGTCATATGGAGCCACTCCGTCTGATGAAATGCCCAAGTCTGAAAGTACTTCTTGTCATATCATCAAAGAAAGGTGGGTTCCATGTCATCAACATAGGATACACAACAGACAATAAAACTACTAGATTCATGCCTTTTGAATGGTAGACAAGACAATTTTGAGTAGATCAAATACTGATTTCTAGATAATCGACATCAATTCTCACCTTGATGACGTACCCTTGTTTCATTGGTCAAATTCTGAAGATTTCAAGATTCAGGACCCGCAGGCATTCAGAATAGAAACAAAAATACTGACTTGACAAACATCCTTGAAATCCTCTTGTAACGCTGCCTCTCGAAGTTGTTCCTAACGTCTCAATCAGCCGCAAGTCCGTCTTAAGCTTACACAGTCACCTGTAGAAGTCGAATCTCTGCCTTGCACTTGGCAAGTTCTTTCTCTAATGTTCTTACGACAAATGTCTTGGATTCATCTCCGTTTCTCACAGGCACCACCATGGCAAAAAGCTGCTCATTACTATCACGCTGATAACTGTACTTCTGCAGCTGATCGGCAGATGAGCTGCACGACATATTCTGCTCGTCGTGTTTCTGCGAAATCGACAAGACTGCCAGCTGCTTCTCAAGCTTTGCTATCTTTGCCATCGCTTCAGCATGCGACACCTTGAGATTGAGGATTCCCTCAAGAATCTCCAAAGTCGCAGGGTTCATCTCAGACAGGGTCTTTTCATCAACATCTCCTCCCATCATGTTGATGATGAACGCTGACTTGTCTTGCGCATGCACATCTGACTCCTCCTTCAATATTGCAGAGCATGACGAAACGATCCTCAAGATCACCTTGGGTACAGTCAGCATCGCGTCTGCATCGCAAGGTAAAGTTAGCACCCTCTTCTCTGCTACAGTGGAATCCAGTGCGACCGACAAGGAGTCCACTGCTTCCTTCCCGCGCCTCAAGGCTTCCATTCTCATCTTGTTCTCCATGACCTGAGGTGCCCACAGCATCAGGAAAAGGTATAGATGGAATGAGAGAGAAAGGGAGAGCCACAGAAACTGAAGGAATGCTCAGAGCAAATTCAACATGGCAACCAACGATATGCGTGCCACAGAAAGACGAGGAGAAAAAGTGAAGAGAGAATGAGGGGAAGACAGTGTCGGTGAAAGCGATGGCATCACTCACAAGTCTTCGGATTTCTGCCTTGAGAGCTGCCGATTCATGTTTCATCAACACTCGACTAGATGTTTGCTCATCGTGTGAGATGTCACCGTCTGCCATGTCAAGAGAGTGGTCTCGATCGGTCGAGTCTCGAAACCGAGCGCGTGCTCTGGGAGAGTTCTTGGCACGTGGTTTGTCAGGGACCTTGACCATCCCTCTCTCTTCAGAAGACAGACGCTCTTGTTGGTGGACTTGCTGATATCGCTTGCTCCGAATAAACCTTCTCTTCTTCGGGCTTCGATGCGAAACTTGATCTGGTTGTGTAGCTGTCACCCTTGGTCTGCCGCGAGGAGATTTGAACTTCTGCTATGACAAACATCAGCAGAGGGCTTGCTTCAAGAAGTAAGACCTCTTGCTTTCGCTCGGAGCTGCGCATGTAGACGGTCCTGCTGTAACTAGGTCGATCTCTGTATGATGGCAGATCTTTGAAAGAGGAATGATCTTGGTAGTTTACATGCCCCTCGTACGCTGACTCATCCTTATCGAGAAGCGGTTGATTTTGATCTAGACAATGATGATGATCTAGCAACTGATGCTGACCGTCTTGTTGGCCCTGATCCAGCCTATTAAGCTTGAGGCTGGGAAGCGTTGGGCGGAAAGCTTTCATTGAACTATGTGTAGTTGAACTACGAGGACTTTCAAAGTCATCATAATTTATAGTCTGCATTCGAGGGCCTATTGATTGATCACGCCATTTCAACAGAAATGCAACATGCGGATAACTTACGTGCTGTCATGGGTCGATTTAAACGTTGAGACATCGGCAGAAAGATACCCTTCTGTCTTCCCTCATGAACATGTTCATGGCTCTGTGGCACATGTCAGAGATCTAAACTCCGATACAGCACCCACGTCATCACCTCCAAGAGTCTCGGAGCAACTGGAGGCCCACTGGATGCTCGAGTTGTAACTGAATACATGTCTGAAGCACCGGCACCATTTGACGCATTTTCAATTGGATTCTTCACAAACCTGTTCAAAGAATTTGTTCGCCTCTCCCCTTTTGAGGCCAAGTTGACAATCATGACTGGTATTCCTGCTGTTCTTGTTCTCCTCTCTCTCCTCCTCCTCTCTCTTGCCCTCCTCTTGCTTCTTCTCGTCCTTCTCCGCTCTCTTCGCCCCTCATAGCTGCCGCAGGGGAAGCAGCGCCATTGCGGTTTGACGTCCGTTATGAAGCACTTGTTGATTCGGGCCAGCCCCGGTGTTTCATTCTCTAAAGACAGCAATTTTTCTCGGAAAATAAACAGACCCATTGAAAATTCTGCCTCGTGTTAAATTCCAATGATATCTTTGAGGCGGACTGTATAATCGTGGAAAAATGGTGAAAGCGACTATGAGCGGAGGAACTTGCTTCCTATGGGACTGGGTGAGATGGCGATGAGGGAGAAGAGGTAGAGAAAGAGGAGGAACATGAGAAGGGAGAAGAAGAAGGAGAAGAAGTAGGATGAATGGACAGGTTCTCATCTCTTGACATCTGAACAAGCTGTGTGCTGCTCATTAGGATCTCGCCCTTAGCTTGAGAACGAGACATCGGATAGCAGGAAGCTTTGTTGGGCGCAGAAGACATGGAAGCAGCGAGGTATTCTGTTGCACATTGCCTGCAATGTGTAACAACAATACAGGCTGCTGAGAGTGTCCTGCCCGTTGCACTCATGCCCGAGGTATGACGATGTGTCTTGGACTTGGTCCAATAACGAAATCTCAGGAGATCTGCCTTGCACTTGAGATGGGCTGGATTGATCGGAGAAATGTTGTCGGGAAAACTCTTTGTGCGCCATCTAAGTAAGGTAGCAGGTGAAATATGACCTGAGGTCAAGGAGCGATTCAGCGAGTCCCTCCAATGAGAAAGAGGATGCCACGAATGATGCAAAGATGACGACGATATCTATTCCTTTCCTCCCTCCTCAAGATTCCTATAGCATCGAGCTCCATGCAGGTACTTCTATGAGATTGCAAAGATCTGCTCAAACCCTTGTTCGAAGGTTTCTTAGACGATTTTCTGAGAGACGTCAATAACCAACGGAGGTGTGAATTCAGCAGATGATTGCCTCGATTTTGATTTCTTTCATCGTTATCTAGATATCGAATCTTCAAAGATCTGTGGGAGAAAGGGTCAATCTCCTCATGTCGACGCTGTGATCTGATGGGGCTCAAGGTACTGGATCAGCTCCGGCTCAAAGTTCGGGGCAGACTTTCTCCTATATCCGGAATGCTGTGATGTTATGAGATTGCGATGTTACGTGAATGTGTACGATAGGCCGATATAATGGACTGTCATGCCTCCCACTTGGTGTTTGTCGTAGACACAGTCGAATTCCAATTAAGGGTGATTGATGCGAATCGATATGCAACTTGTCATGGATTGTCAGGTTCAAGATGTTGTGGGGATGAGTCGAGTTGCAGCATCTGCAAACAAGAGGTGAAGTAGAACAGCTAAGACTGACATGCGCTCTTATCTCTTGACCAGGGTGGCCATTGCTTGCGTCAACCACGATGAGCAACCGGTCCTCTCTTCTGTTTACGCTTTGACGATTTTGATTGGTTTTTGTTTTTGCATGTCGTGTCGGTGAACAGATCTACCATGTCTTGTCGTACTTACCCCACCTCTCTACAGCTCGTGGAATGTGAATGATCTCTTTACAGTCTAGTCTACAAACTTGAATCTGCCAAACTCCAAGGAATCGGCAAGAATCAACAAGGCTAAGGTTTACACCTTGAAAAGATTTCCTTTCGGTAGATGCTGTGAACGACCTTTGAATCATGCTGGAGTCGTTCGGAGACATCTGGTCTCTATCTCGTCTAGCTCGATCCTTTGAGCTCTTCCTCCATCCATCCACATTGCATGCGTTGCGACCCTGAGGATGAACGAGATATCGTGGGATACGAAGATAAGGGCGCCCGGGTAATCTTCCAAGCTGTCTTCAAGAGCCACGAGAGCGTCGAGGTCGAGATGGCTGTTGGGCTCGTCCAAGAGGATCACGCTAGGAGCATCCAGGGAGAGCTCAGCAAACGCGTAGGCAACGCGTTGTCCTCCCGAGAGGTTCTTTAGTGCAGTCCTCTCAGCTGTTTGCGGCGCCCCCAACCCAAACGAGCCGATGTGCTTCCAGAGGTCATGTCGCTTTACGGTTGGATGCTTTGAGCAGAGTCGGTCGAGAGCTGGCAGGTCTTCTCGTCCAAGTTCTGCCACCACATCTTGCTTGAAATATCCAAAACTTGGTACACGAATCTGAACGCTTCCAGAACAAGGATTCAGCTCACCGGCTAGTAAGTTCATCAGGGTCGTCTTCCCCTGCCCGTTGGCTCCAAGGATAGCAAGACGTTGACCTGCCTCCACGTTGAGACTGACGTCTGTCAGCTGGAAAGGAGTCGTGCTGGAAGCTGACGGGCCTGGGGCCTCGTCACTTGTCGTAGAAGCAGGTGCTCTAGTGAACGAAAGGTTCTGAGCGACGATGAGCGGGCCAGAGAAGCGAGGAAGAGTTGGCTCGGGTGTGGAAAACCTCAGAGCGCTTTGAGAATGCTCCTGTTCAACGTGCTCCACATCCGCCAGCATCGTAGTAAAGTATCCAATGCGATCTCGATTCAGCTTGAAGCGATGACCCTTTGCGTTCCTCTCATACCCAATACGATCTTCTGCTTTCTGCCGTCTTGACGCGACTTGTTTTAGCTTCTTGTCATCCTTGTGCTTCAACGCCTGAGCCTTGCTGGCCTGCAAGCTTTCTTCCATACGAGCTTTCTTGCGATCTATAGCTGACTGCATCCGCTCTGCAAAAGCAGCCTTGTCTTCTATGGTCTGAAGGAACGTGTCGTAATTGCCTTTGTAATATTCGAGCTGCTTGTTCTTGAACCAAATGATTTCTTCTGCTACACTGTTGAGGAACGATCGAACATGTGACACCATCACAACAGTCATGTCGTTGAACTCCTCCTTTATGATCCGTTGCAACCAACTTATGCCGGCGATGCACAGGTGGTTCGTGGGCTCATCCATCAGGAGGACGTCAGGCCTCCACAGAAGTGCTTTAGCTAACAGTACACGCATGCGCCATCCTCCCGAGAGACTGTCGTAGCAGCGACTGAGATCATCTTTCTTCAACGACATGGAAGCTGCCACTTGCACGATCGTGGACATATCCGGTTCATGCAAGTCCAAGTCCAAGTCATCAACATGATATGATACATCTTGAACCTCTCCATCAGACCCTGCAGACGTGTTCTCTTCACTCCTCTCAAGTGCCAGGTAACTCTCTCTTGCAACCTTGCCTCTCGCGCGCGTCTGCTGCTCTGCCAGAATCGCCCATTCCTCCTTCTCGCTGAAATTTGCGCGGAGATACTCAGGACGCTTACGGAGCACATCCAGAATTGAAAGGCCTTCTTCACTTTGCCCAGCGCCTTCAGCTCCGCAGTTCCGAGCATCGAACTCCATCGTCTGTCTGATGATCATGAACTTGAGTCGTTTCCTTATGTGCAGCGGGAGCAACCTGCCGTTTGCAAGGCAGTCGAACAGAATGCTCTTGCCGACTCCGTTGCGGCCCAGCAGGCCATAATGAACTCCAGGCTTCAAGAGCACGTGAGCTCCGACCAGCAGCTCTCTGCCCTCCACGGCAATGTTTACATCCTTCAAGTCGATAGACAAACTCTCGTCGATGGCGAACCTGGATGCTTGCGCTGACGCTTCGATGGAGAGGTCCCAACTTTTAGGAAGACGATGCTTGTACTCGCCCATATCCTCGTGCTGCTTCACAGCGTATGCTCTCTTCTCACCTTCCTTTCTCCTCGTCCCCTCCCATTCCGCCTGCTCGCGGCATTTCTATTTGAGATGCGCCTCTTCATCTGCCGGCCCGCCTCGCTGACTGGTCTGCGACCCCAGCGCCAGGATGGCAGGTGCTATCCTCGCTGCTGCCTCGTTAGCGCTGCCTGACAGCAGCAGCGACTCTCGGATCGCATGCACCCCTTCCTGCCACCACCCGTCACTGCGAGCGAGCCACCGATGACGATGAGCTCACTTCGCTTCTGTTCAACGCTTGCAGGGCAATTCCTGGACAAGACTGTTTAGGATAGGTAAAGTTCGAGCTCTTCCCGCACCTTGAACGAGGCGAACAACTCCTGATTGTGGGAGGAGTTGTGAAGATTGTTCAGCTTGAAAGCTTTCAAGGTTTGGTCTGACGAAATTCAATGTGCGTACCGTTGGTGCATGCTGCAAGAAGCTTGTCCTTGCTCCCTGCCGTCCACCACTGTCTTGATAGTCAGATGCAGACACGACGGTATCGTGAAAGCACATGGACTACTCCTTGTCGACACTGAATCAGGCTCAACCGGAAGTGTAAGGCACCTTTGATGTGCTCTCCACTCTTGACGAAGTCAAAGCCCTGGGATTGTCTCAGTTATCGTCGCGACCCATCAGGTCACCTTGAACACAAGGTTACATCTTGTCAATGCCATGGAGTAAATCTCAACAGCCTGACGTCAATTCAGCTGGCATAAGCAGAATCAAACGCGAGTACCTCTTCAAACCTGCGCATCTTAGCCGCATGATCGCCTCGCCCCACGTGCTCCTCCAGCCATGGAAGCATCTCCTGTACGACGCTTTCTTCATAACTTCGCTGCACTTTCACCCTCGCTTCTTCAACCCGCTCAGCTCCATGCTCCGGTGAGATCTGTTGTAGGGATGAGAGAGCGCCCCAGCCTCCTACATGCACCTCTTGAAAGGCACTCGATGCTTGCTCCACGCATCGCTTCGCTAACTCAAAATCCTTCTCTTGGACTGCCTGTGCTGCATCCTCCTTAGAACTTCTCACTCAACACACTTTCACACACACCAGCTCTGTCCAAGTACTCATCTCCCAGTTCCAACAAAGAGTTGATGTACGCAAAGTCCGACCGAACAATCATCTCCCTAGCACGAGAAGTGAGCACAGGAGTCTTCATTCAGCCTCTTACCTGCAGACAAGGTCGTACTCTCTTGCTGTGCTCTTCACAAACAGATCCTTAGCTTCTTTGCTCCTCCTCTTGGAGTAAGCGTAATCAGCATCCGAAAACCTCCCCTCAGCCTCTGTCAGTGCAGAAAGAGCCTTGAGGTATGAGTTTAAGCTGTGTTGCATCTCAGCACATCTTTTGATCATTCCTTTCAGCTTTGCGTTTGCGCTCTGTGACCACACATCTCGCAGAAATTTCTTGTAGTGACTGACAAATTGATCACGACTTGTGATCTCTTGTGAGACCAAATCTTGCAACATCGGCTCATCAAAGTCCTTGGGAAAACTCATGAACAAAACAAAATGTAGAATGTCATCGTTGTTTTTCATGAGAACTTCAAAGAATTCCTTTGGGACAAAAGATGCCAAGACTTCTGCGAGGTCTCCAAACGGAGCAATCGTTTCTTTTGGCATCACGCAAACAGCAACCAGTCTCAGGACATCTGAGTTTGTATGTGCAGGTTCGCAGCTCGTCTTGAGGTCTTGCCTCGCGGTCTTGAGGGTTCGTTCTAGCTCTGCGACAGCAACATGTGCTTCTTGTCTTGTAAATTGAGAGCTGCGCAAGAACTCAACACGTTCAAACATGATCCTGCTTTGCTCGATCTTGTCCACGAAAGCGAACAGATGACTCGTTTTCATTCTCCGTGTGGAGATAGAAGTTTTTCTTGCATCAACGAAGAATTGAACTTTAGAGTATCCGACCTGTTCTGCTATTCTAATCTGCAAGCTTTCACTTGAGGTGCTAAGCCTATTCTCCGTCATGCGCACAGCCTTGTCAGCTAGTTCAAACTCATTCTCGTCCAAAATATTTTCATAAAAAGCATTCAGAACATCGAAATGTCGTTTGAAACTCAGTGAGATTTGATCCTGTAGACTTACAATCTTACAAATTGTTTCCAGATCTTCGAAAGCAGAAGCAAACTCTGAAATTGATATTGCATGTCGACCTCCTTTTGAGTGTCTTTGCAAGAAGTTCATCAATTCTTCTTTTCCCGGCAAGACATTGAACACAATCTTACACACATTTTCAAGCTCGCTTAGAGTCACTTTTACTTGTTCTCCTCCGATGTGCGCTTGATCGAGGCAGCTTTGACATCTCCTCTTGGTTTCTTCATCGGGCTCAATACCATTGTACACTGACAGCTGTCTTTGAACTTTGGTCCAAGTCTGCTCCATGCTGGCATGAAGCTCCCACGCCCTCTGGAGTACTAGGAATGATTGGTCAAACGATTCCAAGATTTCCATTGAAATCGATTCTATTCTCTGATTGCACCCACTCATCTTGGCGTGCAGAGACTTCTCTGCTTGATCTAGCTCTGCATCGCTCTCTTCTACCGCGGGAGGCTCTAACTTCGTTTTACGCAGCCGCTTAGTAAAGCAGAAAGACAAGAGCAGATTCAAGCCTTTTTGCACATGTAATCGCTTCACCTTGACAGCAAACTACGAGTCAAGAACAAAGGTCTCACGTAGCATGGGATACCTCCTCAAGCGCTTCTTTATGCTTGTCGATCTCTGCACAAGCTTTCTCGTGCAGTTTCCATGTTTCTGCTCTGCTCTCTTCTCTCGTCATGAGACTTCGAAGAATCTTGCGGATGGCCGGGCCATGCGCGTACGTCAGGCTCCTGTTGCCCATGGCGTCGCGCGCGTTCACGTCTGCTCGTCTCGTCAGCAAGTACTCGACTACCGTGTCGTCTCCGCTCGTTGCGGCGTAGAAGAGAGACGTCCATCCCTCCCGGTTGCCTCGCGCCTGGCACTGAGCGTCGATGTCGAACGGCCTGCCGTGCTGCTGGCGAAGCCAATCGCAACCCTCCCCCTCCAAGAGCCCTCGAACAGCATCGAGATCTCCGTTCTGACAAGCGATGTGCTGCAGCAGTTTCAGTGCTGGGCAAGCAGCATGCATCCTTCCTCCCTCTCACCACAGGGTCTTTCTCACTCATGTAAGCTCTCCACGCTTGCTCGCCTTCAAGCTCCATCGCGTTCGCCTCTCCCATTCCCTTCCCTTGCCCGGAACAAGGAGGTCCGGCCGGACTCACCGAATTCACTGGGGTAGGTTTTACTCTTTGTAGGGCGAGGAGAAGAGGGAGGGGAGTAGCAACAGATGAAGCATCCTGTGTGCAAGACCTACGAAGAAGCCATGGAGGTGGTGAGATCAACCGAGCATGAAGTGCTTGAGATGCACTCGCACTGTCTGTTTACTCTCAACAACATGACGTCTCTGTGCAATCGGCTGAAAACCAACAGGAACCTTGTCATCCTTATCCTTGGAGGTCTCGGACTGGGAAGCTCAGCAGGAAAGGAACTCGGAGTAGCGCTGCGGACGCATCCTGTACTGCAAGAGCTGCACCTGCACAACAACAAGCTCGGCTACGAGGGGGTTCAACTCTTGTCCGAAGCGCTCATCAGCAGCAAGGAGGTGAACGAGGCTCCCAACAGGCTGCTCAAGGTGCTTGTCCTCCGCAACAACGACATAGGAAGGCACTGCAGCAGCATGTGCAATCTCTGTCGCTTCGCTCCTGATTTCCCTTGCGCGCTCCTGCAAGTGACATGTCTGCAAGTGATCGACCTCAACGCCAACAGGATAGAAGTTCTCCCCCTCCAGCTGTCCCTCATGCCTAACGTGAGATGCTCCTGCCCCTTCAACTGCTCCTTCTTTCTCTAACTCTCAGCTCTCAGCTCCTTGCTCTCGATGTCCGAGGAAATCCTATCGCCAACGTTCCCATGGATGTGATGTTAACAGCAAGGAAAGGTGTGCACCCTCTCCTCCTGTTCCGATGGCATGGCGAGTCAACATGACAAGGTGACAAGTGCTGGCAGGGCATCAGGCGGGTTGGCCGAGCTTGAAAGAGTGGATGAAGGAGGAGCTGCAGAAAGAAGCCTCGTCCTCTTCACCAGCAGGGTCGATCTTGAGCATGGACTACTAGAAGGCACTAACAGAGAAGTTTTGCCTCACAACTCCGAACAAGTATTTTATGGGGTACAGAAAGATGACAGAAGGTTTACAGAGCTGAAGAAGTCAAAACCGATGGATGGAGAGCACGGACGTATACGAGGACGAGTCATGAAGCAGGGATACAAGAGATACGAAGCGACGAGAGTGTAAGGGTGCGAATCTTTCCACCCTTATTTCACACTTCTTACACTGACCTCGCCTGAAGCACATTCCTCCTCTACCTCGCACCATGGCTCCCCTCCCTCCTCCTCGCTCTACCATCAAGATCGCACACGTGTCAGATTGGCTTCCCTCCTCACAGCTTCCGATCCTGTGCTCGTCGACTAGGCCAGGACCCAAGAACGGAGAAGCTCTGCTTCAAAGTGTGATGGCCGCGAGACGAAAAGCGACAAGGATCGGAGAGATGCCAGGAGATCAGAAGACGTCAGGATGAGCTTTCTCGATCGAACACAATTGAAGCGGAATGTGTGTAAATATTTTTCTTGTGTAAAGTACAGGGATGCAATAAACGAGTCTAGCATTTAGTGAAAGATAGGATATCCGCACGTATCGAGTCTTGGGTGAGCCTCCCAAGCTTGTACGAAATTTCTTTATGTTTACCATCTCGGACGACATCGAGACGGAGGACAGATCAGCAGATTAGATGCTCCAAGGCATTGAGATCAGCGCGCACAGCAGCATGGCTCATGACGTGCAAACATCTTTCGATCAAGCAAGGTACATCAATGAGTGTTGTCAGGCCGCTGTGACGTCACGGGTTCATGGGAACTTGATGATCGAAGAGTGTGCTGAACCTGCAGGAAGCAAGTCGCTCTCGGGTGAACTTGGAAGCTGCGTTTGCTTCGCCGTCACGGGCTGAACTCGTGCGGTGAAGGAGGGAGAGGAAGTGATAGAGGAGGAGGAAGAGGGAAACTGAAAATGACAATCAGCCGCTAGCTAGTCAAATCCGTCTTGACCGCCCCCTTGAACTTGGAAGGAAAGTTTCAAAGTTTGAATCGAACAACTTCAGCAACAAACTTTTGAGCAAACCTGTGACTCGAAGTTTCTTCGGTTGAAATGAGCCGTTGCTTTGAAAGTCATGGATTGTGGCCTAAATTTGTATTTAAAAATTGAATTTCAAAAGTAGAAAAACTTTTCCTGGAAAATTTGTACACAATCCCCCGAATAGTTGCCAAAAGTACCAAATCATCGCTGACCGGAACCGCGACCGGTAAATTCGTTCCAACGGCCAAAATCTGGCGTTGACAAGAGTGAAGTGAAGAAGCGACGAGCAACGAGCAAGGAGATCAGGCACGTGGGTCAGAAGATCAAGCTCAAGTTAGACCATCAGCAGCGATTCATGTCTCGTACAGAAGTTCAGATCCCTAAGCTCCCGGGGTTTGGATTCTCCCATGTAAGTGCTCGTTGATCCTTGTCCTCACTTCCACTAATAATTTGCTGCAGCATGTTGGCAAAAGCGACTTCCGCAAGGCATCTCGTTTCGGATACAAGGATGGTCAGTGCATTTACACTCCGCGCGAGGAGCAAGAGCAAGCCAAGTTACTTGGCGATCGACCACTGACCAACACCCGACACCCTTTCGAAATGTCCTCGTCTGAGTGGATGGCTAGCAAGAATCCTTTGCAATCAGAAAGTTCCTTCACCCCCAGATATGCTCTTCTCGACAAGAAGGTGCTGCGCTACTATGGTGTTTATGTGGATACCGTTGATCCCTCTGTCATCGGAAGTGCTCCGCTTGATGCCCAGGTGAGAGACAACAACTTTGTGCATGAGTGCACCATTCTCTACTACCTCGAAGATGGCACCATGCAAGTCGGCGAGAAGAGGCAAGACAACAGCGGTATGATGCAGGGTCAAGTGGTGAAAAGAACGCACGTTCCCAAGCCCATTTACAATGAGGAAGGATGGATTCTTCCGAATCCCAATGAGGCTCCTAACGGCACAGCGAGCTTGCTCAACGATTCATCTTCAAGCCTGTCCTCGTTCTACACTCCTGATGACTTTGAGATTGGAGGAGAAATCAACATCTTTGGGAGGTTGTTCTACATCTTCGATTGTGATCAGTTCACCAGAGATTATCACGATCAAGTCTTGGGCCGCCCCATCGAACCGGCCGTAATCCATACAGCAAGGCAGAATGCCCCCAAGGACAAGTACATAGCGCATGTTACTAGGCAGAAGACGGCAAAGATGGAGCTCGCTCACCGTCATACAGCCTTTGCAGCCAGTGGAATCATCAAGGAGGAGGATCATGGGGCTTATCTCAAGTTCTTGCAGTGGGATACCAAGGTGCTCAGATTTTATTGCGTGTGGGATGACAGACAGACCATGTACGGCGACCAAAGGAAGTTTGTGATTCGTTACTACTTAGCGAACGACACGATGGACATGGTGGAAGACAAAGTCGCCAACAGCGGGAGGGTGACGGGCAACTTCCTCAAGCGAGGCCGAGTGCCCAAGAAAACGCCAGCAAGCATTGTGGGGACGGGAGATGTCCACACGGGCGACTACTATACACCAGCTGACCTGATGGTGGGAGATACCATCACCATCTACAACAGGTCTGCAGCAGGAGGTGGTGCTGCTCTAGTGCTGATTGTGATACGTAATTTGCAGGATCTTCTTCATCTATGGCTGTGATGAGTTCACAAGGAGATATTACGCACAAAACTTTGGGATTTCAGACATGCCCGAGTATGACGTCGAGCACGAGCAGCAGCCTCAGGCCATCGTTAGAGCGCCAGTTCCTCCATACACAGGTCCTCTCGTCCTGATGCTTCTTGTTGTCTCATGAAGTAGCTTGTAGGGTTTGGAACGCAGGAAGACTCTTTCGGCTCTGTTCTCTACCTGGTACCAAAACCGCCGCACAAGTCGTTCCAGAAGATGTTGGATGTAACATCGCTGTCATGTGAAACGAGCTGAGCTAATCAAGCATGTCAGAATGAGAAGAAGCGATTGAGGTTTCGAGCGAGGTTGGCAAAGCCCAAGGACTCGCTGGACGAGCAGAGGAGGTTTATCATCACCTACTTCATGGTGCAGACTCGTGCATGACTGGAGGGAGTCTGATAATCGATTCCAGGGGGATGATTCCATCTCTGTCTATGAGGAGACGATCAACAACAGCGGGAGGGTAGGAGGTAAGAAAGACCTCTCCTGTTCTCTCGTCTTCTGCAACCAACTCATCTACATCCACTACAGGCAAGTTCCTTGAGAGAAGCAAGATAGCCAAGCCTGATCCCGAGCTCGGCTCATCCAACCTGGAATACTACGAGATTCAGGTTCCTGTCACGGCAGAGCTTGTATGATTTCTTTGTCTCAACTCGTCGGCAGGACATGATTATCGACACCGTCGTGACCTTTAACTGCCATGAGTTCTACCTGATGGAGATTGACGAGTACAGCCGCAAGATCTTGTTGAAAATGTTTCCGGGGCGAGAGGACTTGGTGAAGAAGTAGATCATGGCTTAACAAGACTGACTCACGATGAATGAAATGTGCACTCCGAATCCCTGAAACTTGGATTGCCCAATCATGATAACTGAAGGTTCCAAGTTTTTTCCAAGAGTATGCCACTCATGACGTTTTTCACCGTGTCACTGAGCCCCGGGCCGCACCGGCCGGCCCGGTCGGACTGAAGAGTCTTTAAGAAGCCGCAACTAAGGCTCATGCCGAAAAAGGCAAACCTTTAAAATATTTTTTGATTAAAATGATTTTAGATATCTCCCTGGATCGAGCAAAGATGCTCGCGCTGCTTGAGGGACTGACTCTTGCGACCCCCCCGCTCCTGCCGCCATGTCGCCTCTCCCTCCTCCTGGCTTCACCATCAAGATCGCTCATGTCTCCACCTGGTCTCTTCCTTCGTCTACTCCCAGCTCAAATTCGTGGACCAGGCCTGAGTCGAGAAACGACGTTCTGCTTCAGAATGTGATGATAGCTAGGAGGATGACAATGTCAAGCCTGGAAGGAATCAGCGTAGACGGTGTAAATCAGATCGAGGTAATATGATGATCATGATGATGATGAACCAGGTGGGGTGTAAATTGCTAAAGAAAGTACTTCTTGTCCAGACCATGTGTATATAAATAGAGTTCTCCTGAGAACGATGTGTGATGTGCGCGACCAAAGAAGAAAATCATTTGCTTGACAACGCGACAATAATGATCAGATGCGGCAATGCATGATCAAACGATGTCGTCGGCGGCGGAAGCAGCAGCAGCCATCCCATCCCAATCATCTCCTGAAAGGCGAGCATCCTGCTGTGGCGAAGAAAATCAAGGTTTTCCTCCAACAAGATCAAGCTCCTAGCACGAGCTCCAGGTCCGTCGTCGTCATAAATGTAATTAACATTACCACCATCACCACCATCACCATCATCACCACCATCGTCTTCAACACCCCCTCTTAGCCACCACCATCAATGACAACTACAGCAGACGCAGAAGCAGCAACAAGATCAAGCAAGCAACGTGAACAAAAACAACAATGACGGAAGAAGGGAGGAGGCACGAACGACGAGATGATGATGAGATAGATAAAAAATAGGAAGTGCTGTGATAGTTGCCAGCTTTTGCTGTTCTTGTATCATCATTGAATATAGATGACGATTCATCATTGTAACATTGATCACAGCTGAACAAAGATCGTGCAACTGATAAAACTCCCGACAGAGAAAGACATTCTGTACCATTCATGGAATTTGTCACTGTCTCCATTCTCATCTCGGTTCACGATCAAGGGCGAGCGATCTGAATGTCGGAACGAGGAGGAGGCGACCGCGACAAGGCGGGGGTGGTCACAAGAAAAAAAAAAGAACAAAAGCTGAAAGAAAGAATATCCTTCGTTTGCAAGCGCTGCAGTTTTCGAGCGTTTGGTATCTCAGGAGTCATTGTTCTCGCGGAAGCTCATGAGTCAGATGTTTAACCCTTGCAACAAGTCGGGGCTCGGGGTGCGCATCTTTTACAAGTGCTTTATTGTTGTCCTTGTGTGTGCCCTTGGCTGCTCGCCGGCCGCCATGTCGCCTCTCCCTCCTCCTCGCCTCACCATCAAGATCGCTCATGTCTCCGAATGGTCGCCTGCTTCATCACTCACGACCAAGTCTGCATTCCACAACGGGGGAGCTCTGCTTTGGAACGTCATGGAGGCGACGAACAAGATGCAACAGAAATGTAGAATTGCAGCACAAGAGAGAAAGACAACGGCGCGATGAAGAACGACAGGACAGGGCTTACATGAGGTAGAAGAGGTGTGAGTTAAGCTCGGTGTACAGTAGAACAATCATAATAACAATACATAGTCGACATGCTACATCTGAGGTGCATCTATTTGCCTGGTCCACGGATCCAACTAGCTCTGATTGCTGCTAGAAGGAGTCCTGCTGGGCACGATCATCTTAGATCCCAGCAGCGGAGTCAAGAGCTACGATCCGATCAGTCCCCATGACATGTTTGTGCGAGGCTTGTTACCTGTACGACGCTGTTCACAGCATCATAGAACACCTCGCGCGGTTGGATGGAGTCCGACGAAGTGTCATATACCAGCTGCTCCATGGTAACAAAGTCTGGGTCGTCCTCTGTAAATCGTGTCAGCCCCAAGACTCCCTCGCGACTTCCTTTCACTGCTTCAACCCCTAAATTGATCAAGTGTAGCTTCGACTGAACTTAACCCCCTTCTACCATCATTCCCTCTCTTGTCATAGAATCTTCAGCATCCTGGCTATACTTACCCGAAGGCAGCTTGGCGACTGCTGGCACGACGGGCAACCAGGCGGTGAAGACCGACGAGCTCTCATAGTCTCTCGTCTCGTCCATGTAGATCCAAACGAGCTTCTTGCCCAGCTCAAGGGCGACTAGAACCTCCGCTCGTAGATGAGGAGATGCTTCAACTTGCGCAGAGATGAGGCACAAGACAGCCTTTGCTCGGCAAACTCCTCGCGCAAGGTTGCAGGCCCCATCTTGAAACGTGGTGATGACCCGCAAGCCTCTTGTGTGCACACATGTCAAGAAGAGCGATACTGCCGCTGATAGTCTGTCACCTGCTCTCTAGCTCCACTCTCAGGAAGCTAGCGATCTTGTCGTGCGGACTTTGAACCGAGATCATTACGTCCTGTCAGCACTCAACACGGGAATGAAGAGCCAGTAACAAGTCACGATTCGATTCTCTTCTAATGAATCCATCGGATTGAGATCCTTCAAACACGAAATTCAGCCATCTTGCAACAGAAATGACTCACCAACATATTGTGGAGGAAACCCAAGAGCCCACAAAGCTGCTTCTGCTGCACAGCGAGCGACGTTGCTGCTGCTGTTTTTGAATACCTGAAAGTACTCTATGGTCAAACATTCACCATCAACCAAACGTCTCATCCAAGAGAGTTGTCAAGAACAAGCAGGCATCGTCAAGTTCGAGTGTGTGCCTACATTTGTGAGAATCGAGAGAATTTCGGATGTCTCTTCGATCACTCTGGCCTGAATCTTCTTGTTCTGTGCAAATCGAAGCAGCGATGTGCAACTAATCTCTTCTGCAACCGGATTCCTGTGCCGGCCGTCAAAGATAATGAGTAGCTCAAAATCACAAAATGTCTGATCATGTGCAAGCTCCACTCTGCATAGGTATATTCATGCATACAGCGAGATCAACTCACACAACTTTCTGCTTGAGGACCTGAGACATTGGTTACAATACTTCTGGTAGTTTAAAGAATCTCGGTGACCTTGACAAACAACGATGGGCAACCAAGTTCCAGTAGTTGCGCGTGCTGATCTTCATGTATGCAAAAGTTGCTGACAGACATACAAACTTTCCATATCGTCCCATATCTCCCTCCGAACATCTAAATCGCCGAAACTCAACATAAGGAGCAAGCGGCACGAGATGATTGGTGAGAAAGAAGCAAGAGAGGTAGCACCTTACGGTTGAGAACCGCTTTCAGGGCTGAAATGCATTTCACAACTATCTGATGCTCGTCATTCAGAATCTGAATCAAGTTCCTTCAGTTCTTCGCTCAAGGATCGATGAGTATCAGTAAAGCATATACCGGAAATTCTTGAATCGGCAAGCCCCCGGCTATGTTTGCAACTGCAAGGACTGCACTCATGCTGTTGAGCTCGATCTTGTCTTTGAGGACGATCGGACTGAGAGTCTCGACAACTCCATCCTGAAACAAAAGAGGCCTGCTGGCTGGCCTGTAGCTCAAGCTGCAAACAAAACCCACGGCTGCACTGACGACAAAATGTGGAGTATCTTCGTGTGATATCAAGTGTTTTGCTTTATCAAGGATGTTGTCCTTTAAGATGATGTCATGAACATCCCATGAGCTGTTTGCTGTGTTGTTGAGGACATGGAAAATGCATTCACGAACTCTCCATGATATTCTTTTCTCGCTCAGCAACCCAGCAAGAATGCTTGGCAGAGATTTCCTCGAGTTGAGAATGGTCAAGTTTTCCTTCATCACCTGCACTCTTGCTTTGAGCTCGTTGCTTTTGGTCGCGTCAGCTGAGATAGCTTCTTCTTTCAACTGGTTGATGACGGTTTCTTCATCTTTTGCCATACTGCGAGCTTCTGACTTCCAGTTCCCAATGATGGTTTCAGCAACACGTGAATTATCATAACTCAACTGCACAAGAGTTCTGAGACATCGCCAAACAAGAACTTCAGGTGTGTCTGATGCTGAGATCAGATCAACGAGAACTCCAGAAACATGCGGAAACTTTCCATATTCGCATACCAACGCCTGCCTCCGATTCTCAACGCTCTTGTTTTCATGTTCAGATAATCTCCAGCATTGAATGGCTGCTTCACATTTCGATTCAAGAGGAGCTCGTTTGCTCGTCAATGTTTCAAAACTATCCTCCAGGAACGAAAAAAATTCCGCATTCTCGACCTCAGACTCGAAGACAGCTTTAGAGACTACTGACATGACAAGTGTGACTTTTGTTGTCTCTTTGCAAAGATCTGCTCATTCCTTTCCAACTGCCATGACGGATCGTGAGAAGATTTGATCTAAGAAGCAACATCACAACACGGCATCAATCCCCTCCATTTCCTCTTCGCATGCAAAACTCAATCTTCTAAGAGATTTTTGACGTACATCTCGCTCGTCACAACTCCACTATCTTCCATCTTCTGCATCTTGTCGACCCTGTTCATCTCTGTCTCCTCTTTCTCCCTTCCTCCCTGCCTGTGATCCTCCTACTCTACGAATTTCGGATCCCCGACATGGTAACAAACTGACCGTTACATTGAATCGTTATTTGTAACCTTCAGTCTGTAACGATTGCCGAACCAGTGGCCTTTCGCTGCTATGCAGGTCAGTGCAGAGTGTATGGGAATGACGAGACAACAGGAATGCGGTCATCGTTGCTGATATCATTCGCATCATGAGAAAAATCGCTGCCGATGTCATTTTCAACCATCCGTGCAATCATTTTCATTTCCACCATCTCGTTGCCCGTTGCGTCAAGTGTGCAGTCCGTTGCTCTCTTTGTCGTCAGATTCCGAATTGTAGACGCTGCCTCCATGCTTTCCCAGACACTGTTTGATATTTTCTAGAACTTCATTTAGTGTCATGGTTGTGGGATGTCGTACGACGAAAGTCCATGTTGTCTTGTGTTTGTTCAGTGGGGAGGTACACATTCTTTCGTCAGCCAACACAATTCTTGTAGTATTGATAGCTTTACTCGCAGAAGGCACACAAGCAACTTGCCCTAGTGGTTGGGCTGATCTTTCTTGGCTTGTGTGGTGTGATTACCCTTCTGTCAGTGAACCATCAGGTAAGGGTGAATTGTTGGATGGAAGTGCACTGATAAAGTACACCAGCAACCTTCCTCTCTCCTGAATGTCGTCTCAAGAATCCACAGAAGATGGGGACCGCGTATCACTCAGCTTGCAGCAAGTGCAGACCCTGCAGCAGCGTCTCCCACGGAAGATTTGAATCATTACCTGCGAGCCAGCGCCGATAGCATTGCCTATTCCTGTGGAGGAAAGGAAGTTGCAGAAGTCTGCTTGTTATCCACAGAAACCTGTGTTGCGTCGATGCAGAAGAAGATACAATACACGACTGAACAAGCTATCAGCAGGCGAGTCCATACGATTCATGTGCATCTTCACAAGGGGTTCTTGCCTTACTGTATGCTTGACAGAGATCTGGGGACGTGCAGCTGCTTTCAACAGAATGGATGCTCGGCAGGCTGTAATGCAGCCATGCAGAGCATGTTCGGGGGATACATCTCCGTTGCCGGTAGGGTTTAGTCCTCACCAGTTAAAAACTCTCTGTGTAGCGTTGACCGATGTGCTCTTCTGGCAGATTGCCCACTCGACACCTCGTCCTACATGTTTACAGGTGAGGACAATGGATGATTTCTTGCAAGTAATCTTGGCCATGGCACAGGATCAAACCCTTACGACATGTACGGAGAAGATATGTTTGGAAGCTACAGATATCCCGTGAGTCGCTGCCATCGTCTGGCATCCTGTCTGAACGAGCTTTCAGGGAGTTGTGTACAGCTCGGCTGGGGCCTTCTACAAGGCGAACCCTTCTAATCAGATGCTAGCTCAGGTACGATCTTTCGTGTGGCATGCTCGTGGAAGTGATATCGATGCAGGTTGAATCCAACGAGCCGATCTATCTCGTTCCTCGCGCTCGCAAACTTGCAATGGGGCGCAAGATTTGATGCGTGAACAATCTATTCTTGTAGAACTAAACGACCACGTTAGGGTTGGTGTTGGATAAAGAGAATCCTCGTCCTTCCCTCTTTTCTTGCTGACTCTCTCAGTGCGTCCATTGACTTTTAGGCTCCAACATGAGCCACACAAGTGGTAACAAGTTGCCCGTTGCGGATACGAGTCTCGTACTGTAAATCAATCAGTCCATCTGTCGTCCGAGGAATGAAACGTCAAACCTGCTCTGGGATTGGCAGCTCAGTTGGATCCTCCGCGTCGCTCTAGAGGAGAGTCAGCTGGAGGTGAGATGCAGAGAATACCTGAACCTTAGCTGGAAGGACGATGTTCAACTCAGAGCACTTGGAGGTTACAATCGCCACATCTTCGTCGACGCATCTCTGCGAGAGATACACGATGACGCCAGCGCAGCCGTCGATGGTGATCATCGGGGTCCAGTCAAGGATCTGCCAGGAGCACTGAGCAACGGGCCTGCACTCTTGCAGGAGAAACCTGAATCTCACACGACTTGCAGTTGATCACGTCTACTGAAGCCACGCACGAATCGACTACCATCGAAGTCTTCGTGCAGCCGTCCATCTGAACCGTGTTGATTTTGCCAGGGATCTAATTCCAGTCAGATCCCGCATGCCATACCAGACTTGCATTGAACCTGGAGCAGCGATCCTTTGCATTGCGCCATACAGACAGAGGTCTTGGTGCTTGCATCATCAATCTTGAGGTCTCGATTGTTCTCCATGTTCTCGATGAACCACTTGGCTCCATTCTTCTCCATCTTGGGAGGCTTCTTGGCAGGTTCGGCGCGGGATCTTGCAGGTCAAGACCGCTGTCAGACCGTTCGTGTCACTCCTCCCTTATGCTTACATGGTAGAGGAAGACTTCTCCTTGTCTGCTACCACAGATGAAGCGCGCAGGGCAGGATTCTTGTGAGTCATCTGATCTTTGCTCACCTACATAAGTTATATGATAACAATCAGTACACCCTGAAGACAACAGCCGAAATACCTTCTTCAAGCCTTTGGTCACGCCGCCTTCGCCTTTTGCGTTAATTTCGGCAAACAGAGCAGCATGGGCCGAGGGTCCCGAGCTTGCAGGCTTGGCGACATCATCGAAGAATCCTGCAGGAGGAGGGGGAGGAGGAGGAGGAGGACCTCCAGCAGGGGGAGGGGGAGGAGCACCGGAGGCTGTAGACGCGGCTTTTGCAGGTTCGCTACCCGCGGTGTAGTCTGGTAGCATCAAGGTTACATTCACGACGATCAAGACAATCAGCCGACCTGTTCCTCCTCTTGGATTCCAAGCGACGCCAGTTGTGTGATGTGCTTTCACGTACTTCTGGAGCTCGAGCAAGAACTGCTTGAAAGACTTGGCGAAGTTAACATGGTTCTCGTCCTTTCCTCGAAACTCCATCATGATCTTGTTGCCATACATCTCGCTTGCGGGAATGACGTCACCCAAATAAGGAGCAGGAAGATCGATAGCAATCCATCCGAGGCATGCTGCACCCTCCGCAACCATGGCAAGATGGTTGAATCTGCTGCTCCTCCTGTCCTTGAGCGAGTCAACCTTTGACATGGCTTCAGAAACCGGAGCGAGAACTTTCTGCATGTCATTCGCATTGGGTTTCACACACTTGCTTGCGATGACAAGAAACTTCCTCTGCTCGTTGATAGCTCCTCGGAAGGCAGTGATGACCCCTTCAACGTCTTTCTCAAAGGATTTCGCCGCAGTCTCAATGGGAGCAAAGTGCGTGTGGATCAATTCGTCGAATGCTTTGACAAATGGAGCATCTTCCTGAGGTGCAGCTTCCTGGCCTGCAGAAGCTCCTGGACCTACACCGACTGAACGCATCCGTGACTCGATTGCTTCCAGCCTTGCTGCCACCGCCTCCAGACGAGAAATCGCTTCGGAACCATTCATCTGCAGATAGGAATGAGTTATCAGACAGGATCAGAGTTACTACTCATTGATTCAAACATCACAGGCCATGACGATGTAAACATCAAGATCAAGTATTGGCAAATGTCTTTTCTACACTCAGTTCGTGACTCGACCAACGTACCACGTCATCTGAACACGAGGATAGTACGCTAGGGCTGACAAAAGTACTGTGAAACTGAAAGCTTTCTACAAGTATCAAGACATCTATCCTGATATGAGAAGGGAGCAGGAGCAGAAGCAGGAGGAGCAGGAGCAGGAGCAGGAGCAGGAGCAGGAGCAGGAGCGGGCACATTTGGACAAACTCCTGGCACAGCCATGTGGCGCCAAAACCTTATGCAGTTCGAAATAATTGGGGTAGGGTAGAGGTAAGGGGGTAATTTGAATAGTATGTCGGTGGTCAAACGGAGGGGTAGTCTGGTGTTGGGTCTGTCTACTGAACCCCAACAAAAAAGAAGGTAGGGGTGGTTACATTTTCCTAGTTCCTGTAGGGGGTAGTATCTTAAGATGTTTGCAAGGTGGATGGGTCAGTGTCACTATTTGAACACAGAGTCCGATCGTCGATCGGACCGGGGCGGCCGGCGGCGGGCCCTTCCCGGGGCCCGGCCAACGCCGACTCACGAGTCAGTCTGTCAGCGAGTTATCTGGCCCTCAGTACTGAGTGGCCCGGGCTGGGAGTGAAGGGCCGGGATTTGCCAGTCACGGCCAAATAGCTTTATTACTTCCACGGGAGGCTTTAGATGATTTACCAGCCCTCATTGTGTTGCTGCTTCCTCCACGACAGCCCCCTCTGCAAGCATAGTCGTGAGTTCACACCAGTCAGACATCTTCTCAGTTGCAGGCTCAATCCTTCCTCCCAATCCCCTCCAGGCCACCACCCGCTCTCGTCTTCACACAGAGGAATCTACCTATCGTCGTTCGAACAGCTTCTTTGGGCTGATACAAACAGTTTAGCTCCTCGCAAGATCTCGATGTTTGATCTCACCTGCAGGTCGACGAGCCGATTGCTCTCCGCTGCAAGATCGCTCACTCCTATCCTCCCTTGCAACTGACAAAGAAGCTGAGAACTATTTTCCAGCTTGCTCCCAGCTGACCTTGATCCACTTTGCAACCGCTTCCATCTCCTCAGTTGAGATGTAGATGAACTTTCCACGGTCATCCAGGAGACCTGCAACGAGGTAAGAAGCGAGCTACAGGGAGGAGAACCTACCAGTGATTCTTCCCATGGCCTCTAAACCTTCTACTCTGTTCACAACCTTGACAAGAGTATCAGAAAGACATCCAATAAGGTCCTGCAGCGGCTCCGTGGCTCACCTCCTGGGTCTTGAGTTTGAATTCACTTGCAACCTCGTCCAGCGGAGAAATCTTCTTGGCCTTGAGATAGTCAATGAATTCCTGGCAATGTCTCAGTCATCCCGCTACCTCACAATTCGAACAGACTGACCTGAAGCATTCCCTGCGATTCTTGCAAATCTTCGTCTGCCTGGGCTCCACCTTCCCCAGTCTCGAAGAGGTCCTGACAGAGAAGTGAATGAGACAAACAAGTCAGTGATGCAAGAGTCCGAGGATACACTCCGACAGGACAAGTTTTAGCCGAATCTTACCTTCCACTTGTCGTATTCTTCTTCCTCTTTCTTCTTCTTTTCCTCCTACGATATCAAAAGATCAAGGGAGCCACGACATGGTCAGCCCAAATACCAGAGCTCGTTTCTCTTCTTCTTCTTTCTCTTTCTCTTCTCTACGACGCTGCTCTTCCCTTCACAAAGACATGAGCACTCCAACAAGAAGAAGTACTGCTCACCTCTCTCTCGCTTCCTCCTCACGCTTTTCAGCAAGCTCTTTCTTTCTCTTTCGATCCTGACCAATCTATAAGAAAGAACTTCCATGATCCACTTCTAGGAACCTCTTCGATAGCCTCACGTTGAGCTCGTTTTTCCTGTTTGAAAATCAAATCAAACAAACTCTGGCATGATTTAACACAAACCTCTTTTGCTTCCATTTTCGCCAACTTCTTCTTCCCGATCTTCTTCCCATCATTGAAAGCATCTTCTTCATCTTCATTCTCTTCGTCCCCAGCCTGCCAATACACCTCAGCAATCACGGTCATCATCAACTAGTATCTTTTCATCCATTATCAAAAGCATTTCTTCCTCTTCGTTGTCTCTACTTGCCTGTCTCCGAGCACGCATCCTTGCCAGCGCGGTCCTCCTCGCCGCCGCTCCCCCAGCAGGGACCGCTTCGTCCTCCTCGTCCCTTGGAACCCTTCCTCTCCCTCCCTCAGCATTTACAGGATCATGCCCTTTCGAATATGCCCACCTTCACAACCACACCATAAGGCCCAACATGCCAAGCAGCAGGTGAGCATGCGTTAGCAGGTACTCACTTTCCAACAACCAGCGCGAGTATGAGGAAAAACCCCAGCACAAAGTAGAGAGGCAGCCTGCCATAGGAGGCAGTCAAGACAAAGTGTAGGAGACGACCTCATCTACATGGTTTGCGGAGGAGCTTCTCCTCGCATCTGTTGGAACCTGGCGCTGCTCGATACGTCATCGTCCCCTATCTCGTCCTCCATCGCCGCCTGCCGAGCGCATCAATGCTTGACCTCGTACAAGAATGCTTTATACCACAGCTGAGCTGAACAAGAAGCAGACGACGAGGAGGAGGAGGACTGTCAGTTGTCTCCTCCCCTCTCTCATGCTCCCACTGCCTCCGCCGCTTGCCGCCAGCATGGCCTCCAAGCAGCAAGACCGCATCCCCACTCAACCCGTCCGGCGGACTCCGGGGCCCGGAACTTTGAACTCGTCGGCAGGTGAGAAACGATGTTTCAGGATCTATCGGGGGTGGGGTGATCACATGACCCCTACTCTATAGTGAAACAGTTGTGAGAAATCAGGGGTAATATGGAACAGTACGGGTAGGCAATTGATGTGGGTGATTAGGCCGAAATGCAGGCGAGGTCTGTAGGATAGAGGAAGACAACGTGGAGGGGAGGGCATGCTGGAGCCTGAGAGAAGGAAGATGTCTCAAGGGGTTTTGATGGATTGAAATCTGAAGAGAGACAAAAACAGCAGCAAAAGCTACTGATAGCGATGCCATTGCAATGCATCGACTGTATGAATTAGAACCAAACCAATCGTATTTCCTGTTTCCTCCTCCTTCAAGTTCGCATGTCTGACTCAAGCTTGTAGGATTCCAAAGGATAATACATCGAAATGCCCATAAGCTCATTCAGCCTTCCCTTCCCGTCAGTTTTCTTGCCGTTTTATCCCGTGGTGATTTGACTTTTCATTAGTAACTGCAAATGGTGACACCGTACTGAACACAGGCACTTGTTCTCATACAGAATTTCTGTGCTGGAAAGTTTTTGTTCAGCAGGAAATTTCTAGGAAAGTATCAAGAAATCGATCTATCTCTTGCTACTGTGAGGACCGAGGGATTCATCGTTGCAGTCCTGGTCCTGGTCCTGTGGATGCGAGTGATGCTGACATCCAAGAAGTACTACGTGGAAGCAAGTCCAGTGAGAAAACTTTGCTTGCAGGATTGAACATGAACATAATGATTTCATGCGCAGGTGTATCAGTGGAATCCGAACAGCCTGGGGATCGTCTTTGTCTGCCTGTTCACTCCGTTCCATTGTTACCTCTTTCTTCTTGGCATTCCAGATGAATCGCTGCTGATGTCATATGTGGTTTGGGCGACTGGATATGGCTACATGCTGTTACTTTTGGCGTACCTCTTTACCCAAAGAGAGAAAATCTTGTCGAACATAAACAACGCTTCTTATCGCCACCAGGTGGAAGAATACAACACAGCTTGGAACGCTAGGAGACAACAAGAGACTGTGGTGAGTTGTTATGATCTGCACTGACACGAAGTCGATATATGATGAGTGTGTAGGAGTACGACGATTTCTTGAACACGCTGAATGTTATGCGATGATGTCAGGTATGAATGAAACATGAATAAATGTGATACAGCCGCATTCGGATTCGGATTCAACTTTTAATCACGCTTGCCGATGTCACAGGCAATGAAGCAATTATCACTTGATCTTTGCGACTGTTACATGCAAAGAAATCACATTTCATCTTGGAGCGGGTTGAGCGGATCATATCTCCTCCTGCAACGTAGGTGAACATTGAAGCAGCAGCGGGGGGTAAAGACGATCTCACTGTCGTTTGGCATCTTTCGGTCGCTGATCTTTGAGAGGATCATCTGTGCGAGGCATGAGAACAGAATGTTGGAGTGACAATGAGGGCGATGAGGTAGGGGATGAGGGTGATGAGGTAGGCAGTTACATGTCGCAAGGGAGTCGTCGTTCTCCATCTCTCTTTGCAGGAAGCTAACCTGTAAGTAAAATGTCAGTGACAAAGAACTCGACAAGTGATAGCTTTCCTTGCTCTCTTTCGCAAACTTCAATCCGTTTCCCTGGAATCACTGTCAAGCACAACTAGCAATCATCGAATAATCAAACCCCGAGCCAATCAGAATCATCATAATCATCCAGCGCTTCCTGCCAGCCGATAGCACCGACTTCTGTTCTCACAAGCTCCTGCTTCTGCTGCTCCTTTTCTCTTTCCCTTTCAGCCTCTTTTTCCTTCTCTCTCTCTCTCTCCCTCTCCCTCTCTGCCTTGGCCAGTTGCTTTTGTTTGGCTATTCCCTGCAGCAACGTTAATCTCAATCAAACAAAGCATCTCACACCCACCATCACATCCCCGAATAGAGTTTTTCCGACATCTATCGAAATGTCAAATGAAAGCTCGAACACGTGTCAATCTACTCTCTCTGAATGCCTGCAGCTTCTCCATGGTGTCGAATTGTCTGTGTTTCCCTGCACGCATCCTCACGTTCCTTGTGAACTGACACGTTCAGAGTTTTGGATTTACCAGTCTGTTTCTTCCTTTTCAGTTGCGCTCTCTTCTGTTCATGAGTGCTCAACAACTCTGCGTCTTTATCGATGGCCTGATCTCCAAGTTTCACTGCTCGCGTTCCTTTCTTCATGTTCAAGATTTCTTTCTGCAGAAACCAATGTCTATCATTGCAAGGGAAGAGAGGGGAGCAGGAGGAAAGAAAGGATGACCTTCAGACGTTCCATCTCCAAGATCCGAGCTTCTCTCTCCTTCTCCCTCTCATCGAAATCATCTGGCATGTCAATGTTCTCCTGTACAGAATCATATTCATTCTGAATTTCCATCATCAATACAGACCTCTTGCTTGGTCTGATCTTGCAGCTTCTTCAGTTTGGTCTCCTTCACTGCCACAAAACGTTCCACCCGTTTCTCTCCAGCTGACTTCTTCTTCGATTTTTCTGTCAACATTGTTGATGATTGCAAGCATCATCATTTCCATCGCACCATCGTCACTGGAAGAGTACTCGTCTTCATCTGCATCATCATTCCCTCCTACATGAAAAAGGAGGTCAGAGCGACGGGCCATGACACGAGGGGAAAGCATGAGATCCTCACCTGCCGCCTTGCGAACTTCCATCTCATCTCTCCTCTTGTCTTCTACACTTCTCTCGAGCCCAACCTCGTCACTCTCCTTCACCAGCCTGGCGAGCCATCAAGATGCAGCAAATGACGAACAAACATTCAACCTTGCATCTTCAAGCACATCATGTGCCGATACCATCTTCTTCTTGATCGGAAGGGTCGTCGACTCTTCCTCAAGTCCTGTATTCCCCCATCAACACGCCCATGACTCCAAGATGAAGACTCACCAGGCGCTTCCTCGTCATCGGCAAAGGACAAGAGGGATTTGTTCTTCTTGACTTTGATCTTCACCAAGCATGTCAAGCTGTCGCTTCAATCTAAACACAAGACAACCTTGGGCTTCTCTTCCTCTTGCTGTTTGGGAGCGACTTCTCTCGGAATGATATCATCGAATGGGTTCAACAAGACCTCCGTCGACAGGATGCGAGGAGGGTAGAGAGGACGGTCATCCTGATCGCATTCGCTCGCTCCCATTGCATCTAGGTTAAAGATAGTCTTGCCAGTGACCTGCGAGAATCTTACAAGTGCCACGTCACCATGAAGTCATCGACCTTTCCGAATATTGTATGCTTCCCATTCAACCATTCGCACGGTGCTGACAATACTGTTATGCGAGCACCGACGGAACGAATCCTTACCCAACGTCATGAAGAATTGACTGCCGTTGTCGTTCTAAGGGCACACAAAAACTATGAGCAGCGCAGCAAGGCGAGCACAGCACTCACTCTTCCTCCATTTGCCATCGCCACTAACCCCCTGACCGAAAACCTCAAGCGAGAGTGGATCTCATCCTTGAAAGTTTCGCCGTAGACTGATTCCCCTGCCAGGCTGTTACATCATCACATGTACTACGTCGTCAGTGAACCTCCTGAGCCAGTTCCCGTTGGATCGCCACCTGTCGGTAACAAACAAGAGGAAGCAGCAGGTTCAGAGATCCACAGCACAGAGTTGTCACATAGAGACCTTGCACCATGAACTTTGGGATAATACGATGAAACATCGTGTTGTCATAGTATCCCTGATGAGGGGGCAGCCATATCAATGCCGGACCATCCCAACCGAATAATCGAAACGGCCTACCTCCATGCAGAGTTGGATGAAATTTCGACATGCTAGCGGCGCTTCTTTGCTCCAGAGCTCGATGTCGATTTCTCCCATAGTCGTGGTCAGCAGCACCTGTACGACCCTTCACGTTCATTCTAGACCGCGCAAGCAAGGAGGTCTCTTGCCTTGCCATTGGTAGGCGGCAAGTTCTGGTAGATTTGCGACATTGTTCACCAAATGTCCTGGACGAATCAGGATGTCACGTCCACAACCATGGTAAAGAAACTCGGATCGTTCGTTGGAACGTCCTATGATGAAGAGATGTTTCCAATAGCGGGACAGATTCCTATCAGACAAGGTGGAGGATGCAGGACTTGCAGTGCTACACGTAGACTTTCTCCTGATCCTCTCGCTGCCTCTAGCTCAGCCTCTCTCCTCCTGCATGCGCGCTCTTGGAATCTCGCGCGCATAGAAAGATGGACCCACATCCCTCCTCGCACCCACGGGAAAAGAGTTTCAGAATCGCAGTCGGAGAGGAAGACGGAAGAAGGAAGGAGGAAGCCAAGCAGGAAGAGACAGAGGAGGGAGGGAAGGAGAGAGGAGGAGAGTGAGCGAGGGGATGAGGGGGAAAGAGTGAGCGGGGTGGGACTGAGGGAGGGGGGCGGCAGGGAGAGGTTGGGTGGGGAGGAGGGAGGAGACGGGCAGAGATGGAGAACGGGATCAAAGACAAGGACAAGGCTCCTGTCAAGACAAAGGCGAAACGCCTCAATGACACGGAACGGCTAGAGATCATCGCGAAACTTCAAGGGTCGAACATGAGTCAGCGAGCTGTATCGCGGGAGTATGGAGTGAGCGAAGGAGCCATCAGGAAGCTGTTGAAGCAGAAGAACTCCATCCTGCGCCGCGCTGAGAATGTATCGATGGCGAAGAGGATCAAGACATACCGAGCCTCTGCTCCACTCTTCCCTGCTCTCGAGGACAAGCTGTTCCGATGGGTGGATGGTTGTCAGAAGAGAAAAGTTCAGGTCTCTCCTTCCATGGCCATAGCCAAGGCCGCAGAACTGGCCAAGACGAGTGATGGTGGTTCAGAGAAGAGTTTCAAGGCCTCGTGGAAGTGGTTCTCGAGCTTCAGGAGGAGGAAAGGACTGCCGATGCTGCGAGGAGAAGGGAGCAAGGCTGAGCCCGACCTGCATGACACGTTGCAGAAGCTGGCGGAGATTATCGCTAAGTTCCCGGCTGAGAATGTTTACAGCATCGCTGAGACCGGGCTGTTCTATCGGATGCTGCCGCATCACAGTTTGCTGCCGTCTGAAGAAGACATCACAAGTGGCCCAGCGGCTAAACTTCAGAATGAACGCATCTCAGTGCTCGTGTGCGCCAACGCGACAGGTTCTCATAGAATCCCGTGTGCTATCGTCGGGCATGCGTCACAGCCAGCACGTGCCTGGCCGACCCCATACTTCTCTCAAAGGCAAGCTTGCGTAGATGGAGTAGTGCTCAAGAGTTGGTTTGACGAGGTGTTCTGCCCTTGTGTCCGGCAGTTCACCTCACAACCAGTCCTCCTCCTTGTCAATGACATGCAAGGGATGGCGAACGATCAGCTTGAGCAGGAGAAAGTGAAGCTGATCACGATCCCAGCGTGTCTGAAGCTGGCCATTGACCAGGAGCTCATCGCCAGTCTTAAGAAGAGATACAAATTCCTTCACCTCAAAGAGGTCTTGGCATTCCATGCTCTGCATGATAGCGTGAGATCGCAGCTGAAAGAGTCTGCAAGATCTCTTCCTCTGGACTGTGCTGGTGTCAGGTATGGGAGGCCTGCAAACCTGCTGGATGCTGCCAACTTCTTGAAGGCTGCGTGGGAGTCGATCAGCATGGATGCCGTGAGGCACTCGTTCATCAGAGCCAACCTGGGGATCCGATACAGAGGGATGGTGGATACTGACGCTGCCAATGACCCCGAGCCCGATCAGCACGAGTACAACATGGCCGAGCTGATTGGAGGCAGTGCTGTGCTGAGCATCGAAGACCTGAATCGGTGGGAGCTCGCGGACCAGGAAGACTCGGAGGAGTTCAAGAGGGCCGTTTTGGAGGAGGTGGAAGCGGAGCTCAGTCTCGAGCATCTAGACCACGAGGACTTGGGTCATGGGCAATCCTATGTGAAAGATGGTGACGTGGACGCTATGGAGGGTACTCCCCGCTCCACTGCCACCCCAGCTGCTGACCGGGCCTCTGACCCGGCAAGGGATGCCGCAAAGAATGTGGCTGCTGGGCCTGTCGGTTTCTCAGGATGGAGGCAGGTGTACGAGACATACGGCTGCTTCATGGACAACCTCTATCACCCGGCAGCAGCTGAGTCGGCGGGCGAGCAGTATGAATCAATCATCGAAGGCCTCGAGAGAGTCAGGCCTCTCCTCAAGGGCCTTGTACATCGCGACGGCACTTCCATCCACTTCGCTTGCCCGCCCCCGCCGTAAAATCTTGAAGGTGGTCAGTCAGGCCGACCGGTCCCCGGGTGATTGGGCGCATGCTTTCAATAAAGTACAGTAAGATACTCACGGCATCGCCACGACCGCTGCATGCCCCGTGGGGACCGCTATGTCGACGAAGGAGATGACCTGCCCGTTGGCGATCCAGTCCGTGAAGGTAGGGGGGCAGTGGTAGGCCGTCCGCATCAAGAAGCAGGTGTTTGTGGGAGAAGCCGGCCTCCGAGCACCGCGAATCGGAGTAGCACTTGAACTGCCGACGAATGTTTTTATCCCAAGTATATCTTCCTAATTTATTCTACCTTCTTGTTACATCATAACACTTTTCTTCTACCATCATCCTGTGTCCATGCTCGTGGTCCCTGTTTCTCCCTTCCCTCGGATCATCGTCGTTCGATCTCTTATCCTGCTAATCCTATCACCTTACTTTGTCATCAATGGCTTGTTACTTCGTCGCTCGTCGTTCATTGTCAGGCTGAGCCCTCGTGTGATCTCAAGTTACACATTGTGTGGCCACCGCATTTCAAGCTTCGACCGGAGGTTGCGTGAATTCATCGGTCTTCATTCTACACCGTGTTCGGGCAGTCCAGTTCTTCTCTGACTTCACGGCGGCTCCAAGTGAGGGCCCAGGACCGCTGCACATTAACTTGAGATGATGTCGTCACGACATCTTCAGGCCAACAGGTGTCTGATCATTGTTCAGCTGACACATTGGGACCGCTGTTTCCTCAGGGCTTCAACCTCTTCGCTTTCTTCTGACCTCTTGCTAATAGATTTAACCCAGACCTCCCCAGCTGTCAAGCAGCAAGTCGCCCTCGCCTCCCTTCTGCTCTCCTATCTCCACTCTATTTCCCATGCTTTCCCTTCCTTCCCTCCTCCCCTCCCCTCCTTTCTATGTTTGCCTGAAGGATACGTGCAGGCAAGCAAAGGTTTTTCCATGCAGGAAGCGCAGGGGCCAGGAGCGCGACCTGCGTTTCAGGGCGGGGGCCGTGCTGACGCGCGATAAACCGCCCTTCGAGTACCGTCACCCGCCTCTGCACCTCCCTCCACCGCGCGAGCTCGTCGTCAGGGCCACCATCGTGAAGACAACAACCGAGACATGATAATGGGGCAGTCGGGATGGTCTGCGCCGTCGCGCGCTCAACGTCTTGAGGGTCATCTCCGTCGTCATCGTCGCCTTCCGATCGTCCTCTACGCGTTCAGCGTCGTGGTGACCTTTCCCTTCTTCCTCTTCCACGAGGTCAGCGAGTCAGGCTCGCCATCCAGGGCGTGATCATGAGACACACCGTCTAGAGGCGGAGGGATCCGATCGGCCTAGGTAGTAGTTTATTGACGTTAAACGTTTCGTTACTAGGACACGCAAGGGGCGCGGCGAGGCTAAACAGGCAAGACAGCGTCATCCGGGAGTTCCCAGAGCTTCCGGTGACGATGGACGTTGGCGGGCCACTGCTCAGGGCCGCATGCCCGCAGTGCCGCCGCGGCGGCCTGCAGCGCCTTCAAGTTGCCGGTCACACTTGACAGCCCGGCCAGTGTGACAGCCGGGCCTAGGCCGCCCCGGGCTGCCGGCCCGCGCCCGGGTACACTGAACTCATCTCCGAAAAGCCTTATCGGAACCATCCTACTGCCATGCCGACCGAGCGAGAGCAGCTTCAAGTTATGTCCCCGAGTGAGGGCATGCAGGGATGAAGTAAGAGGAGGACAAGACACGCGTGTGTTGACGCATCGAGCTGCCTGCGCTGCTTCCACTAAGAGTGGGAAAGTCACTTGTCTCTGGATTCCTTCCATTTCAGTGAGCAACAACTTCAGACCATGACGTCGGCAAGGTCTCTCCTGTCAACCTGCATCATGATCGCTCTGGTTTTCAACGGTCTTGCTTCTGGGAGCATTGAGGTAACAGTAGATGAAAATCGTTTTACCCCCTAGATCCTTTCTAGTATTGATTCGGGGTACAGGATGAAGAGGTACCGCTCTTGCCAAAGTTTTCGTCCGAGGAGCAGGACTATCAGAAAGTGAGCTTGCCCACACATTGACGAGCTCATTCGGAATCTTTTCACTGATATATTTCTGATAGCGCTCTTGGGAAAATCTCATCGGCTGCTCCATAGCAATCAGGATGGCAAATAGCATTTTTGGAGATGTGAATGCAGAAAGTGCGGGGAACAAGACTTTGTCGTTGAAGGTCAGCAATGCAAATTGATCCTGATTTCCTTCTGCTGGCTGCATGTCACATTCATCATGAGATCACTCGTCTGTTGTGCATGCAAGAATGGTGCGGCAGTGATTTTTGGGCAACAACAGGACGCGAAATACAAAATGAAAAGTCAGTGCAAGTCGCTTGGAGGAATTTTCAACACGATGTGAGCTGTGTAGAGATGGTCTTGATTGACAATGACTATGATGAAGGTGCAATCGGATATACACCACAATAGTAAAAAAACTGAAGAAAAGGGAGAAGGGAAGGTGAATTCATCACAACAATCCGATTTGCGCTGCTGACTTTCGACCCTACCCTGATTAGCAAGTTAACGTCTCAAGCATTCTTGAAGGGTAATCTTATCATTCACAGTTGCCTTGCATCATGATGTCCGCACAGCGATCCGAACAGGAAAAGTCTGTCAGAGCAAAGATGTAACAGATGTAGTCTCAGGTCTTGTCAACATTCTCCTTCTCTCACTGAATTCTCACCTGCAGATTTCAGCCCGAAAGCAGGATGCCGAAAGCGAGGAGACTGCTCTATTCACAGCCACATCTCAGAACTCGTCCTGGAGGTTCGAAGACGTTGGTGGTGAAACTTGTCACGTTGGATATCAGGGAGATCTTTCTTTCAGGAGAGGGTCGGCTCATTCGGCGAGTACGAAGATACCGCCTGTTTGTTATTCAGAAGATTTCTTCTTAACCTAATCGATTGAATTTGTAGATCATTCACCTCATGTTTGGAATGACTCCAGACTGGGGAGGGAAACCCTTCGGGTGAGATTTTGAGATGTTCCTTTCAAGCTCTTCTGTTCGGGATGGAGCTGACGGATGTGTTGGATCAGGATTGCTCACTATCTGTGTGTGCGGACAGCAAGCGACATCATGAAGGTCAATTGCTCCACACCTTGTAAATTTTCCAACAAACAGCACACAGAACGCTACGATATTCCTCTACTACAAGCATGAACCCCAGGGAAAGGTGAAACAATCTTGCAAGAAATTGGAACCCGTAACATCGCTTTTGTCAGTGGTGGAAGAAAGCAAAACAACTTTTGCAGCCAATTCGCGTTGATCCTGTCGTGAAGGTGTGTATATACCTAGTTGTGTGTGTGTAAACTTACAAGTGACCATGGCGAAGATGAATGGAAGAGATATACCGAACATGGCACATGTGATGGAAATGTTCACGACCCGAATGTTGTGTGAGCTCGACTTTTAGGTTTCAGACCTTCTCAGGTTGCAGGCCTTGCGCGATCTCGGAGGTGAGACAAGTCGTGTTGAAAAGTCAATCATGAAGTTTGTTTGCTGGCAGGGATTTACATGGACATCGACGTCATTACTATCCGCTCTTTCGCGCCGTTGATGAAGGTCGAAATCTTCTCCTTTTCTCCCCTTGTGACTTGCCCATATCAGGATAACTCGTTTGTGATGGGGCAAGAGGGGGAGAAAGTGAGATAAACGAGTTTCATAACCTGCTGTTGTTGATCAACGAGTAGGGAGTCTACGGATTATGCAACGCTGTAATGCTGTCATCGCCCAACTCAACTTTTGTAAGAGATTTCGTTTACATTTCATGATTTCAGAGATCATGATGAAAAGGATGGGTATGGATGGGTAGAAATGATGATTGAGGCAATGGTGGTGACTATACTATGATAATATGATGATGATGATGGAGGCAGAGTAGGAAAATTTGCGAATGGCGATGATGGAATCCTTGAACTGTTTCTGCTACCGCTGACCAATCCATGAAAGGTGAACTTGTGGATTCGTCACTATGCGGAAGCATATGACCCAGCAATCTGGAGTATGCATTCAGGTAAGGTACAAACAAGTACAATGTACAAGAGGGGCGAAACGTGAACGCGAGAGCTTTGGAAGAGAAGAGTAGACGGTAGCTTCTGACGCAATGCTTGCTTACAGTCAAACTTCCGAGCATTCTCAGCCATTTATATCCCTCAGAGATCACTCAGGTGACATGTTTCTCCTTCACTCTCCGTCATGATCTTTCCTGGCAAGGTGAATGATAAAGTCTTCTTCTATCCTCTCTGGGACAAAATCGACTACTTGTTCACCGGTGAGAAGTGCAGCTGTAGAAGATGGTGGCGGTGATGATGGAGATGATGATGTACATTGGTAGGACACGGAGAAACATTTCCTCGCAACATCGGTAGGCATGTGCAGCTTGATCTCTCCCCACTGATCAGCTGCAGCGATGCATCTTTGGGAGTCTCTGTCGTGGGACAAGTACATTTCAAGGTTAGAGATGATATCTGCCTCCATCATCGTCTCCTCACCAAACTTGCATGATTGTCCTTCAGGCTCAACTTCGATTATATCATGAACGTCGACAACAACTTTAACAATCTAGTCTGTTCCTGTCTCTTCCTGCTTTCCTCATCTGAGACATTCATGGCAGGTGCGTCCCTTCCTCAAAGAGGAGACAAGAGGCAAAGCCTGACAGAGACAAGTGGAGGGGTATCCACGTTTGTGTGATTGAAAGGATCATTCAGAAGAGCCGATTCATTTCTAAACTTGCATCATTTCTGAACCTGCATCTATGTACCACTCTTACGCGTTCATCTGTACCGCATACGTCCTGCGGGTGTTCACTTCATTAACATAATATGCTGACATCATCGCTATTTCAAAATTTGCTACTCGTGTCCTCCTGCTGTCTCTGTCAAATTCCATCTGTTGTAGAAGAGGAGGGAGGAAGAAGGGAGCGAAGATAGAGGAGAAAATTTGAGGATACTGGAGTGAGCGAGAGAGTATGAAGGAGGGAGGAGTAACAGAGAAGAGCGGCGGAAGAGGAGCAACAACTTCGACTCGGGCACGAGGGAAGGAAGAAGAGGAAGGGAGGAGAAGGGAGGGAGGAGGAGAGGAACCTGAGGCACTACACGCGCAGACTCAGCCTTGAGTTGGGAGAGCTCATCGTCGGCAGTCTGTGGCCAGCGAGTTAATCTCCTGCTCCTGCTCCTGCTCCTGCTCCTGCTCCTGCTCCTGCTCCTCCTGCTCCTGCTCCTGCTCCTGCTCCTGCTCCTGCTCCTGCTCCCGCTCCCGCTCCCGCTCCCGCTCCTGCTCCTGCTCCTGCTCCTGCTCCGGCTTTGACTTACCTCATGGCTAGAGGAGCGCGATGAGTGTCTTGCTCCGATGACACGCTGGTTCAGCTTGGCGAATGAGTTGAGCTCCTAGTCTCAGAGTTATGCCGCTTCACTCCTCCCTCCGTGTCACCTGGTCAGCCGACTCGCGATGCCATCGCCTTTTCGTGTTGGCCTTGGGGAAGATCTGAGGAAGGGACACGCGGGTCAGCAAGAGATGGCCAGCTCGCAGCATTGCCTCGTCGTTGAGATGCTTCAGGTGTGTCAATTCTTCGCTCCCGCTCAGCGCATGGCGCGACCTCCGTGTCCTGGGGGGCAGCACGGCTGAGCTTAGTCTCTGCATGCTTGCCAACTCCTCGTCTGCAGTCTCCTTGTGCCACCTCGCAGCTCTAGGAGACTTGGAGAAGATCTGGTTGTTCAGGTTCGCATAATTCGAGAGTTCCTGGCTGGCTGAGAATCGTTTGTCCTCTCTCTTCGCCTCTTCGCGGCTGAACATTCCATTGTTCAAGTGTACCGCAGGCAGGACGGCATGCTTAGTTCGCACGTGAGGAGAGGAAGGGCGATGGGAGCGAATCCTCTTAGGATGAAGCTTTACGCGTGCTCCATGGCCATGAAGAAGACTGGAAGCTTCCTCCTCCTCCTCGAAGGATCGGGGAAAGACTTGTCGATTGAGTTTCGACCACTTGTTGATCATACCTTGAGACATGTCGCGAGCCTGGGCAACGGATCAGGCTTCAATACAGAGCATGTGGAGACAAGATCTCACCTTGCTGTGGTCGATACCGGAAGTCTTGCTCTTCTTTCCTTCACCTCCCATCTCCACGCTCTTCAATCTGTCGTCCCCGTACCCCATAGCGTACCGATACGATCGCATCAGCTGATCTGCTCTCATGGTCCTCCATGACGCCGGATCCCGCACACGGTCCTCGTCCTCTCTTAGCATGATGGGCTCATGTGTTCCCTGCATGGCGCCGAGCATGGCCATGAGGGCCACAGCCATCGCTGCCATCGAGGCGGCGCGCCACACCATCTTTGCTCTACCCCTTCGACTACCCCACCCCTGGAGATGACAAGAATTATATTCTCTTAGAGGAGGTACCAACCACTTTCCGTCTAGGGGTAGCGCCATGCCGATCAGGGAACGTATCGAGGCGCTGAAGGGTGCGCTGATGGAGAAGATGGAGGGACAGGAGAGCGTCAGGTTGCCGAGAAAGTCCAAGAGCGCGACGAGAGGCCAGCTGGATGAAGCCAGAGCTGCTCAGCTGGGCGACTCGTCAAGTAGACTAGAAGCTAGTGACATGGGGAGCGTGGTACAAGACGAAGGTGGTGGGGGAGGCAGCGAGGCCTCGCGCAGGCTATCCCGTCTGGAAAGGAAGATCGAAAAGATCGAGAAGCTTTCGAAGAAGGAGAACGTGAACTTTCAGCACAAACATAATAGCATCGAGCATGGAGTAAGAGGCTTGAAATCGGCGAGGCAGCAGGCATCGCAGGAGGGAGCAGAAGAGACAGATGTACAGAAGGAAAAGCTTGTTGCTATGATAGAAGCGATGAAGATTGAAAGGGAAGGCAGCTTCAAGCAGCTGCAAGCGTACATCCATCAGCGCCACGAAGCCATGAAACAAGACATTCATCGCAAGCTGCTGGAACAGTCTGAACCAGCGAAAGCACAAGAACGATTCGGGATGGGGGGAAGGGATTGGAAGGAGCAGATAGACATGCACGACTCCGCTATGGCATACTCAGAGAACTTGATCATGATAGCTCTGCAGCAGAAGATGGACATGTTGCGCCTTGAACTTCTACGAGAGAAAACGATCTGGCAGAAGACCATCGAGCAAGTTCAAGACGCCATGAGCGGAATGGTGTTATCTCTCGCGCTTGTTCTGCATTCTGACTTGGATGGAAAGGTGACATCACTCAAGGAAGAATTAAGAGCCGAACAAGAAGAAAGAAAGCGAATACAGACAGAGCTCCTGATGGTGCTAAAATCTCATTGCGCCAAGGTTGTGGAGAAAGAGTACGAAACGAAGGAGAAAGAGGCCAACCCTGACCAGCAGATGCTGCAGAAGAAAGGCTCGAGGAAAGGAGGGGAGAAGAAGAGCTAGCTGTCGCAGTAACGATGGAAGTAACGTTCACAGGTGCGGCACTGCAAGGTATTGAGGGAGGAGGCAGGAAGAGAGACGAGGTTGTACCTGCCAGGAAGAAGAGTCCTTGCGAAGATGGTCAAACTTCCTCAGGGTTGCAATCCTGCTGAGCACCTGCTGGGGATTTGACCTGAAGGCCCAGTCAAAGATGAGCGGGGAAGGAAGTGCGAAGAAGTACCGCCAACTGAAGAAGGAACGATACAACGACGCATTCCTGTCCAGCTGTTTTCCAACGGCAATGAGCTGGAAAGAGTGAAGAATCTCAGTTTACCTTTCCGAGGAACTCGCCGATCGAGTCAAGATCGCTGAACTTCAAGATGTTAAGATACCCTCCCGGAGCAACCTATCGTGCAGCGTCACCGAGGCCGGTGAAAGTAGCTGTAAGCTCACCGCATACGAGTCGGCATTGGGAGCACCGAGGTAGACCATTAGAGAACCTCTTGCTGCATCTAGCATGCCCTGCATCGAGACGTTGACTGCTGTATGAGCGCAAGGCTGCGCTATACCTTGTAGAATCTGTCTGTTAAGAAGTCTTCGACGACTTCATCCTCAACGACCAGATTAAATTTGTAGTGCGAGTCTGCCGTGTCCTTCTCGTACCGCCGGATTTCGCGATCAGAGCCTTCACCAGCAAAGCACCTCCCGATGGTATCGACAGGAAGGTGCCGCCGCAAGCTCTCGACGAGCCTGTGAACGAGCGCATCAAGTCTGTCACACTTGTCGTCCATGCGAAGAACAGCTTTGCCGGGTGAGTTTGCCTGCAGAGAATGATCAGGACAAGGCATACAAGAACAAAATCAGTGTACAAAGTCAAAAAAGCTTGCTGACAACAAGTGGTGATCGATACAATCGTCTGAAATATTTGAGCAGAGCTCTCCAGTCAAGGAGCTACCGATGAAGTTGAGCTTCACGTCTGAGTACCGATGGAAACTTATCAACATGTCTGCACTTGCCAGTGTTGGAATGTTGATAGATGCTGGGTGCAAATTTATGATGGCGACCTTTTGCCACCAGGCTTTTGAGCTCAACACCGGATCATTGCGATCGATTCCAACCAGGATGTCAGCATCTGACTTGTTGCTGGTGATTTGGCATGAAATCTTGCATTCCTCAACGGCCTCATGCTCGAGAGGTAAGCCGAGATGGCAGTTTAGAAGGGATGGTGAATAATACATCAGCACTGGAACGCTGCACGAGTCAAGTTTGTTGTACCCGGGTTCGATCATGGTATGTGTCCCATATGGATTCAAGCTAATCGTTCTAGTGTTCTGAAAATCATACAGAATGGACCTGATCGCATAATTCATCATGCAAATACTGCCTAGATTGCAAAGAGGGGACGCATTATCCACGGTTGACATCCTCACAGAGCGCAAAGCAGACCAGTATGAATACAGCAATGCTGCAACAATGAAAGCAATCGAAGAGATGAAGGCTACGGACAGCAATCTCGACTCATTCTTGTAATATTTTTTCAATCTGAAACTTGACATGTCAATCTACAACATTCTCCTTCGCTCACAGATCATTCACCTCTTGTCGGAATCATCCCATGGTGAAGTGATCTGCGATGATGTCTCATTTTCCTTCAAGTTCCTGTCCTTTTCAGATGACTTCTTCAGACTCCTCAGCCTTGCTTCTCCCGCAGCTTCTACCTTCAGCATCGGGTTTATGCCGCACTATAGCAGCAAGTTGAAGTGTATCAGTTATAACCTCATGGCCATCATACCAGCAAGTGCCATGGGGCCTCAAAGTGTTTTCAAAGTTTTGCTCTTTCTGGTCGCTCACCAGGAGGCGCTGCCGTTGCCATCACTGTCCTCGGATCATCCGGGCACCATCACCGTCCGATCCGACTCATGTCACCGAGTCACCGTGAGTACTCTGTACGGTGCCAACTTCGGAAGGAACGATAGCAACCGTTCCGGCCGGGCGGCCCGGCGGACCGTGTGCCTCCGGGCCTCCGCCGGAGCCTCGCGGCCCGGCCCGCCGGGCCCGGTCGCACTAAGTTGCCGCGCTTGAATGGCGATTCATTGAAGACGCCTCGGAGTCCGGGCCTGGCGGCTGGCGGCCCATGATCATCGGCGGAACTTGAATCATTCGCGCCCACGGTCATCCGATTCTTTACTCAAAGTTAAGTTAAAAATCAGTACTGTACGAGGACAAGTGAGTCAGGAGAGTCGAGGAGGCTCGCCCCTGACACTGTCCGGCACAGGCCAAACGGCGAGAAGAGAAAAGACAGCGGCGCGGCGAGAAAGCCGGCTCACGCTGCGCCGGTGCCTGGGGGGCCGGCTTTACGGTCACTGTGACGGTCCCGGGCCGGGCCGGACTCCGGGCCGTCCGAGCGCGCCGCCGATGTGAGTGGCCCCCAGGGTGGCGCCAGAGGCCGCCCGTCCGGGCCTGAGCCTCCTGCGGCTCAGCGGCTTGACTTCAATCGGCGTCGGACGCCGGCGGCCCGGACGGAGCCTGTCACCTGATCGGACTCGATCGGACCCGGTGCGTCGCGTGTGACACCGCCGTGCCAGTGATCGGATCGGGCTCGGACTGCCGCACACGCGGCAGGCCGCAGCTCGGAACTTGAAGATCCGAACTTCGGAAGTTTCAAAGTAGGCTCGAAAAGTATTTAGCCTGGGGAAAGTCAAAAGAGCCTCCGGACTGTCCCAATAGATCAGGGGGTGGGTGGGGGTTATAGAGTCGGAAGGACATTCTGAGGAATAAACGGCGAGGGGTAGTGACGAGGTGAACTGTTCCCTTATGACCTACGGATGGTACCCTACCCCCAAAGTCATCCAAATCATGATACCTCCTCCAAATTGAGGGACCCAGTACCCCACCATTTCCATACTCTCATCCATGTCCCCCTTTATCCACGTCCCCAACAGCACGACTACCCCCCCACATTTCTTTGTTTCATCCACCCCACCCCCACACAAAAGTCAATCTGCTAATTTTACGCAACTCCCCCACGCCACCCCACCCTACGCCACCCCACCCCAGCCTCCGAATCCCCCTACCCCTGCCCTCCCCACTAGCAACTTTAAAAAATGTTGTACGAAAAAGTAAACAGATAGAATCTATAAAATTATAAATTATCTTTATTTCTTTTAAAAGATTAAAAAATCCACTTTCCCTATGCCATTACAACTCCAGTACCATAGTAAACACTATCTGTATCTCTATAAGATGCAGTCCATCTGTTTTAAAAAGTTCCTGAAGTTTGTACTCACAATATGTTATTGTTTTACTGTTATTGTTTTATTCTTATTGTTTTATTGTTATTCTTATTTAAAATTATATATATGTATGTCGTTCTGCCCGGGGCCAATCCTTTTGTGTTCCTAGGACCAGAGCGTATCTACATTTTCTGAGTACCCCCCTTTGATAGAGATGACCCCACCTCCGATAGCGATGGTAGGATTCTAGTACCATGGAGCTATACCTTCAGCTATTGCTAGGACCCTGGTAGCTCTGGCTGTATCAAGTTGCTTGCTTGATAGACCCTTACTAGGACACTTGTAGGACTGATTGCCAGTTGAGGGCTCCTAGGGCTCCACAATGTGTTCCTAGGACATTCCAAATATCAGGGGGTAGGACTTACTAGGACCACTCTAGAACAAGTACTTTGATAGTTTAGGGTGGTCCTATCCCCGCTAAGCCAGAATAGTTCAAATCCTAGCACTGCACTGAAGGTACGGGTATTTTGAAGCTGAAATGAAGGGGTGGGGGTATAGTGCAACCGCTTTCGTTGTTCATGCCGATCATCCATGCCTTGAGAAAGGAGGACAGGGTGGGCGATGAAGGGAGAGGAATGATGCTTGCAACCCTCAGCGAGAATGACATCTGTTACTGACCATGAAAGTCTTTTCATTCCCTTTCTGTTCCGCATCTTTTTTTCGCTGGTTTGCCTGTTAGACATGTCCATTCCCCCTTGAGGACCGTTGAGCGTGTATGTGTGCTGTGATTGTGTGTTGAGATGAACTCGGGGTCAAGTGTAACGTCAATCACATGTTTATTCCTCACCACAATGGTAGACAGGTTTGTTTTCCTTTCATGTTCCCGTCTCTGAAGTTTGCTGTGCTGTGCCGTCAACATGCAGGACTGGTAATCTTGTTCCCTCTCATAGATGAATCGTCCATCTCTTCAGCACTCATTCACTGAGCGATGAATCATTTGAACAGATCCCCTCTCTCACAAAATGAAATTTCAGAGTAGATTCCATCGATCATGGCAAATGTGCCACATTACTGCTTCCCTCAAATACTTCACTGCTGAAACTTGTGCACTGATTTTACATCTGACAAGCTGCTCTGCCAGATTTCACAATGTCAATGGTCCGCTGCTGTTAAGATTGTGATGAGACAAAAGGCTGGGTGACGTTGTCATTTTTCTGATCCCAATCTTCAGAATCCACGAGAGCTTTTTGGTGTCGAAAGCAAACAGGATTACCTTGAAAACCCAAGATCATCGAGCAGCTTTCATTCATTGACGCAGAGCGTTAGAGGGGCATTATCAGTGTAGGAAACTGCATTGTTGTGGCGCGCGCGGGATTTGCTGAGCCCGATCCGCGCGCGCCCGGGGCCCTTCGGTCTTGTTTTTTTGGAACCTTTTGACACCTGCAATGATTGGTTGGAGTGGGAATGCCAAGAATAGCGAGTGACGATACACCCAACATGAAAGCTTTCTTTATCTTTCTCCGTTAGGATACGTAGAATCCATCAAGACCGCTACGGCATAACGACATTGATTCATCATGGCAACTGTCATTCCACGAATGCGCAAGTCGTCAAATGCTGACTCATCAGATGATTCTCCGTCAGAGCAGTCACCATCTGCACCAATCGGTTTCAGACAATCATCGCTGGAAAACCTGTACAATACAGACATCGAAAGGAAAATTTTAGAATCGACCAGATCAAAGGCAAATCTTTGAACAAATATGGGGTTGCCATTCATTCTTTGTTTTCTTGCAGATTTGGTTCTTCTTGGACGACCCTTCTTCTTCTCGACCCGTATGAACTCAAAAGTAGATTCCCTTAGTGAAATTATTGACACCGTTTTCTGGCAGGCTTATTTTTTCTCCGTATTCATTTTGATGCTTATCTTGCTATCGTGTACAAGTTTTGTTTTGGAAACCATTCCGATATTGTGCTGTGGGAGATACGACTCAGTGAGAACATTGTTTGCTCTTTTCAATTGCTGATGTGCAATTGGTAGGTATGGAATAACATCGAGGTTGTATGTGTTTCCGCATTCACTTTTGAATATTTGTCACGCCTTCTTGTTGTGCCCACGTTTATGAACAATGAGGTGAGCATCCTTATCCGAGCTGAGAACTTTGTCATATTGAAAGGGTGACAGGGGAGGCTGGCTAGCTCAGAAAGAACAGGCCCAACAGCAGAAATTCTAGCAAGATTACGATTCCTGTTCAGACCGTTGAATGCAATCGACTTGACCGCAATTCTGCCCTACTACATACAACTCATGCTACCGAATGGTAACGGAGCAAGTGGAACATCATTCCTACGAATAATTCGATTGGCTCGGGTAAATTGCGTGCACTCTGTTTCATTGGTCTTTCTAACTTGCTTTACCCATTCCTTTCTCCATTCCTTTCTTTTTCTTTCTCCAGGTTTTCCGTTTGTTCAAGCTTTCGAAGTATAGTGAGGGGATGTGGTTGCTGTCAGCAACCTTGATGAGGAGGTCGAAATTTCTCTTACTTGCCTGCATTCTCTTAACATCATGACACAGCTGGCGTGCACTGAGCATGTTGCTCTTCTTCATGTTGATTTCTGTAATTTTATTCTCGAGTGTGATGTACTATGTGGAGCGTGGGGATTTTTTTTATTGTACCATGGATGCGGCAAGGCAAAACCTGTGCAGGTGAGATATTTGTGTCAAAGGCTCTGTATGGCATTTCATCTCACACGATTTGATGATTTCAGGATTGAAGATGTTGTCACCTTTGATCCCACTGTCGGACAGGGTCTAGAACAGTGTCGGCAGATGGTGCAAGATGCATTGGGGATTTCTTTAGACTGCTGCGATGGACAGGCTTGGTACGCATGGCCACCATTGGACCAGAACGGGGACGGATGCATTGACAAGAGCAAGTTCGAGAGCATCCTGTTAACAGCGTGGTGGTGTGTGGTCACGATGACAACCGTTGGTTACGGAGATGTTGTTCCAGTGACAGCCGGTGGTCAGCTGATAGCAGTGCTCACAATGCTCAGCGGGATTCTTCTGTTGGCGTTACCGATCACTGTCATTGGATCAAACTTTAACATTGAGTACGAGAGGTCAGAGGCTGAACAAAGGATGCATGAACAGCTTGAATGGGCAGAGAAATCAAAATCTCAAAAAGTGACACCGTTAGAAGAAAGAGAAGCTTCTGTCCCCCAAGATGAAATCATTGCAACACCTTCATCAAATTTGCCAGGGAATGGGTCGATGGCAACTCCAACCCCGATGAAACAAAGGCGCAGTCTAATGTCAAGTAGCTGGAGAGAAGAATCGAGGCCTGGAGCAGACTCCGTAAGACAATCCGCTTTGAGATGTTAGTGTTTTGGTAACTGATACATCTGGCCAGAATTCAGCGGGTACTCAAAGAATACTCTTGGCAACTGTGGAGCGGTTGATGGCTGAACATCGTGAGATGATTCTACGGAAAGCAGACGTAAAGATAAGATGCTCGAAAGAATCGAATGTGACTTTCATTCCAGGAGATGATAAAAGAGCATGTAAAGGAGATTGCGAGAGAGGTCGTCGCGCGAAACAGGGAGAAAAAGCATGGGACTGGGAACGGGACCGACCCAACAAGCTAGGAGTGCCGTCATGATATTTTAACTATGCAGAATAGAAAGGTGTAAAAAGTTGCTATTAATTCAAATAAATGTAACTATAATCGATGCGTTGGGTCCTACTGTCGTCAACTCGTGCAGGCTGGAGCAACGTTTCATGGTAACATGAGGCGCCCCTTGGTGGGAAGGAGAGCTGTGCCCGTCAGACGAGTGGCAACGAAGAGCCCCCCGAAGAGCAGCGTCAGCGTTCCGACCACGTTGACGAGGAAGATGAGGAGGAACGTTGCTTTCTGCTGCGAGATGCCTAGACGAGATTCAAGGAAATGAATGAGCTTGTCGAAGGCTGGCGAAACTGCTACAGCCAGGGCGATCCTGAATGGGCGGAGGAAGTTGCATGCGAGCCAGAAGCCTGCATAGACGGCGAGGAAACTTGGCCATTGCCCTTGGTCGAGAGGACTAAGGCCGCAGGACTTTCCAAAAGTGACCCAGGAAAGAATGACACACAAGGACATGTTGACGTTAGAGACCCAACCGTAAGCCAGAGCTGCGCTGATTCCAATGGCTGTAAGCTTCTCCTTGTTCACTTTTGGCATACGCAGCTTTTCTGTCATCCTCTTGAACATGTTGGAAAAGGAGTTCCCTGCTCCTGGCTGTTCGCTCATACACCTTGGCAACAGAGCCCTATTCCTACCCATCCCAAATCTGCAGTGCGTCAGATAATCACGAGTCGACGAGGAAGAGACAGGACGGAGACGAAAGTTGCATGATGATGGGAGTCTCGTGCTGGCGCCATGGAAGCTGTCAGCCACCGGAAGCAACAGCATCGCCAGCGCTGCTCTTGTAGCTAAGGATGCCATGGTGGCCTCCTGGTCTTTCTGAGGCGGGTTGGAACTTGTTGTGTCCAAACCATGCAATGCGTGTGGGGTGGACACAAGGAAGGGTAGCCTGGATGACAGGGGGTAGTGGTAGAAAACTGATTCCAAGGGGTGGTCCATTCACCAAGTACCCACCGCTGAATTATTAAAATATATGATAAGAAGGGGTGTAGCTAGTTTTGTAGATGGGGTCCGAAGTCAGGGTGCAAATTCAGCTCTGGTGGGGTATTCACAGTTGTGCAGACCGAGTATGGGTGGGGTGGTCACATTCAAAAATTTGTAATGTAGTCCGGAGCCTGCAGGGAATGGAAGGGGAAGACCGTGGAGGGACGAGAGCATGTTGTAGTTACGAGCATCTGTGCATGAGCAAGACAGATGAACGACAAGTAGCTTCCTGTTGAATCACTTGAAAAAAAATCATGATCTCAATAGAGAAATGTTTTACTGATTGACACCTGGTCTGATCATACTATGTGTTCAGGAGTCATGGGGCTACATGGCGACAGCTTTCAGTCTTTCGTGGAAGACTTCGTTTCTCAGTAATTCAGCAACTGATTGTTGACAAGCTGACACTGAGCAAATAGAACGCGCTCTTTGAAATCTCTTGTATTGCTCCGATCTGCCCATCCCGACGAAAACGCTAACAAGGCAAGGCAACGTTGTTTCTTTGTCTCAGAAAAAGCTCTCACAAACACTTGCTTGTCATCTCTCACGTGTCATATGAACATCCATGAGTCGAGTTTCACAGGCACTGGAGGACATAGATCTCGCCCTATCCAAAGCAGAGCGTGATATGAATCAGTAAGGTGTGCAACTGAACAATACTGGGATTGACAATGGTTTGCTTTCACTCCAAGCTTGAAATGTAAACTAGCAGATGAATGCAAATACATCAGGTTACTGCCAATCATGCCGCTGCTTTTCTCACAAAGTCGAGCAGACAGGTCGAGGAATGTTTGGCGATCACGGAGCACCAAGCGTCACAGGTAGAGACTTTATTCTCTTCACTGCCTGCCTCATGCTGAAGGATTCAGGTTGAGCATCTCAAGAAGTTTGCTGATCCATCATCAAGACGGGTGTGTTCATTCTCGTTATCATGTTTCTGTAACTGACTTGTTTGATGCTGTGATAGTCAATCAGTTAAACTAGTCCTCCTCTCTTGGATGCTAGTTTCCTTCAAACACATGATAGCAATTCCAAAACCTGAAATCTAGATATACACCATCTTTTATCGCTTGATAACAAATCTTATGTTGTCACATTTGGAGGATTGAGGTGGTTTCGAAACTTGAGAGGTGCCGGCTCGTACTTTGGTACCCGATTGTCAGGAAGGGAAACTCAGGAAATGATCTTATGAGATTGAGGGATGAAAGCGTGTAACCCGGTGGAACATGAAATTCATGATAGCAAAACAAAGCATATAAGGTGCTGCTGCGAAGATTCACTGAGCTAGTTTGGGCTCTGTGCATGAGCAGGTCGAACCGGGAAGACGAGCGGTCGGCGAGTTTTGGCAACAGGGGGCTACACAGAGAGAAGATTTTGTAGAAGAAAGTGAAGAGAGAGAGTTGCATGGAAAATGAGAACATACGGGGTTAAGACTAGAGGAACAAGATACATAAGCTAAGAGGGAGGCGTAGAGTATGGGCAAGTTCTGCAACAAAGTTCCGAGAAATCGTTTCGTGGTACCGACATGCGAAGGTGAGGGAGGGAGGGCGAGGCGGAGGAGGAGAGGATTGAGAGGGGAAGGGGGAGAGGGCGAAGCGGAGGAGGGAGGGGAGGAATCACTAAAAATTCAACAAGCGATCAAAGGGGGGTAGGGGGTACTTGACAAGGATAAGGCTGTTACAGAATCCGGAGTTCCTCTCGGATAGTATGGGTACTTATGCTTAAAATGAGGGGTACTTGCTTGTCAAGGTGACAGAAAGTACGGGTGTGATTCATGTAATGGGGGTGGAGGTGAAGGATATTTTTCACCCCAGGGTGGGTCTCAACACCATGTCTCAGGGGTAGGGGGTGGTTGTCAAGGAGGTAAAATGGTCGGGCAATGCCGGCGATGCAGATGGCAAGGAAGCGAAGGGGAAGTGGAGAGACATGAAGCTGTATGCTTGCTTCCTTCCTCTCCTCCTCTGCCTCTTGCTCGCCCCCTTGGTGCACCTCTCGCTCCCTACCTCCCTCCTCCCGTGTCCTCTGTGCAGCAAGTTTGGGCCGGGACAGCTCCTGCCCTGGCAACTGCAGTCAGTGCAGGCATTGTGCCTTGGGATGCGGTAGATTCTCATCCTGTCAGTGCTGAGCCACAAGACAAAATGAAAGAGAGAGAGGTGGGTCGAGATGGAGAGGGCAAGGATCTCGAAGATCGACATGCAACCGTTAGTTACCATGGGAACGGGGATAGAGCAAACGATCTGAAGACAATGACGTCCAAGAAAATACTTCAGATGGGAGAAAACCTCATTGTGGAGAACAACTTCTTGATTCTGAACTTGAAGCGCATCGTGCAGAAGCAGGAGATGGAGATCGTACCAGGTGACATGATCGCTCCGCTGGCTTTCGACGAGACTTTTCTGCATCCTTTCGCGGATGTGAAGATCTTCTTTCATCCCAGACATCATGACATGTCATCATCAAACGATCCGTCCAATCATCCTGAAGCTCTGCACACGCGAGCTAACTCTCCCTTCGAAACTCTCCTAGACAACATCATATCCGGTGCTGCCAACGCAAACAGGGCGAACAAGGTCAATCACACGGTTGAACATGCAACGAAGATCATCAACAACTACACGAGATCACTGACCAGCATTGTGTCGATGTCTTCTATCCTCTCTCTCGCTGCCGACAAGAGGCTGTTACGAAAGTTTTGGCCATCGACAAGGGTCGTGTTGGGCATGAAGTCCTGCAGGCTGCTCAACGCGCAACTCCCGCTTGCTATGAAGAGAACCATCGTGTTTGCTTCCAGCAAAGTCACTCCGAGCATGTCAGAGATGGCGTTGTGGCTGACGAGGTTCAAGGGCTACGTAGAGATCCAATGCAAGCACACCAGGTTGAACAAGATACAGCAGAGGATTCTTACCAGCCTGCAAGTCTGTGAGAGTAGCGCTGACGATTTTGACCTGACGATTCTTCACGAATGTGAGAACCTCAAGTTGTTGGACCTGACTGGGCTCGGGCTGCGGCTGGATCAGGCGCAGATGCTGAGTGGATTCATTTCTGACTGCAAGGGTAAGATGTTGCTGTTTGTAGATTTTTGTCGGTGGGTGACGACAGGTTTCAGAGTTGCACACTTTACTTCTTGGCTACAACATTCTGTACGACCGTGGAGTTGAAATTATGTCAGAAGCGTTCCACAAGCTGCACAAACTGAAAGTGATCAGCTTGAGTGGAAATCAGGTTGGAGAGTGTGCAGTCGATGGTGAAGGACGAGGTGGTGATGACGATGACGATGATGATTGATGGTGAATGAATTGTTACTATGATGGTGATGGTGGTGGTGGTGGTGGTGACGATAACGATGATGATGATGATGACGACGACGACGACGACGATGATGATGATGATGATGATGATGATGATGATAAGGAGGTGGTGGAGGAGGAGGAGGAGGAGGAGGAGGAGGAGAAAAAGGGTGGAGGATGAGAATGATGGGTTCCTTGCAATCAGGTGTCGCACGTTGGGGTCAACAATCTGTTTTCTAGCTTGTGCAAATCTCCCGTTGCGGCGAGTTTGAACAAGCTTGATCTCAGCTGGAATAAGTTCGGAAGAGATGGGGCCAAGGTTATGGGAAGCTGCTTATCCACCATGACCAGCCTGTCCGTCCTGATTCTTACTGGATGCTCTCTGAAGGATGACTCCCTGCCGTATGTCCAACTTGACAAGCTGGGAAGGAGTCCGATACGTTTGACGTGACCGGCAGATTCATCATGGACAACCTGCCGACGAGTGTGACGATGCTGGGGCTGGGCTACAATGAAGTAACGGACGAAGGGGTTGAGAGCATCGGCCGTTGTCGTCACGTGCAGGAGCTACACCTGGAAAACAATCAGGTAAAATCGGGGGGAGAGGAGGTGGAGAGCAAGGAAGGGAGCTGTAGGTGGATCAGAAGCACATTTGAGGAGATGGGATGTCTGTTGGGGGAGTAGGGAGGGAGGGAGACGAGAAAGTATGAGTGGACGGAGCAGAAAGAGGATGCAAGTGGAGGAAGGAAGAGGACAACATGTAGGAGCAGGAGCAGGAGCAGGAGCAGGAGCAGGAGCAGGAGCAGGAGCAGGAGCAGGAGTATGTTGAGAGGAGCTGGTGCGACAAGTTTCCGCTCGGCCTTCACTGCAAGTCAGCTATGAGACTTCCCATCAGGTTGGCCCGGACGGATTCTGCCGGCTCATGTCCGGCAATCCTTCCAGCTCCATCCGATCGATCAACATCATGTGGAATAAAATCGCAGGGGGGCAGGTCAAGAAGCTGAGAGAAGCTCTAGCAAGTGAGGACTCGTTTCCTCCCTCCTCCCTCTCCTCCTCCCTCCTCCCTTTCCTCCTTGCTCTCCTCCTTGCTCTCCTCCTTGCTCTCCTCCTTCCCTTCCTCAAACCCTGCAACCTAGTCTCCCTATGGCACCTTTCCTGACGCATATCTCTACCCTCCCTACCTGTTTCAACCTCTCTCTTCTCCTCTGTCTTTCACACTCACTGATTTCCTCCCTGTCTCTTCCGCCTTGCCCTCTCTCCCTCCTTCCCACCCATCCACCCTCTCTCCTCCTCTCTCCTCCTCCCTCCCTCTCCCTCTGTCTGCCTCCCTGTCCCTCACTCTCTTTGCTACAGACTGCTCCCTTCAGTCCCTCAACCTCGCCTCCAACGACTTCGGCATCGCTGGAGTCTCCTCCCTCGCCTCCTCCCTCTCCTCCTGCTCCTCCCTCCGCGATCTCAACCTTGCCGCAAACCGCTTCGGCCCCCTTGGCATGCAGGCGCTGCTGCGTCCCCTTGCAGGTTCGCCTCACCTGCTGGCTCTCCAGCTGACTATCGAGCAGAGAGCAGCTGGATCGTTCTGCTCGACCTCTCCCATAACGACATAGAGGACGCTGGGGCCGTTCACTTATCTCAAGGTGGGAAAGCTGTTTGCGGGGAGGGTTGGCCTGACACGTGTTGACAGCTATATCCTCCAGCTGGAAGTTGAGAGCCCTGAATCTCAGCGGGAACAAGAGTAACGCGCTGCTTCCTCCCCCTTCCCTTCTTTCCCCTAGAGTCCCTCGCGCGTCTGTTGAACCTTTGCTCCTGCTCATGCTCGTTGCTTCCTAACCCCCTCTCCCCTCCCCCCTCCCCCCCCTTCCTCTTGCTTTCATGCTGCTGCTGCTGCTGCTCCACCACTACCTCCTTGTCCTTGTCCTTGTCCTTGTCCTTGTCCTTGTCCTTGTCCTCGTCCTCGTCCTCGTCCTCGTCCTCGTCCTCGTCCTCGTCCTCGTCCACCACCTTCACCGCCACTACCTCCTCCTCCCTTTCCTTTCCTTTGACTTCTATTTCTACTTCCTCCTCACCACGTTGGTCGCAGTTGGAGCCCAAGGGTTGTTGCCGCTCACTAGAAGTCTGTCGCTGTGCATGCACCTCGAGGATCTGATCCTGAGGTGCGTGCGGGATGGAAGAGACGAGGAAGAAGTTGAGAAGAGGGGGAAGGAGGAAAAAGCGAGAAGAGCGCAGTGGAGGACAGGGGAAGAAGAGGAAGGCGAGGAGAGGAGAGAGGATTTCAGAAGGAAAGAGGAAGGATAGCGGAGGGAGAGAGGAAAGAAGGGGTGAGGGTCGATGAAGAGGACGGGAGAAGGGGATGGAAGAGGTGAGGAGGAGGAGGCTGTTTCCCCTGATCCTTCCTGACCTCCACAGCTGGAACCCGTTCGGCGACGAAGGAGGCGCGGCCCTGCTCTCGGTGATATGCATACTCTTATGTTTCTCCAGCTGACGCCCAGCAGATGATCCCCAAGTGCCGCCGCCTGCAGGCTCTCGAGATGCAGAGCTGCCACCTGAGCTCGGACGGCATCGAAGTCTTTCAGACGAGCTGCATACTCCGAGGAAAAGTGAACGTTTTACTATAGCGAGCCGTTTGACTAGTTTGACACCGGTCAAAAGAATAATCTGCAAGGGATGGAGGAGGAGGGGGGAGCAGCAAGGGGTTTGCCTTTCCTCCTGCCCTCCCTCTGCTCGATCTCCCTGAATGCCTGGCAGGGAGAGGACCTTCACTCGGTCCTCGCCGCCCTTCCTGCATCCACGAGAGGAAATCTCCTCCTCCTCCTCGGTTGACGTGTGTTGAGTAGAATAAGTTCCATCCTGGTGTCCCCTCCGCCTTCATCGCGCCGAGGACAGAAAGTAGTCATCGTAACACTAAAGATCGGGAGGAGAGGAGGGTGGAAAGGAGGAAGGAGAACGTCAGCGATCGTCTCAGCATGCCGCATGTTGCTTACCGAGATGAACTCTCTGTTTTCATCGACTCCTGCGGCAGCGAGTCAAACTCTCAACCTCCTCCCTCCCCCTCCTCTTACTGATCGAGTACGGGAGCCGTTGAGCAGCGCCGAGGAGGGTAAAAGTTGGTACGGAGTTGAAGAGATGCTGGCCAAACTCGTGGCATGCGCTGCACGTCGTGATCAGTCGAGAGACTAACATGGAGGACTGAGAGAACGAGATCATCGTACCGGAGATTGTACAAGGGGACCCGAGTGTTGAGGTGGTGGATGTGGTGATACTCAATGGATGCTGAGAAAAACTTGAACCATTCCGGGACCAGGAGGTACCTTCGGAATTGTGACCGAGAGGAAAGAGGAGGAAAGATGAGGGGGAGGGAGGAGGAGGAGCAGCAGCAACAGGAGGAACTGAGGAAGAGGAGGAGGAGGAGGAGGGAGGAGGAGGAGCAGCAGCATGTTGAAGGAGCAGGAGGAGGAGAGGGTTCAGAGCTTACGAGCTCCCCGTCATTCCATTCTCGTAACGAGAGTACTCGGAGCAGGGAGCCTGACGTTGTTGGTGAGAACAAAGTCTTCCTTCAAGGAACTTCCTAGATCCCTCCACACCTTGTAGGATCCTTCGAAAGTGTGTTGAATGTGGAAAAGGAAAACTCCCAGACCCCCTCCTAGACCCTGCCGGCAGGACGTCAGACAACAAGGTTGGCAGTAATTGTATTAGAGATGCTGGGGGTGAGATGATGTACAGAGTGCTAGATGAAGGGTAGAGCAGAGGAGACAGGGAGGAGAGGAGAGGCGGGGGAGAAGAGGAGAGGTAGGGAAGAGGAGGAGAGGCGGGGGAGAGGAGGAGAGGCGGGGGAGAGGAGGAAAGGAGGAAAAGAGGAAAGGATGATCAAAACAAGGAGAAAAAGCGAGAGGAGCTGGGACAGTTGTCCTACACTTACAGTAGTGAGAAGATCCACCATCATAAGCCTGTAGTCTCCATATCCATAGATTGCCAACAGGTACCTGACAGGTGCTTTGAGGAGACAGTTCACGACATTTCTTGTATTCTTACATGGCAACCAGCAAGTTTTCATACCACTTTGAAATGAACCTCTGGTAAACCATGAAGTAGAGGTATGGTGTTGTCGACACTAAGGTCCAGTGTCCGTATATCATCTTGAAACCAGTGTCATGACATCAAGCAAGCGGCTGCCAGCATCACAACCTTGTACATGAGTTTCTGCGCCTGAGACAACTTCTGGTATTGCTTGATGTCCAGCGGGGCTGTTTGCGCATATTGCTTCCTATCTGTGTTGTTGCTATGTCTGAAGACGAAGAGTCTCAAGACTGTAAATTTGACTGTAAATTTACCGATGATGGTAATCGTGCCCTCTCTTCCACCCGGAATATGGTGTATACACCATCCATCCCAACAAGATGGCCTGTAACAACGCAGGCCAACACGTTTACACGTTTGCAAACGCGACAAGATCCTCTCTCACCCCTATCGCGTTGATCCTGCTTTTCGAGAAGAACGAGTGGTGCGCCATATCATGGAACACACAAAACAGTCGTGTTCTCGTAAAACCTCATCGGGCCAGTCAGCCTCCCCTCCCGTTCCTCCTCCGAGAGGATTTACCGCATATCAAGATTGCAATGGGAACAGCGATCCACTTGTGCTCTCCCTCGTACATGCATGCAAAAGCAAACAAGAACCAGTAGATGATTAGCGTCTCGGCCACTATGAAAGTTGCCATCAAGTCGTCTAGCACAACATGGTCAGGCGACATCTCAGAGTCACTCTTAATGGTGTGAGAGAGGCAAAGAAGTTCTGACTAGGTTCCTCCCCACGATCTTACTTGGCTTCGCAAACTTGGAGATGTGATTGTAGACTTCGGATTCATTAGGTAGCGATTGTTCCTTCCTGATACTTCACAACGGGTTAACGAGCGCTGGCAGCTGTGTTTGTTGATCGAACCTGTTTTGGTCCTTGTCATCACTTGATGATGAGACCGTATTGGAATTCTTTGGCATTTCCTGGCATGCATGTATCATGCGATGAGAAGGTGTAGACAGCTGCAGGAACCTTTCGGAATGAAGTAAGACTTGAAGAAAACAAGGTGATGAATGCTGACAACGCTGGGGTTGCATGTTACAATGGACTGAAAGCAAAAGAACTCGTGAAACCTGATCTGATACCCTTGACATCATTCTGATAAAAAACAATCAGAATCCTGATCGTCGGAAACAACATCAAGGCTCACCGCCAGCTTTGAATCATCGAATCCATTTTGTTTGCACATGTTCACCAGGGACCAGGAAAGTAGCCAAGAAAGAAAGGATCTTACAATATCGAGCTTATTGACATCTGAAATCCGAAAGTCACGAAAACAATCCTATACGCTAGCATCCTTCAAATGATGTCGTTGTACTGACGACATCATTGCAACGGAATTCATCGGGGTGGAGGAACAACAACCACGTCAAGAGTCGCGGGCATCAAGTCAGCCATTGTGAGCATTTCTACACTCATTCACGACTGATAACTGTCCTCGCTAGTTGAATCCAACCCTACACTCGGGATCTAAACTCGTCTCCTCGCACCTGACCAAACAATGCCCTCCACAAAAACCATTTGGTTGTAACGATGAAATTTTGGTTTGTACCGATCACATCCACGAGCGATGAATCATCACAATTGTTGATCCCGTATAACAATTCTATTAGAATTCTTCAGGCAATCTGATACGTGTCATGCGTGTCTCCTTCCTAAACCTTTCTACAGGGACGTTCATCCTCTCTCCGATGACACAACAAGCACAGGAGCATCTCTCGTCTCTACCGAGGAGCTTCCTTTCCTCCACGTTGGCTACCTCCCTCTACCATTATCATCTTCTATTCACTTCTCAATTTGATAGGCCATGTGCACATGTCGCCGATCCATTTTCATTGCCATCGTCCCACCTGCTCTCGTTGCCCTGGCCTGCCATGAGGCGTCCTGGGTGACCCTGAGAGGAGTCATCGAAGCAGGGTGGGGGTACTTGAAAGTTGAGTCCTGGTCCCAATTAGGTAGGTGGGGGTGATCAAAATAGGGGTGGGTGTGAATCTTCAATCAGGCTGGATTGGGATAGGGGGATCATTACCAATAACAGATGAGTAATTGTATATAGGATAGGAGGCTATATATATAGTATCAATGACAGAAACCATCATTGTGAATTTTAGAGGGTAGGGTCAATTTTTTTTGGGGTAGGGGTAAGAAACATCAGGGTAGGGTAGGCAACTCCATGGGTGGTGATGGTTTGTATAGTTGGGTATTCCAGGATCCCACGCCCAGAGGTTGCCTGACCACGACGAGATAGACAGAATAGAGGGTAGGGTGGTACATTGAGGGTGGGGGTGGGGGGTATGTTTCGGACTTGAGGTATCTCTGTGGTAGTCATGGGTCAGATGCATGTACCGGTGGTAGTCAGTCAAAGGGTAGGGTCGGATCAGGAGGTGTCGTCGGGGATGGTCGGCGACATAAAGGGGAGGATAGACGAGGGTGGGGTGGTAACAGGGGGTGGGGTGGTATATGACAAAGGGATGTAGGGGCAAATGTAAACTGAGGGGTAGGCTCTCAGATTTCAGATCAATAAACTGGGTGGGTGGTGGTACGCGAGGGGTGCTTGGTGAAAGGATATCGTAAGTAATCATGAAGTTAGTAACAAGGGTGGGTATTTTTAAGTCATCATTGGGGGTGTAGAACCATGTCATGATTGCTAGTGGGTGGGTGGTCATTGAATAGTAGGGTGGGGTCACACATGGCAGGAAATGAACTCGTCGAAGGTGAGGATGACCGGCTTTAGAAGGCGATTGATCTCAACTAGGGGGTGGTGGGGTGGCACATTCCGGAGTCACCTGCCGCACTGGGCCCGGCGGGCTGCTCGGCCCTCCAGCCCCGGCCGGGCGGGGCCGCGGGCCGGGGCGGGGCCCCGGCCCAGTGCACGCCCCGGACCCCGGCCGGGCGGGTCCGACCGGGTCACGGCCCGATCGGATCTAGTATTATCTTAGTCACTAATCCTGCACTGAAATCACGGTGCCGTACGGTCACCGGACCACCACAGACGCCGTGGCATGGGCTCCGAGTCCGGGATTCACACCGCGGGCGGCCGGATCATGGGGCCGGCCGCCGCCGGTCGGAACTTCCGTTCAATCATTCAATGATTCGATGACTCACTCACCAGGCCGCCCCGCTGCCAGCAGTGCCACGGTGTACATTGAACGGATCATCGGATAGGCTCACAGGCTGGGGTGATCATTGGAACTTGCGACTTGCCAATCACTCGGACTCCGGGAACACTGGCCCGGGCCGGGGCGGATCAAGTCCGACTTGATTCTGTGGCACAGAATGATCCGACTGATTCAGTCATTCGTAGTCATTCAACATCTCTATCTCGTCTAGTAACCTCCCTGAAAGTGCAGCCATTTCACGCAAGTTTCTCTTCTTGCGAATTCGGGGTCTTCTTCCTCCCTCTCCAACTTAAGCTGTGTCTCCCCGATCAATGCCTGCACGGCCACGTGTTAGCGGCATGCCTAGGAAGAACTTGTGCTGGCTACCTCAAGATAAGCCTCCATGTCTTCCTGCCTCCTGTTGAGCTCTTCAAGTTTCTGCAGAACATCAGACTTCGGTAGTTGCCCACAACCTGCTTGCCTCGTCCATGATGGCTTCTAGTGTCTCAATGTCCCGTGCTCCTTGAAACAAATCTATCGAACGATCCCCGAACCGACTTTTGACCTCCTCGCTGAGCATGCTCGTCAGGTCGAAATCGACCATGTCAAGACAACTATGCTTCCAAGTCACCTCAGACTCTGGCAGACTGCGTGGTTGAGGGTAGAGGCATCCAGTCGTCCATCGAGTGCCTGAAACATTCTCAATCATTCATGCACCACAACGTCTCATGTCTCTACTTCTCACCTTTTGCAAGAAGATGTGTTTCTCAAAGGGGCTCTCTGGTAGAGACACCAGGTCGTCCTGTCTTAAGGTCATAAGGCTGTTGCTACGATCTCCTAGGGTATCCACCTTCTTCTCGAAGGTTGGAGGCGACGATGCCTAGGAAGCAGGTGAGTCATACTATCAGTTGCATCGCCATGGCTCACAGCTGCGAACTGGCTCTGAGGTGCTTGAGAGCATGAACAAAATCTCCCCATGCTCTGCAGCATCAGATCCGACGCCTTGTTGGCGATGTCCCAGGCATTAACATCCGATTCCCTCATATCGAAAGTGCTCAAGTCGTTGGCAACGTTGAACAGGATGGAGGTAATCTCCTTATCCTCACGCATCCACGATTCCTTGATCGTGTTCGAAGCCCTGATAGCGATGTCTCTGTGAATTTGCCTTGGGATCCACTCGTCGTCCAACCACGTCGTTATCTCATCCTGCATGATCTTCAGCATCTGTCATGACAAGAACGTCTCTCACCTCAACCCAGGTCCTCAATGCATCGATGTCATCCACCTGCAACCTCGCGCCAAACTTCATCTCATCATGCTCGCTATCCGCCAGGGCGCAAACAAATCGCGCTCGAGCATGTTGTGCTGGTGCTCTAAGGGAGGCAGGAAGGCGCAAGTTTGAGCGCTGATCATGCTGGATGTGAGAGCGATGGAAGGAAGACACTCGAAGGGCTGCATGAAAGCCGCTGAAGCTCAGCACCGGCGCCGCGGCCATGGCCAACAGCGAGATCCTGAAGAGCATTTCTCTCACCTTATAACCTGACCAGTTACATCGAAACGGATTTGCTAATAGGAACTGCATGAAAAGACCGCCTCAGCACTTGTACTTAGCTACTTCGAAGGACAGCAATTTTTGAGGTATTTTGGAACCATTTCTGCCCTTGGAATCAGTCGGGGAGGAAAATGGTTAACCGGGTGACACTGTGGGCAAGGAGAGAGAGGAGAGGGGGAGGAGACGAGAGTAACGCGAGTCATGGAGGAGGAATGGCAGGGATCAGCAGCTGGACGTGCAGCAGGATGGGGATTGCTCTGCTGGCAATGATTGCGACGAAATCTTCTCTCTACTGCCATGCGTCCCAACACGAGATCGTTTACACCGACGAGACTCTAGGACTCTCCATGTCCGATCATGCTCAGGTTCGTGCCCTCTCTTCGTTCCTCTCCTCGTTGTCCTGACTTGTGCTCGATGACTCAACAAGACCATCGTCCATGTGCAGCCGCACAGACGCGAGCTTCGCTACAGAGCGCCCATCGTCTATTTTTACTCGAGAGGAGGGAGGCAGATGAAGAACAGAGGAGCAGAGGTCTTCCATCAGCTGCATGATGCTGTTCGCAGAGAGGGGATAGAAAGTTACCTCGAGGATGGAGTGTACGAGTACAAGACCGAGCACAGCAACGTGAGGCTCGGGGTCAACTTGTGTCAGACCCTGACACCTTGATTGCAGTTTATCGAAGACTACGAGATCGTCTTCAAGAACTTGACCATCCATGACTTTGTCATCGTCACAGCCATCCCGCATGCCATGGACGAGTCTCAGGGGTACCTGATGCCCGGCTACACAGGGGCCCCGTTCCTGGCAGACAGGGTCAAGGTCATAAAGTGGCAGATAGGCTACTCGTTCCCCTCCTTGGCGTACTTTGTGGATGAGAAGCAGCACATGATCTGTGACACTTACTTCCTCTCGGACGTGATGGGGTGCGTGAAGGAGGCTTACATCCGCGCTCCTCCGCTGGAGATGTACTACCTTGCAGCGGAGAGAGCGAGGGAGGAGAGTGAGGATGGGACCCTGAGGTCGTTCAAGGAGCGTCTTGTGCTGTATGACAACGACCACGAGTTTGACACTACAAAGTTGCAGTTGAGAGAGGGTTGCTTGCTTGTCAAGCTGGACGGGCTGAGCAGATCGGAGATGTTTGACGCGTACAAGAGGGCGGTAGCTGTCATCGACTTGTGGTTGCCGGGGGCAGAGACAGTGACGGCAGAAGGAGCGCTATTCGACTGCTGCGTCCTCGTTCCCAACGAGATGAACGGGGCGAACCCTCGAGATTTTCCAATCGACAGCAGGTGGAAGGTGGGAAGGACTTCGGATGGGAACTGGAACTACGTGCAGATCTCGGAGCTGCTCAACAGGGCACTGGACGACTACGAAAACTTCCTCCTCGAGTTCAAGCAGCTGAAGCAGCATGTTCTCCAGCTCCCCGAAACTTTCCAGCTCAACGTTCGGAGGTACTTCTCCAATGATATCCACTTCGTTGCGATTGGGTACAACGAGGAGGAAAGGAAGTACTTGCTCCCCTGGGCCGTTTCCGTCCTGATGAACTATCCCATTGCTACTGTGGAGATAGTCGTCTACAACCGCTTCCGTCTTGGCCTCTCCACCTCTCCCATCCTACAGGTCCTGCGGCAGAAGGGGATCGCGCACAAGCTTATCGTCTCTGACGGCATCCCCTCTCGCTCCCAGCGGCCCTTCCCCAGCATCGACCGAGGCCCCACCGTGTCCTTCCAGCACGCCATGCAAACTCCGGCGACCTGCTTTGCTAGCCCCTTTGCTTCCTTCCTCCGCCCCGACCTCCTCGAGCTCGTTCAGAGTGACTCCTCCGCCTGGGCTGATGCGCTCGAGCGATTCCCCGAGGCGTCAGTGGGAGGAGACGGAGCGGGCGACTGGATCCCCGAGCCATGGCCCGTCGAATGTTTCGCCACGGGCCCTCACAGTACCAAGCCGCTGGAAGATGCATGGGCGAGCATGGGCGAGCTGTGGCGGGTGCGGTACTGGGATGGAGCTGTGACGTACACGGCAGGTAACGAGGAGGAGCAGGAGGAGGGAAGGGGGGGGAAAGGAGGGGGGGGAGGATGAGGACGAGCAGGACGAGCGCGAGGGAGAGGGGGCGAGGTCAAGTTGAGCTGCAGATGTCAAGAGACTGTCGGACGAGAACTGCAGGCATCTTGAGGAGATGATGACCAACTCGGTTTACAAAGGAGTCTTCCCGTACTTCGATGATGACTACCGGTAACTGCTGCTGCTGCTGCTGCTGTCCCTCCTCCTCCTCCTCCTCCTCCTCCTCCTCCTGCTCCTCCTGCTCCTGCTCCCCTCTCCCTACACTGCCGCTGCTCATCTCTCTGGTATCTGCCCTTGTTTGCTTCTTTGTTTCGACCCAACTTCCCATCCCATCACCTTCCTTCCTCGTCACCATGTATGCACCCTCCTCTTTCCCTCCCCGTCGAACCCACTTATCTCTCTCCCCTATGTCCGCTTCCAGCTGTTGCTTACTGCAAGTTTCTACTGACGTTGCTCAGGTCATTTATGAACAAACATCTCGAATTGTGCAATTCTTGACAGAACCATCACCAACCTACAGAATTCTCTTAACATCCATGTAAGAAATACACCTCGATCAGCGATATCATTGAACAAATATCCATACAGGACCTGATGGATGTCATTTTAAAATAACTTTGAGAGTTGGATTGCTTCTTGCTCATGGAGTTTGTATCTTACAGGATTAACAGGCAAGTATTTTAAAGATGCATTGTCCTGCTGCAAACACACAGACATCTGAAAATCGAAAAGAGTTCCATTCCCTCTGTCATGCTTGAACCATTCTGTTTAATCTCAAGCACAAGAAGAAAAGCAGTCACAATGTACAAGATGATGTCAATCCCCTCCCTTAGCTCAACGGCCTTCAACTTCCTTGCATCGCACTCTTCAACGCGTTCGCTGTCCCGCCGGTCTTCTTCATCTCTTCTCTCAACTTCTTCACTTCCTCCGGATCCATGTTCTGCATGACACGTCATCCTCACCATCCTCACATCATAACAGTCTTCTCACCTCAACCATCTTGGGCATCACGAATGCCATGAGAGCTGCAATGATACCCATCACAACCTGCCATGTTGCGTCAAGCACGAAAGTCCTCCAGCTGTCCGCTACCATCGGATTCTTCAAGTAAACGGTAGGGTCGAACTTCTCTCTCTCCTCAAAGTACTGCAGTCTCGTCGTTAGCGCAGCACTCGCAGCCTCCTCCCCCCCACCTTCACGCGAATGCTAGGTTGAAGTGTGAGCGGGTACTTGACGGGCTTGCCAACATTGTCGCCGTTGAACGAGGCTCTCACCTGGTACGGTAGGTGAGGGATGGGAGGAGAAGGGGGAAGGGAAAAAGAAGTAACCAAAGGGGAGAGAGAAAAGATGAGGAGAAGAAGGGAACGGAGGAGGATGGGAAGAAACAACAGGAGAGGAAGATTGACAGGAGGCAGAAGCGGCTCAAAGCGACGAGGAATGGGGAGGAATGAAATTAAGGATAGCCAAGAGATCCAAAGCTTCTTGCAAGTCAAACGAACCTTGAGCTCATTTCGCTTGTAATGCACATCAATCTTGATCTGTAAAGAGAGATCACCTCCTGCTCTCCTTTCTTCTCAGCAACGATCGTTCACCTGCTCGAAAATCCATCCTGGCGCGTCGACGTCCAGAGAATGCACTCCTTCCGAGACCTGACTCGATGTTACGCCCAAGATTTCGAATCAATGGAGCAGGTGACATCGTAGATGGTGAAGGAGCCGTCTGCTCGAGCGATCGCCTGCTGCTTTCCTCCATCGAGCATAACTCGCAGGATCTGCAGACAAATTCAGCCTTTGAAACTCACGTCTCAGCATGTTGCAACATTGTTCTTGTGGAGCGCGCGAAACTGTTCATCCGAGAAAGATCCCTATAGAAGAGGAACATTCAGATACCACAACGCCAGCAACAGGGATGCAATAACCTCAATGCTGATCGACCTCTGCATCTCTCCCATGGGAGCCTCAGCGTTCTTGACACTGGTGCTTGTAAGAGAGTCACAGAGAAGGAGGAAGCGAACAACCTGCTCTTGCTGATCTGCTCATCATCCTCATCGTCGTCATAGTCCATCGAAGAGACATGCGACAAGAGCGCCAGGAGGGAGAGGCAGAGCAACAGCGATCGCGCAGGAAGCCTCATGGTTCGAGTCCTGCAAGCCTGCAAAGACCGAATAAGTCATCACAAACAACTTGATTCTCTCCGGCTTGGGTTGGGCTCATAGATGTCTTACACCCTACTCTATCTCTCCCCTCAAAATAATTTTACAACTCCCTTTCTCGTCAAATCCAGAACAAATAAACGGATTTCCATGAACAACATCAGGTTCTTAGAGAAGTTCTGTTAACGCTATTTCTCTATAAGTATCTACCCCCCTTCTTTTAGCACGTTGGACTCTGTATTTGGCATAAAGCTCAAGATCAATCATGGGTACCAAATGAACCCTCACAGAATCTTCGTGTTTTTGCCTCTCGTTTCCACCCGCTACGACCGTTCGAAGAGCTGCATTGTTTTCTTCTCTTTTCCTTTTCCCACTTTTCATCACATGATAGCCCTGTTAATCCCGTCAACTTGTCCTGCTGCTTCTGCTGCTGCTGCTGCTGCTCCTCCTCCTCCTCCTCCTTGTCCTGCTGCTCCTGCTCCTGCTGCTGCTGCTGCTGCTGCTGCTGCTGCTCCTGCTCCTGCTCCTGCTTCTGCTCCTGCTCCTGCTCCTTGTCCTGCTCCTGCTCCTGCTCCTGCTCCTGCTCCTGCTCCTTGTCCTGCTCCTGCTCCTGCTCCTGCTCCTGCTCCTGCTCCTGCTCCTGCTCCTGCTCCTGCTCCTGCTCCTTACCCTGCACCTGATGCAGCACCTGCAGCACCTGCTGCTCCGACTCCTGCTCCCCCCTCCCAGCGTGTCCCTCCCTCCCATATGTCCATATGTTTCATGCATGCAGCCGTCTTTATCAGCTCGTTATTAAACGTTACTAGACGTTATTAAACCGTTTCGTTTACAACGTATTTGTAACGCCCATTCTCAAGTTCTCCTGGCAATCCTCTGCCCACATCCCCACCCCCTTGGGTTACACTACCCCTATGTTTACACTACCCCATGACCCCCACCCCCAAATACATGGAACCAAACATGTCATTTCCTCGGCCTCTTCCTTATCCCTACTACCCTACCGATCTAGTTCAACCACCCCTGTATCCATAGATACCCGAACTCCTCTCATCATGCTCACCCACCCATACCTTCCCTACCTACCCTACCCTGAAAACCAGGTTGGGCGGAGAATTGAATTGGTAGGTAGGGTAGTGAGCCTGACCACTCGCCTCAACTTCTAGTACCCCCTATTTATCATCTTTGTACCCACCTCATTACCTGGAGACCACCCACCATGCCTATCTGGACCCCACCTAGACTCTTTTACTACCCAACCTCGAGCAGCAGCCACCGTTACATACAGTAACCACTACCGTTACACGATTTTTCCCTTTTTTTCTTTGTAACGGGCGCGATTCCCTCGTGCGGCATAGCAGCAGCAGCCCCGCAGGAGCGGAGGAGGCGGAAGAGGAGCGGAAGAGGAGCGGAAGAGGAGCGGTAGAGCAGCGGGAGAGGACGAGCAGATAAAATGTCTGCAGTCAGCAAGAATCCCTTCGCCATGCTCGATGAGGACGAGGGGGACGAGAGCGCCCCTGCGCCCGCACCCGTCAAGAAGGAGGATGCCTCCAGGAAAAAGGATCCGCCGAAGAAGGAGACGGCGAAGGCTGATCCTGCTCCCTCGGCCTCCGGCAAGCCTCAGACCTCGTCGAAGGGTGGAGGCAAGGAGGGTGGAGGCAAGAAGGGCGGCAAGAGAGATTATGAGCGCCACAGTGGCACCGGGCGCGGCCGTGCGGCTGACGGTCATGAGAACAAGAGAGGTGGGGCTGGCAAGGGCAACTGGGGCACCCCAGGAGACGGCACCACTCCCCGTGACGAAGCCGAAGACACTAAGGAGATGACTGAGGAGGAGAAAGCTGCTGCAGAGCTGGCCGCCGAAGAGAAGAGAAAGGAAGAAGCCGCCATGACTCTCGAGGAGTGGAAGAAGCAACAGGCTGAGAAGGCTTCAGAGAGCCTCGCCGCCAAGCCCATGCGTGAGGCCGACCAGATCGACATGAAGGGTCTCAAGCTCAAGGAGGACGACAACGAAGTCTTTGAGATCAAGCTCGGCGATGACGCCGGCAAGAAGGGCAAGAAGACTAGTGGCCGTGCCAGCAAGTCTCAGGTCCTGACTGACCTCAACTTCACCACCGCATCTAACGAGACAGCCTCTCCTGGACGTGGTGATGCCTCTTGCCCTCTCACTGTCATCTCTTGACTTGCTTGCTTCGACAGGTCGTGGAGGACGTGGCCGAAGGGATGGAGGAGGAGGTGGTCGCCCCAGGAGAGACAACCATGGCGCGACCCTCAACCTTGCAGACGACTCTGCCTTTCCTTCGCTCTAAGGAGTGGAGGAAGTGATTCGATGACGAATGCTAGCAGGAATCAGAGGTGAACGAAGGAGTGACTGAAGTTTTGTGAGGCTACACGTCGCAATTCTAAACGATGTTTGAGAGTGGAACCGTGAAGGAGATGTTGTAGGCTCGATAAGTTTGAGTTGTGGCATGTGCCCTTCACCTTTTTTGTCTTGAACGTGTCAAGTTGATAGCTCTTCTTGTGCAACTTCTGGTTTCTCCCCCCCGCGCACATCCGGATCATGTTAGCTCGTTGCGTGTGACTCCGATCTTGGTCTTCATTATGCACTCGAGTAAATATCGTTACAGACACACCGTAGCGTGATTCCCCTCCCTCAGTTCTCTCACCCACACGTGCCTCATCTCTCCTTGCGGTATCGCGAGACTACAGCAGCGATGTGTTGCTTGCTCATGGCAGTGCCCATCAGCGGGTGCCTGTAAGGCAGAAGGTATGAGACGGTGTAGCAGGTCAAGGCCGGCACTTACTGCATGAGCTCAGCGGCGGTAGCGCGTTTCTTTGGGTCAACATGCAGGCATCTATCGTAGAAGTCCATAAACATGGCGCTGTACTTGGACGGCTGCTTGAGCTTGGGCGTTCCCTACACATAACTAAACAATCCGAAACAGACAAGAGAGAAGGCAAGTCAGGCTCACCCTCGTTGCAATCAGATACAGGGCACGAAGAGGCTGTTCCTTGAGGTAGGGAGGTTCTCCTTCTGCCATCTCCTGCGAGCTTCGGTCACACACTGCCCCCATTGGTGTGCAACTTACGATCATCATAATACCGAGAGACCATATGTCGACTTTCTGGTCATAGCTTTGCCCTCTCACAAGCTCTGGAGCCATCCAGTATGGAGTTCCGACCTTGTGACGTGTCAGAGGAGCTGAGGCTCAGCTGGGACGTAGTTCACCATGGAGTGACGCATGTCCTTCTCCTGAGTCAGCTGCACGCAGAAGCCGAAATCGGCCATTTTGATATCTCCCTTGGAGTTCAGCTAGAGGTACAGGTCAGAGCGTAGAAGATGTAGGGGCAGAACTGGTACCAGAAGATTGTCGGACTTGATGTCGCGATGAATCCTTCCCAGCTGGTGAAGGAAAGCTATGGCTCCAACACTGAGCACAGGTGAGAAAGAAAAAGTCCACCAGTCGAGATCGCCCATTACCTCCCCATGAGCAAAGCAGCGATCTCTGATTCACTGAGTTGTACCTTTGAGTGGGAAAAGGCCTGTCCAATAGAGGTATGATCAGAAACCGAGCATTGAAGGTGATATCATGATATCATGCCTGGAGAAGATTGGTGAGGGAGCCACAGTCCATGTACTCCATGACAACCCAGAGACAGCGGTCGAACATGAAACTTTCCATGTATTCCACCACATTTGGATGGGCAGACGTGCGCATCATAGCGATCTCGTTCTGAAATCAGAACCGTCAGTGAGCAGTAAGAGTTGCGGCATCTGGCATGTGCCTGTAGCGCAGGGAGGTCTGTTGTCTTGGACAACATGAGCTTCTTGACTGCATACTGGCGTCCAGCCTTCTTGTCGTTTGCAAGGTAGATGGTTCCCATGCCACCTTGTCCGATCGCCTTGGGCGCGATCACGTACTTGCTGGAAGGATCATCGTTGATGAAAGTAACGGCCAGGCGTGCCTCGATGCTGGCCTGGGAGGTTCATGTGAGAGAGCGGACGGGCGAGCTCAGCGAGACAGACCTGCTGCTGGGTGGGGAGGGCTGGCTGACATCCTTGCTCCATCTGGAACTTGAGGACTTCTAGAATAGCCTCCCCGTTCTGCAGTGCCTCCTCTTTGCTGATCTTGGCCTGGGCAAGCTGATCCTCCCAGCCTGGAGGGAGGCCCCGGAAGCCAGTCCTAGAGTTGGGGTCGACCTGCACATGAAACTTGTGCTGGAAGTTGAAGGGAGCTGATATCTGCATCTCCCCGTCGCTCGACGGCCCGGACTTGGCTGGGCTGGGCACCGGAGGGTCCGGCCGCCTCGGCTTGTTTGTTGCTGGGGGCCCAACCTGCTGGATAGGCTGGCGCGTGAGGGTGACGATGACAGTCTGAGAGGCTCCTGGTCTCAGGAGCTCGAGGTCAACTTTGGATCCCACGGGCCCGCGGATGAGAGGGGCGACCTCCTGAGGGGTCATGCCTCGAACCACCTGAATCTTGGTTAGCCCCGACGCCGCCATGTTGAAGCATGCCTCTCACCACACCATCGACCGCAACAAGACGATCGTCCTCAAACACCTGACCGCTCAGAGCTGCTGCTCCGCCCGGATGCAAGTCGACAAACTTAAGGATAGAGTACTTGTTCGGCTTTAGGAGCGCCCCTATCCCTGCTACCTCCGCAGACATGTCTCAAGTAGCTGCTGCTAGTGTCGTCGCCCTTTCCTTTCTCAGTGATCGAGACTTTTCAAATAATATTGCTGTGAGTTCTGCTATGAAAGATATGCGGCACAACGACGAGGGTCTTGATCTCCTAGGCGCCAAAGCGACTCCTGAAAGATTTTTTCAAACACCGCATTCAACGTGTTGATACAACGAGCAAGAACTTGGAGATCTCAAAAGAACAAAAAACAAGGACACGAACATGATGAACAGGTCCCCCATCTCTTCATTTCCGCTGCCTTCCTCCTTCCTCTTCCTCTCAACTCCTCATCTCCGTGGCGATACTTCTACCACACTTCCTTACGAAGGTCATCCTTCATTCCCCGGATCTTAATAGTTTGAAGTTTTCTCTTGTTCCACTCATCATCCTTCTCCTCTCTCATCTCTTCTTGTTCACATCCTCCTCCTCCTCCTCCTCCTCCTCCTCCTCCTAAGTACCTATCCTTGATCCCTGCCATGATACGCCGGATAAAGCTTCACAGCACTAGCAAAAAATAATTCTCAAAACTCATACAGATATATTAAATATGTTTTAGAGCTGTAGCTCAAAATTTACTCTAGATTGTTGTCAGGTACACATAAACGAGCCGGTAAACATTTATAAACTTTTAGTTGTTTTAAATCTCTACCATGCGCGAAGAGCTGTAGGACATTTCCCCCTTAATATAACGCTTAAAAACTCAACAAAACCCTCCTGGTACTGTATAAATATACCCTTTTAAATTCTCCGGTCCCCCGGCTTTCATGGTTCCTAGGCAAGAGTTGAGTGAAAGTTATGGGGAAAAGGAGCTCCACGTGAAATGGAGGAAGCGCAGCAGCGGCAAAAGGCGGCGGCGGAGGAGGTCAGGAGGCTCAAGGCTGAGAAGAAGGTGAGGAGGAGAGGACATGAGAGGACCAGGATGTATGCCTCGTTCCGGCAAGTTCCATGGCTGTGATGGCAGAGACGGGGCCTGCGATCGCAGGGGCTCTGGGATGGATCGACCTTGTCGTTCTGTGTCTTGTTTCCATAGAAGCGATGGAGACAAGGATGACATGATGACGATGATGCTGATATATGTTAGTCTTGATGAGAACCTTCTCTCATCTATTGACTTGCAAACTCTGTTTTGGTTCTGTGTGAAACACCATCATCAATGATTTCCCACAAGTCGGCCACGTCATCTCATAAACAGACGAATGCATCTTGCGCCTCTCTGTGTGTTCATGTTTCTTTTATGTATGTCTTACTCACTGAACCTCTTCTGAACTCCTGCCCCCTGTTTGCAAGCATTTCAATCTTGTTTTCCCGTTCTGCCTGGCACTGACTGGGTTGTCGTAGCCTAAGGATGACCCCGAGCTCGTCGCTGCCATCCAGAACCTGAACAAGATCAAGGAAGAGATCGCTGAGATGAGCAAGCCCATCGAGACCAACCCTTACGTCAAGACAAGGGGAGAGCTTGACGACATCTGCAAGGTGACGCGAGAGAGATGATAGAGGAGTTGTGTTGTCTGTTGGAGATGAATGTCCCGTCGTCTACCTCCCTGCTCTGACTCCGAGGTCCTCCAGCGTCGCTTCTTCTTCCGTCCTGCCTTCGACATCTACGGAGGAACGGCCGGGTTCTTTACGTGAGTCGCAGCTAGCCGACTGTAAGGGGTGCAAGTGAGACGTGATCGACGCAGGTACGGTCCCCCTGGAGCTGCTCTGAAAGCCAACATCATCAGCCTGTGGAGGAAGCACTTCGTGATCGAGGAGAACCTTCTTGAGATTGAAGATCCGACCATCATGCCCCACGAGGTCCTCAAGACGTCTGGTGAGACGAGGGGGGATGGAGCATACGGGGGAGGAGGGAGTGGGGAGTGGTAGGGAGGGGAGGAGGGAGGAAGGGGAGGTTGAGGAGGAGACATCGAATAACAATGTCACAGGGCACGTGGAGAGGTTCAACGACTTCATGGTGAAAGACACGTGAGATGGCCGTCTGCTCTTTCTCGCCCCTCGTGTCCTCATACAGAGCAGGTTGCAGGAGGACAAGTTCTACAGGGCAGACAAGCTGCTGGAGGAAGAGATGGAGAATCGTCTGAAAGTCCCGACAATCACTGAGGAGGAGAGGACGAGGTACACCAAGGACCTCACAGCTGCCGACAGCTTCTCGCGCGAGGAGCTCGGCGCCAAGATCAAGGAGTATGGTGAGAGTTTCATGCTGATTTGGGATCGTGATCTCCTGAGGTTTTCAAATTTTGCTGAAACGTTTCATGCAGGCATCAAGGCGCCGGAGACTGGAAATGAGCTGACGGATCCCTACGAGTTCAATCTCATGTTCCCAACACCAATCGGACCTTCTGGTTTGCTTCAGGTCGAGTTTTCCTTTGTTCAGCACTCCTTGTTTGAAGTTGTGTTGTGTTGTGTTGTGTTGTGTTGAAGTTAGAGTTGTTTTGTGTATTGTACAGCTGTGACTTGTCGTGTGGTGAACATGAAAGACAATCTCCTCATGGTCGTGAATTGTTCCTTTCATCACACCTCTGATATTGACAACCACAATGACTGTATTGAATGCTTCGCATATCCCTGCCTGCACTGTCTGTACCTCTCCTCTCCCTCTCCTTTGCAATCAGCAACCTCCTCCAAGTCTTGCTCACTACATATCCAGGGATACCTCAGGCCTGAGACCGCTCAGGGAATTTTCCTCAACTACAAGTTTGCAGCGGAGCAGAACTCTGACAAGATTCCCTTTGGAGTCGCGCAGATCGGCAAGTCCTACCGCAATGAGATCGCACCGCGAGGCGGGCTCGTCAGGCAGAGGGAGTTCACGCAGGCAGAGATCGAGTTCTTTGTGCATTACAAGAACAAGAACTTCGACAAGTTCAAGAGCGTCTACGATCTGTGAGTGATGGCTGAGAGGGAGGGGAGGGGAGGAGGAGGGGAGGAGGAGGGGAGGAGGAGGGGAGGAGGAGGGGAGG